AGAAGTATCTGCATCTGTTTGTTAATATACATCTATGAACGGCAATGAATCGATCTTGCAACCTAAATTTAAAATCAGCATGCGGTGCCTCCTCATAGCACCTGCAGCGTTAACTTTTAGACAATGAGTAGTAGATTTTAGATTGACATTAGATATGTAAGCATTAAAGACATTGTTAAGGATACAGTACCTTCTAAGAAATTCATGGTAAGCATCTCTTCTCATTGTATGGCTAGTGATAGCGCGACGTGAACGAAGAAGATTACGGATTTCATCGTAGAGCGCAGCGTAAAGGCAGCGTTCTCCATCAAAAGTGGTGGCGTTACACTTTGCTCCTAATATCAAAAGAACTCTTAGAGCAGTAAAAAAGTAATGATATACCTTTAAGTAAATTAGATACTTTAGCAACGGATCAACTTTCTGGGGATCTAAATAATTCTTATTGATGAACACATTGATCATAATTCGCGTATAGTTTATAAACTAGGAAACAGTTGCTAACAATATCAGCTCATTAATCAAAGTTTCTGCAGGGTACATACAGTATGCCATAAAAAAGTAATCTATTTAAACGTAATCCCTTTAGTTTCGCCTGCTTCTGAGAAAGTGTTGCTACTGTGAGTAATCAATATACTGTATACTAGCAAAATATATTTATCTTATCTTCAATGATTTTATGATAAAGATTTAAAATTTACCGTTTGCTAGCAATATTTGTACTATTTCCTTGTGACCACATAAACAGGCATAGTATCTATTTAAAACATAAATCATATTTTGGTAAGTGTTGCATAAGTTAATTGCATTTCAATTATATACTTGCATGTTATAACTGCAGCACATCCACTGACGTAAACCTATCTAACAGTACAGTATCAATCAATATAGTTCAGATGTCGAACGCTAAGTAAAATCGTCATGTCTGAATGAGAATTAGCCTGGCCAAAAATTACTATAAGAAGAAGAAGGCCTTCTTCTAGTGGCCCTTGGCCTGGCGTAAGTAACTGTGAATATTTCTAAATACGCACTGTTCCTATCTGAAATTAACCGTGAACGCTAGTACTGCAACCCCATAACAAGTATAGCTACTGTGCTCAAGGTACTGTACAGTATTTTAAGATAGTACCAGTAAATATGAAACTATACAATGGCAAATTATTAAATTTCTCTAAATTCAATTGTAACGTAGATCAACAGCACCAGCAGCATTAATTAAAACATGTGCTAATTACGGACTGTAGTCCTACGTTACTTACAGAGGTGTAGCGTCCCATGCATCTCTTAAGTTAACTTCAATATCACAATATTCGAATAAATACCTAATTTTAAATAATGTCATGAAAGAATTTGAAAAAGTTACAATATTTACCTGATATACTAGACCTAAAAGAGCTGCTAAATTACTGTATTTCACGAACGTAAAAGAATAGTAATTAAACAACAGCCCAGCACAGTAAATTGCTGTGCGTATGTTGCCAGTTGGCAAATAAGTATATAATTAATTTAATTATACGTATGTATATATATAATATATGCGATACTACAGTATACTGTATAGCATGGCATTGCGTAAAAGAGATTACCCACACACGATAACGTTGCATAATTATCACTCTAGCTAAGTATAAAGTTATAAATAAATACTGTGTTACTTTAAAACGTAATGTAATGAAGTTTCTAATTTACAGTTAATCGTTAATTTAATTGTTAATCATTACTGGATCTTGCTTATATCGCCAGTTCGACAGCTTCGAAAAAGAGCTTCTTGGTCTTGATTCAATGTTTTATACGTAGGTACAGTATGCTGTACATTTTTAGTGGCCATTTAGTTACGGTTCAATTAAGAATGGAAAAAATTTTGTCCTAAGGGTTTGCGTATTATCTACTGTAGCGAGAATATGAGTAAAAATATAATTTAATCTTGTTGAATAATCAATTTACTACTCACTGCAATCTTCTTTGCGTTTGTTGTTACTGTCTTGGAGCCTTGGAGGTGCAATGTCGCGCACGCTTTCCTTTTACATTACTAGAAAATTACCGGTTCGAGCTGATATAAATCCTGGAGTAACCCAGGAGAGTACTGTAGATGAATACAGTATCTTTCAACCATTTTACAGGGCTCGCCACGCCCCTTGAATAGTGGTCTACAGTATACTGTACAGTGTACACTTAGCGAACTCCACTTGAAGTTCACTTGAAGTCCACAACACTTAACGTTCATGAGAAGTGAAGTTTCAAAATCTAACTCCACACGTTCCCTACATACATGTATGTACTGTACACTGTACAGTATGGTGTTACCATCCTTTATGGATTCTTTTCATATGCATACGCGTATATGCCATGATTCATGGTGCTAAAAATTTTAGCAGCTATAGTGTACAGTACGTAAAGTACTGTACTGTATACCATAAACGGAACGCCTACAGACAGAGTACAGTAGTACTGATATCAGAAAATTTCTGAACTTAATGTAAATATGAAACGGAAACGGTGACGAAACAGTACAGTATGCGGATACAAATAGCTAACTAACCCAAACAACCGATCGTTTCCATTTAAAAGGCACGTAAAATAAGAGTAATCGGTCAGCTATATCAACTTTGTCTAGTTCACGATGTGGGCGGGGCAGTGTCGTGGTTGCCAATAGTCTGTTAGCTGAGCTACTGTAGTTCATGAGTTTGGTGAGTGTCGTACGAGTACCGTAAAGCGCAGCGATTACAGTATCATAACTAATTTTAACATCTTCAGATTTTAGCAGCGACATTATATTGATGAATTTATGTGATATTTCGTGAACTGACATCTATTACTGTACCGTAATATCGCACTACAACGCTCAAATTAAAGCTCGTTTTAGGAATGATTATAATTATATGATGTAAAGAAATATATCATACATATATTGATACAATGATTATCGCTTTCTTAATCTTACTAAGATTAATGATTATAATGGTGCGTGTGTACTACCTAAAAATGATAGAACTTCAAACATCTACTCCAGTCATTTAGCGTTGAAAAGCAGTAAATGTTGCATATAGCATATGTTGAAATAATGGTCATTTTACTATAAATGCTAGGCTGTAAAATAATTAAAATACAATTGAAATTTTCGGCTATACGTAAATCTGATAATATACTGTACTAGCAGGAGATGGAACAGCATGTAACAATCTCTATGGAGAATACTTGTAAAATTAATCGTTGATCTTCACTTAAAAATGTTACTTACCAAAATGAATAACTATACACAGGAAATAATACTGAATACCAGACAGAAATATATGAAATATTTTGAATTGTGCTAGTATAGCTATGCACCATTACATTTATTATGGTGTACTACTGTACAATTAAATGACCATACGTCAAACGTAGGTGTTCAGTATTAGAATTGGAAGCTCTGTGCAATATGATATTAAAATGCTCCAGTATGAACGATCAAATATTTAGAACTTGTAAAACCCTTATTCAAGGTTAACGTAAGCTGTAATAAATAAAAAGAATTATTATTCCGCGCTGTTATCATCCTGTCCATCATGTTTTAATACCAACTTGCAATCAAGAACCTTTGTATGACCTTCAAAGAGTATATAACCTTCAAAATACTTCTTTTCAATCAAGTAAGGAAACCACATCTTATCGTCCGGCCACATGTTATCAAAGGGGATCTGATTGACATTAAACCATTTCGGTAACATTTCTTCACAAAGAAATAGGTTTAATCACGTTAACAAAGGCAAAGGTATACAGTATTTACATTAATTCATTACCAATGTCAACGAGTTACATCGTAACAATTCATATACAACAAGAGGACTATCTTTCAAACTCTGCAAGATAGCATCAGCATCATGCACCATAGTAAGATTTGTCTTAATATTAAAATAGTGCTGAAGCACTACCAATTATATTATGTATCTAAATGTATCATCTTAAATTTCATGTAATTCATATATTTTGAAATATTAATGCAATAGATTTAATCAGTGATAATTATCAAGATTAAAAAGTACATTAATTTACAGCTGTATATTAAAGATTGCAAAAGTAGTAGTAAGTAATTTATATGATATGATGAATTAATATTGCAAAAGTCAGCTCTGATATACGAGTATATGCGGTCTGATGATGGTGAGCAATAATTGCTAATTCTAACCTTCCGATTCAAGCGGTTGTCCACTGAACTTGATAATTTCAAAGATGTGAACTTGTAAAATGACAGGATCATTAACAAATTCAAAATCTATTATTCCTCTCTTCGCTAAACTGCTAGCATTTAATGAACATTCTTCTAGTACTTCCCTGAAAAGATGATTGTAAGTTGACTGTGGATTTTCAGAACGTACGCATTTTTATTACATATATTATACTATATATCAAGCGAACTTTACTTTACAAAGTAAATAGTTGTAGATGTACTGTACGCATACGTCTAATAAGTCACATAGGTGCTGCGCAAATAATATCATTAAAAAGCTAGATCGATTTTTAGTTAATTTTATTAGTGGGTTATGATTGCAATTAATACTGTATGCAGTACTCGTATCCATTTAATGATTAAGATGTTGCAGTCCTTGAAAGAAACACCATTAATTTGGCTTAATTACAACTACTGTTTAAATGTACCTTTTAGCGCCCTCTACAATTGTTTCACCGTCTACTACCTTTCCACCAAAGCCATTCCACCAGCCTTCTCCAAAACCCCTCTTTTTCTTTCCTGAAATATTAATGAAACAGCTACGTACGAGTTCTTGCAAAGTGAGAATGAAATTGAAATTCAATAAAACGGCTATGTTGCCAATATACTCAGTACGTAGTAAATAGGCTACAATATTTGCGTTCGTGTCGCTTGAATACCTAGTAAGATTTGATCGCGGCCCTCTGAGAAAAGGAAAGCTAAAGTCAGCAGTTTAATCCTTTTACCATTAGCGTTAGTTCCTGGTTGTATTTTACTGTCCAAAGACATTTTTAAGCTGCATCCTTTGCAATGTGCAATTGTGCATGTGGACGTCGGTGTCTAGCATTAAAAGAACCTCGTAGTCCATGATACAGTACAGTACAGTACAGTACAGTACACTCACTGAGTACAGTACATTATACTGTAAAATACATACTGTACACTGTACTGTACTGTACTGTACAGTACTGTACATTTATCACTGAATTAATTAATTAATACTGTACAGTACAGTAAAGTGGTTTAAATTCCCTTAAAAAAACAAACTAGTATTTGAACTGAAAGTTTTGTTTTGTTGACTGTTAAAAGCGGTGAAATTCATATGTACGAGTACATGTAGTATTTGATATATAACTTTCAATAAGCTTTACTTTACTATACAATGTATCATGTGGCTTTCATTGCGTTTTGGGATGAAAACAATTCTTTGAGTGAGACCAGTCATAGTTATATTAAGGTACGCAAGTACAATCACTGTAACTAGACATTCGGAATAAACTATATAACGATCAACTGCCATGTTGTTGCTACCGCGGATTAATATTAAATTCAATTAGGTGAAATTTCCATAATGATTTTATGCGTACGGGTTTAGGTAATGAATAATATTATATAAATATAAATTATAATACAATGGGTATCATTCATTAATATTTCCTATTCTGTTTACTTTAAACCAGTTAGCAGGCCTCAATAGTTTGTGATACTGTTAAGAGTAGCAACCGTTTACAAGCTATACTGACGGAATGGGAGCCAGGAAATTTTATACATTGTAGCGAGTGGAACAGCAGCAGTATTAAAGTATCGTAGATTACCAACATTTAATAATATTGACTTAATTTACGCGTATTTATGTAAAGTCGCGATTACCGATATGGCGACCGGCAAAACAGAATAGTACATTAGAATTGTCAATGTAATACTGACAAAGGAATACATTTTCGTATAATTAATAGTGCGTATTAATTACTGTATTACTCAATCGTTCACGTAAATAACGTACAATTTCAATTTTCCACGGTCATACAAACATTAACTGAAAATTGTTATAATTGCTAGATACAAATTATAATCCTGTAAATGTAGGTAGCTACAGTAATTAGGATACAAAAGTACAGTACATTACATTATGAGGTTCTGTATCATGATAAGGATCCGTTCGATAAATTTTTTTCCATCATCATCCCGTTCTTTGAATATTAATATGATATATCGAAGCATACATATAGTTAACTAATGATAGATTTAAATGTTCTAATTTTTCATCAGTAGTTCGTTACAGGTAATAAAGGAATGAATAAAATTTTAAAGTGACATTTACAAAATGTTGGCGATTGTAGTACTGTAAGTTTAGCGTGAAGGTTAATTCCTATTTAGCATCGAAATTACTAATATCTACTACATTAGAAAGAAGTACTTACGTAGTTTGATGGATGTAATTACTTGTCTGAGCGCTGGTAAAATACTTTCATTCCAATTTAGTTACAGATACTATGGCAGTTTAGGGTTTAGGATTTTATTTTAATGAAGTTTAATTCGTTTTACTAAATATAGTTAGTTTGGATTTATTGTGGACTCCACGAAGGTTAAATGGACCGGTCATGAAGAGAAATGCGATAGCTATTACAGAAGTAACGCCAGCTATATTACGAACCCTGTATTAGCTAAAATAAAGTTAGCAATTGTAAACTTTTTGTATAGTTCCTTCCAATGTTCTGTCAATCGCTCATATTACAGTTTACAGTAAAGCTTCTGTTCCTCCATCTTGTTTCTAGCATGGTTTACATGCATACACTAGAAGCTCATTGAATTATAAAAGTGAGGGAAAATATTCATATCGTGATATACTGTACAAATGACATTATCCTCACATGGGAAAAGAATGCATAAACGTACCAATAATTAATAATGAATGACCGATTAATATTTTATAGTCGGAATCCGCTTGATATTGGTTCTTAAAGCATTTTAATTTATACCAGCAAAGTTTAATTTCTTAATCCTTTCTACATCACGCTAATACTAGGCGATATGTGGAATAATATAACGTAAGTAGATCTAGAAAGGCATAAAAATTAATCTCGAAGTTTTTTGTTGTTGTAGTCTTAAAATAAAATCCTATAAATTTGGTAATATAAATCTGGAATTGTAGGCCGAAAGACTTATCGAAACAGGAAAACTATATACAATTAGAAATAAGTTGAATCTTAGAAAGTTCACCATCATAACGATGAATGTATATATAACTCTAACCGTACACTTGATATTTTAAACGCAATTTAGTTGTACTGTTAGTATTTTGATAGTACTACTTATTTTAATATAAACTTGATAGCTGCCCTAGAAGTATTGGTTTAGTTACTTCTATAGAAAAAGACCAAACGAAACGAACTGTACCAGCTTTAATCTATATGATTTTCTCGTTTTGACTCATAAGCTAGCGTTTTCTTTACCTCAAATATCGTCATCACAACATTAAGTATAAAGTATATATTAACGTAGTAATACTAATATTAGTAGTCCTATACGATAGTGTATTTATACACGCTATTATTTCGAATATTGTAATGGTAGTATAGCTATGGGCCTTAATATACTGTAATGTGATTCTAATCCAGGTGTTGAAAATATGTGTTTTGTTCAACAATCTTGTCTAAGCAACTTAATTAGATAACTGTAATCCAATCTAGGATAGACACACATACGAAATCATTGCTCTTTCTATTAATCTTTGCTACTGTAACGGTACTGTAGACTAATATTTAGCAAATTATACTCGTAAATATTGTATTTAACTTATGATTGCAGATAAGTTAATTTCCTCCTGAATATTACCACTTTCAGAGATAATATATTTACATTTATTTGTAGAGTGCGAGATAGACTGCCTGCATTGTTACATACGAATCAAGATAACAATCAAGATCGTTTAATTCATGCTGCTAGGGGCAACGAAGTGAACTATCACCTACATGATCTAATTCGTGACAACAGAAATCATCTAATTCAGTTAGAAATTCGAATCAATAATCAAGACATAGTATCTAGAGCATTACACCAAAGCTTAGTAAAATTGCAAAATGATATTAAGTCCATCTTTGATAGTATTAGTGGTAAGTTACGGGATAAAAATCATGATTATCAAATGATTACGAAAGATACTCTTGATCAAGTTGCGCAGTTAACAAAAAGATTGCAGAATACCGAATATAACTTGCTAGATGAAAAGCGAAACCGTCAAATATTTTTGAACGAAGTGAAACGATATGAATATGCTGCTGAGCCAAATGCATTCAAAAATAGACTGGCTACTATGGAACAAGAAGCATCATACACGAAAGAATCTTTCAGCCGTAATTTAGATTCATTTCGTAAAGAATTACACGACGTTCAAACTCATCAACGCGATCTAGAGGAAAATTTTTATGTTCTTAAAAATAAAATAACTTCAGATAGGAATCATTTCTTTGATGAAGTTTCTACTTTAAATAAGGTGATGGAATAATTAATTACAATCGAAATTTCATATACTGAACTTAAAAGAAATTAAAGTGCAATTGTTTGAATTTTATTTCTGTAATAATGTGCGGTGTGTCAGGTTATAAATACCGATACTCAACCTCATTAAATCATATTTTTCATCTTCTGTTACGCATTTAAGTTCTCTTCTAAGTGATAACCTTTAATTCATATCACTACTGTTTTTGTGTCTCTAGATTTGTAATGTTTCAAGTGTTACAGTATTCCCACGGTATAGGAAGCTACGTTGTTAACACTATATATCAACTGCTGTAGATGTTTCCATAGTTTAAATTAAATATTCTGAAAGTGTAAATAGTTTTTATATTTATGAAGGAATTTCACTCTAGATGCGATCGTTTTCAGAAGATGATTGACACTTTATCGACTTCTGCTCGAACTGATAAGGACTTAAGGTAAGGACTTAATATTGACTTATTAATGCTACAAAAGGTAGAACAGCCTTACTTCAGGTATATATATAGAAATATGTCTACCCATTAAGTCCAAGCCAATCAGACTTTAATCTGAAAATTATGCTACCCCTTTAAAATATCAGTTAGCATCTTACAGTAGCTATGTAATAAGCTTTAACTCTAATTATCCATCTTAAATTTATCAGCAAGATCTCCGAAATACAATCAAAAATTGACCAGCATGGAGGACAAATTGAAAGACTGAGAGCCATTATAGGAAGTGTCAGTCAGGAAATTTTTAATGCTACAGAGCGAGAAAGAATAAGATTTAGTAAAATGCTGATCAATTTCGCAAATGAACAAAACTGTAAAATTTTACAAATGGAATCCAATCTAAGGCAGGAAATTCAAAATAACACTGAAAGCTATGCTGAGGTTATCAATAAGGAATAAAAACGGGCAGACAGTATTTAATCTGTCACTTTGATTGATGAGAAGCAATTGCAACTATAATTTCTTATCGCCGTCTATAACTTATGAATCTTTATAATTCCATAATACTTGAATATACTGTAGATGTGCTTATCTTGTAAAAATATTTTTGTCCACCTAAGACACTTAAAGTCCAACAAGATGACATCCATAACTTTGAAAATATGCTGATTACTCAAATCGAAAAAAAATTTAACACTCTAAAATCTTATACCACTAAAGCTTTAGGCGATTTTAAGGATTTGAACCAGGTAGATAAATTATAATCATATACACGTATAATATGTTTTAATTGTATACCGTAGAATAAGAAAGGCGTGATATACTAATCATTGATATTCAAAATTCGCTATGAATTATTATTTGGAATAATGGTTTTTAGAGCGAGTATCGTAAACAACAAGCTAGTATATCTTCGTTGTTAGAATCAATAAACTTATTAGAAAAAGAAGCAGAAGCATCGGATCAGGAAATAACTGAAATAGTCAAAGCTGAAATCACTGAAAGGTTGTTATATTAAAACTTTTAAATCTTGCAGAGAAAGTATTATACTATGGCATTATCTATATCAGACTACGGATAAAAATTGCTCCTTTTTCTCATCCCGCTAAACAACTAAATTTGATTTTGTATTTATATCTCTGAGCATAGGAAAGCTAACAATCGAAATATAGAAGATCAAATACAAAGTTTAGAAAAAAATTTAGCTCACGCAATCAACACTATCAACTTGGCTATAAGTGAGCTGGATACTAAGGTACTAGATTCCGTAGTTCCATTTAGGCTGGATAAATTACTGTCTTTTCATTGTGCTGAATATACCCTACCATTAGAGGCAATGTCTTAGGAATAATACTAATGTATTGAGTATACTAGCGGAAGAATAATTAGATTCACATTACATACCGTAGTTGTTTAGATTTACGCCTATATGCGATACACCAAGGCTACTGTATTACATGAGTACTTCAATGCATCAGTATTTTATTATGAACCTACCAAGGTGGCTATACTAAAGATTCATAAATCTAGCAATGGACGTCATACAATACGGTAGAATCTTCAGCCAGGGGCCGCTAAAATGGTTTCATCAAATGGATTCATTTTAGTGATCTCAGTTTCCGCTGCCACTAGTACTGGAAAAATAAAACTGTAAAGTATTAATATCGACTTCCATACATTGATTCATTATTTTATATGGAGTCTTAAATTGACAAAGTATTTTAAATCAGAAAAGAAGGCATAAAAAATTAGCAATCCTTCGCTTGTTCAATTCAAAATTATAACATGAAATCACGAATAAAATGGATTCAGCTGTAGGAATAGCCTGTTATCTACCGTTTCATGGACCGTGTAAATTACATTAACTAATACACATCTTTTCTACTTTTATAAAAGACTAATGCCTATAAATTAACTAAGGAGATCAATGGAGAGAATTTCGTCAAAACTGATACAAAATCAATTAATTGTAAACAGCAATTACATGAGCTACAGGAGGTAAGTCGCCCTCGTCTGTATCAGTTGTAATCGAAGTATTACAATTATCTAAGTGTAAGTATAAAATAACTGATTCCAATTAATATATTAAAAAAGCAAACGTATGTAAGATTAGAGATATTTATAGTTAATTATTTTGTTTTGAACATCCTTCTTAAAGACTGTGGATCAAATTCGAACTCCTATTCTTAGAAAGGTAACTGGACTCATTAAGACCGAAAATGATGGTCAAACGGTTGAATCTCTTAAATCAGTAAACGGCTTAAAAGTAGATATCGAGCGTCCGATACCTATGCAAGATCATAGCAGTTTTTCAGGACGTGTAAGACCGTCTAAAAATGATGGAACTGCGAATAATCTCGATATTGAGAAACGTAAACACACGTCAATCGTTAATAGGAATAAAGCGCACAGTAGGAAAGGTCAAAGTAATGTTCAAAGTACTTATATGCAATTTCAGGAAACTGCACATGATAAGCAGCAGTTAAAAGAAATAAAACCTGGTGATCAACAAAGAGCAAGTACTGCATCATCACATTATGAACCACTAAGTAATAAAATTATAGGAGAAGATAAAAGTAAACAAGAACAAATAAATCGAAAGCAAAGTTCAACACACAACGAAACCGAACAGATTGCTAATTACGAACCTGGGAGCGTGCCAGAAATTCCAAAGAGAAAATCCAACTTTAAAGATAAATCTAAATTCTATATCAAAGACAGTGAGAGTAAAAAGCGAGATATTCAGACGCAAAAGTTGTCATTATCATCACAAGATCAGGGTTCAGGTCAGATTGTACAAGAAAATCCGGTAAATATACAATCTCACCAATTGCCAGAACTACAGCAATTTACGTCTCCAAATGAAGCATTACTTGACAATCCGAGCGGCACTCCTCGTAATTTTGATAATGATACTCACAGCGAAAATATAGTCAATCCTGTATTTCAGAATGATGATAATATTTCTGAATCCATTTCGGAATTAGCTGAATCCGATAAGATTACAAATATAGCGCAAAATGGTGGTAACGATGTTGTTATTAATAAGAGCCAGAAACATTCCGAGCTAGACCAGCTTTCAGAACATCAGGACTCTAGTAATAATTATCATGAAAATACGGCAGAATCATCACCGAAAAAAGCTACAGATAACAGTAATTTGAATAAATTGCATCAAAGTTCTCGTGATATGGAGGCAATAAGAAATCCGCAGAACTACCCCTCAATTTCTGAGAATAATAGCAATTTGCAACAAAATCCCAATATCATTGCAATTATGGAAAATCTGCCCCTAAAAAAATCATCGGTAAAAAAGGGAGTCGGGAAGAACCGTTTTGATACAACGGATGAAGATGATTCAGATTAAAATTAAGCCCTCATATAAAAGTGGGTATTAATAAAAATAGAATAGAATGAATTTATTTAGCAAGGAGTGCTGCCGCGTAATTTTTATTTATCTCACATAAATTTATTAGTATCTCGAGATATCCACATATTCTATGTAATATTGATATACTGCTAAAACTTCGTGATTGTTTGCTTGCCAGTAATTCAGCCTGGGAAAGGTATATCGTAACGTAGCCTTGTAATACTAGAATATGTTAAATGTTAGCATATAAGGAATAAACTCGGCTTCATTCACATTGATTCGTGCATTAACCAACTCATTATCATTTTTCAGTATGAATTATGTTAAGTTCAGGTGCGATATAATTATTTCCTTATTATCGCATTACATGCCGATTATATATAGTAATTATTATCATCTTAATAAAAATATAGTAGCATTCGTTCTCGGGTAACCGCAAAATTGCCTACTCGTAAGTACTAATTACACAATAGTTAATGACAATACGGACAGAAACATATTTTATTGTCCACAATTGACGCGTACAGTATACATACAGTATTCTGCAAGCTTCTTTATTTGATATAGCGGGTTCGTAGTGCAGATACATAGCGATCAGCTACAAGAGGGACATTTAGTAAGTGATGCTCTACCGTAATATTGATAAGATTTTACTTCTGAATCTACTTATTAATATTCTTATGAATTTTATTAATGAATTTAAAAATTATTCTTTATGCATAAATGATATTTTCATAAGAAAATTTGAAGTAACAGCAGCGCAAATAAAATTAAAATTTATTTAGCCTTTGCTGGGCGCTCGCTTTATATAGGTAAGAATTCATTTGTAGTTGTGATATTTTAGAAATATCTAACTAGTCCAGTTTACCTTTACAATATGTTACTTTTGGTGGATATCAAGTGATAGTTTTTGTTGCTCTTAGTCAATTTTTTGGTAGTATTTCAGTAGGCTTGCGAGTTAGGTACATTTTCCTCTGTTACGTAGGTGTAAATGGCATTGAGTATGCATGCACGGTATCAGTGGCGCGATTTTTAATTAACAGTGGATTTCACTACAGGTCCTGCGGTTCAGTAGATATTGATTATCGTAATGTTGAACAGGCTTTAAATAATATTCTCTTGCGCAATTTTTTTCAGTCTGTTAGTATTGCAAGCTCGATACTGTCATCTTCGGCAGAATTTGGATGCAATCGAAAGGATTATTCCTAAACGATTTACCCATTAAAGTTTCGTAGTTGTCGGAAAATCTCAGTATGTAAAAACAGTAACGATAACATTTATTTATAACTTGTAAATGTTGGAATTTGCGCGAAATAAAATTAGTCAGGAGACTATTTTACGTATATAACTTAAGTTTAAGTCTGATTAAGAGTTGCTTATTTATAATTGCCGTAATTACAATAAACACATGAACTTATATTGTATATAAATCATGCATTTATGTAATATTAGTATGTAGAATGCAAAGATAAGCCGTCTTCGTCTCACATTATACAAATAAACACATCTTCAATGAGGCATAAATATTGCCACTTCGATTTTTCTATGCAATAACAAAATTTCGTAGTAATATGTAAAATTGACAGTCCCATGAAATGTTATTCCGTTGAATTTCCATCGAAGAAAGCCATAGCGACAATAGCTTTCTGGTGCCCGCTATATTCTCTTATTGTCTTAGCATTTTCAACATTCCATAGTCTTGCAACTGCATCTGAGGAAACTAAATTACATTCATAATAAATTTGGTTTGCGAGCAAGCAATCAGGTATTTAAGATAGACTCTTATAGTTTAGTAAAGCAAAGGGATTAACAGAAACCATTGTAGCTTTAGTCAATAATTTACCTGAAATTAAGTATTGTGGGTCAGTAGAGAATGAACAATCCCATACCCAACGCTGTGACGCATTCGATAGTGTTGATTTAAGTGTAAAATCGCATGTTCGCCAAACCTTAATCGTCCCATCTGATGACGTCGTAGCCAATAATCTACAAAAGCATGATCAGTTATTGGAACAACTTACAAAGGACTAATGACACTTGCAAGGCTGCATACATACAAATTTACTTACGTCGAATCATGACTAAATCGACATTTGATGACGTATGTATCGTGACAGTGGATTTGCGTTTTTGGATTTATTATTAATCGTTCTTCCGAATCGAATGATCCTCTCAGAGCGTAGACATGGCAAATACCCTATCAATATTTTAAGCAGATCGTCAAACCATCACTACTTTACGCCAGGTGTACGATGAAAAAATATTAATCGTCAGAAAGGATGATTAGGAATTATTGTATATCAGAGTTTACTTACATTACTACAAGCAACGGCTAACATCGATGCTTCACGATCGATGTCAACGCAAGTGATTGCATTATCAGTGCTGACAACCTATAGTATTTAATTTAGATTCAGTAAAATTGAATAGATGCCGTAGTTTTTAATCGTGCTTACCATTCTCTCAGATTGATTCAATTTTAAGTCCCAAATGTGAAGTGTCCCACTACGATCACCTGCAATAATAGTAATCTGTTGAAGAAAGAACAAGAATATAAAAAACCAGTCATTCTTTCGCATAAATAAAATGAAAACTTTTATTAAACTGCGTTTGTCATCATCGAGTACAGTCATCTGATATAGTGTGTTCTAACGTACCTGGTTAGGATGAAGGACGGCACAATTGATAAGGTTAGAGACAGATAAGGTTCTTTGACTTTGCGGATTGCGAGACCTAAAACATTAAATATATGAGCGTCAAATTTTTCGAACAATCTTATCGTATACACTCCTGGTGATAATTTAAGGCGATTAACTAGCTAGTAGCTTGGTACCAATTTTACCTCAAATCCCAAATTCTGACTTTTCCATCTTCACCAGCCGTGAACATCCATCTACCATCACCATGGAATCCTACTGCAGTAATATTCTTTTGAACCCCATCACAATTAATGACCTGATATCAAGAGGTATAAGTTGTACTCGAATCAAAAGAACTTAGATATGTAACTACAGGTGAACTAATGCAAGAATAGTATTGGAAAAGTAAAATTGAATCTTGTCCAAGCTACGTATAAATACTTTACTGACAGGATTAGGGTTACAACCATGAACATCGTACAATCTAACACACTGGAAACCTGAGGGAAAAGAAAATTTTAATATAATTAATGATTGCGGTATTTTAATATAAGTTGTCACCAAAAGTGTGGTTATTACCCGCTGCAGCAATTAATTGTTTGTCCGGCGTTAAAGAAAGAGCATTCACTTGCTATATATAACAGAGAGCAAAGTTTGTTGATAAGATTTCCAATATAGGCTGTTTGAAGTAACTGTCATCAACTCATTATGTTGTATAGCATACACACAAAATACTATATGTTTGTCTATTTTAATAGCATGGATACGTCGAGATAAGCTGCCATTTGTACATTTTGTAGTCTCAGAATTGTAAAAGGTATTTAAATTATTTGGTAATAGTAACAATCGATCTCCAACTGTAGATTTATAAGTTTTTAATCGAATCTAAAGTTAGGACCTATGGTGGAGAAGTTAACGAAGGCATACTTACCGATTCCGGGTGTTGGAGTGTCCTATGGCAAACCCCACTATGCGGTTGCCACAATCGAATAGTATGATCATAACCGCCAGTAGCGAGAAGAACGGCTTCTGTGTCAGCCATTATGCGCTCCAATTTCGGCAGCTTCGGTACGGTCAACTAAACAAGAAGTATTTGCTGTCAGGTCAAATTTGCTTTAGTCGAGTATCTACAGTACCATTTTGTACTGCGAAACTATGTACTGTACATTGTACTGTAGATTGGAATGAGTGAACTCTGTTTTCGCTGCAGTACCACGACCACCGTACTGTACTGTACTATCAGCGATGAGAATCAGTCAGTCAAGCAATAAGAAAACCTGCGTATCGTGTCTGTCTATACTAGTATACTGTACACTGTACAGTACATACTGTACAGTAGCATACAGTACATAAACAGGTAAAATGATACAGCATTAGTACTATACTGTGTACTGTTGGTCAATAATACGAGTAGCAATTATGTCCCATGCTACAGGACATCGTGGTCCTGGTATACCGTACGTCCGTACCAGTAGGATGAAACACAGTATAGGGATTACAATTTCATTCACTAAATGAACAGTTAATACAATAACAATAATTTATTCTACTTGGTCGATCGAGCATCGTACCTATCTAAGATAGCTTAACTGTCAATTTGTTGCTTTCCGCAGATGAATCAATTAATTATCTTCCGCTTCATTTGAAAAGGTAGTTTACTACTTGAATGAATTAACTTGATCCAAGATTCTGTCATACTATTATTATTTATTTAATTCGTTTGGAATATACAGTATATTAAGAAAGAGTAAATTTGATCCAATTATACCTTTAAACTTTTCTCGTCAAATTTCGACAAGTGATGTACAGTGTTGTTACAGCATACGTAACGGTATACTGTATTTGGCATTTACTGAACTATTAATAATTGTGATCGTTCAGTAAATGTCCATAATTTATTACGTGTTTCTTGATAAAATTTAAAAATAAATATCCATTATAATTATATAGAAGCGTTACGTACTTTTATGTAGTAACATTAATGAAGGGGCTTTGTAACAGTCACATAGATACTATACTGTATATTTCTACTTTAAGTGGTTGTACTGTATGTGCATTACTGTAGTCGGGCAATTCATGAATAATAACCCTAACAGTAACTCTAATTATTCATGAATTGTCCGACTACAATAATGTACACCGTGGATTACTAAATGTAATCTATGCATAGTTGTACATAATTTTTGGTCTTGATGAAGCTTTATGTTTGGTGAAGATTAATTGTTTTATGGACTAATACTGTAACATACTGAGCCTAAAATTCTCCAGTACTCTCTACTGGATCAATTTCATTCGCTGCTCTGCATACGGTCTGATAAAGTGTTTCGGTTTTTTTGCACCTTGAACAAAGTTGATCTTCAGTTGAAGTGATCCCATAAAATTTATCAGAGCATAACATTCCCACACTAACGAATAGATAGCATTAATACATTGTTGAGATAATTAATTCATTAATGTCCCTACACGTTTGTCTTACTTGCTTTTGTTATACAAATTGTAATACTATAGTGAGATTGTTAAATCAACATGTATTTGTAGCTAATTAATAATAAAAAGTGGGATAGTAACAATGCTACTGCATTCATAAAATATAATTACATGCAAACTGTATTAGACAATAGTCATCGCAACCACAGCCTTTGCTGTACTGTATACGCTGCATCATCACCCTAGTGACCACACGATAAACTAAACTAAAACATATACTGTCATATTTATAGCCGGGTAGCAACTTAAAAAGTTTAAGAAATACATTGCATGCAATAATTCATCTACTTAAAAAATTTCAAAGTCTATAAAATAAAATGCAGTTAGTGCTTTCAATGTGTTTTCACGTTATTGACATTATTGTTACACACGTTGCAACTGTACACTTTCCTGTATGTAGTGACAACTAATTAATAGATAATAATAGTGAGTTACTTGGTTAATAAAAATGGCTACAATCAACGCTGATTTGAAGAATTTATTGGATTTATCATTAGACCCTTTCCACGGTACCATTAATTTGCATCACTTGCATGGCTTGTTAAACAGCATTATTATAAGATTTAATCGATCGCCAGAGCCTCTGGAAATTGCTACTAGCTACAACAATGAGAATTCTCTAGCAGAAGTAGAAACTGGAAGATCGATAAGAAGTAATTATATGAATCAGCAGGGGTTACAAATCAAGCTCGAAAAGTTACTGCATCATAACCAGGTTATTAAACCTCAAGCGCAAGAAGAAATCTTCAAGGATAATCAAGAGCGCGCTAAAGGTGAACGGAATCAAAGTAATAATGATACACCTTCGATCGAAAATCCAGCTGATTCGTCGAACCCAGAAATTCCTACGCAGAATCATCAAAGCTCTAATCGAGCAACTCCATCGATCACAAATGAAGGAGATAAGAATTCATTTCAGGATGAAGAAAATCCAACCACCTCTCCAACTTTAGATGGCTTAACAGGTGATTTTACTTTTAGCCGTAAATTTTTAAAATTTTGCATTAATTTGGATTAAGTAAATTATATTATCTTTGGCAGATAACAAGGAGATCTCACAATCACAACTTCAGAAACTTCCAGAAATTACTAGGAGCAGAGCGGTATCGTCTGTTTCTGATCTATGGAAAAATAATAACTTATCGAAGCGCATTGGTGCGGCCGAAGAAACATTAGAAGCAGTAAGCTTATTACGTATATACTATAAATGGGTTATAGAATTGTGTTGAATATTTCTAGATATGAGGAGTAACGGATACTTAAAATATCTGATACCGTAAGAATTACGGGGATTTAATTGAAAATATACTGGAAAGATAATTGCTATGATATCTTCTCTCTACGTAGTTTTTATGATGACGTGTTTAGTATGGAATGTCTTGCTGCGTAATTTTAACTAATGTTATTCTACATAATGAATAGAGAATACATCACAATGTGCTATAAACATTTAATCGACAATATTGTGAGATAATGCTAAATTGGAATAGTAATATTATGCTACTTTTTTACGTTAGCTATCGTCAATTCTAGATGGAGTAGTGAAAGAATTAGATGCATTGTCAACTGACTGGGCGAATGCGTTTAGCAAAGAAATAGACAGCAAACTGTCATTGATCGATAAGGTAGGTGAAACTATTGTGAACATTATACTGATGAAGAAACGATGTGGTGATGTGATAGTATTACGCATATTTGTCATCATCATCAGCTAACACTTAAGGTTTCTTTTGTTCTCTCTAAGTATTTTGTAATGTGTTCAGGTAATGCCAGGCCATAATTACTTATTGTCAATCCAATAAGAATTAAGACTGTTAATCTACGTATATACGACACACAACTTAAAGATGATTAATTAACTATATAATTGTATAATTGTATTTTATAATTATTCATGCCTTACGTTATGGACTTTAGCGATATTCTTAGACAGACACCTTATGCGATTTCAAGAAATAAATACGGAATACAGTAGTTTTTATTATCTTTGTAAATTCAGAAACGGTTCACTAGGTTTGGTCAAGTAATGAAAGAATTGAAATAATCATAATACTTTATTTAATTTTTTTCAAACTATACGAGTAACTACTGTACTAGATATCGGTATACTCTCTAACTGATTAACGGGTTCTTGTAAGACAGCCAATAAGGACGTTATTTGAATGTACATTTGATATTACCATTACTGTAGTATGAGCTTAATCGTACCTAATTTGGGTTATTAATGTGTTCAATTTAATATCTTCAATATTTAATATTCATGATAGGATTTAGACGTCAAAATAGGTTTTATTCAACAGTCACTTCATACTTTAGGTGAAAAAGTCCAGGAATTAGCTTGTTCTAAAGGTATTTCAATCAATTAATTAGTTGAAGAAGGAGATGTTATTACTGCAAGAATTTATTTAAATTTTTTCAAATGTTCCAAATAATACACTAATTGCAAATACTAATCGCAATTTCGGTTAGGATCAAAGGTAGATAATCGAATTAATACTTTGGATGAGGAAGTTAATAATGTTAGGACTATCGCGGTAAGGTGTATGGATAAACTGTTTAATATTTTTACACATCTTATGTTCTGCCGTCTACAATAACCTATTATAACTTAAACTTATCGCAAGAGTTGACATTCTGCTGTATTACAAATAATTTTTAACGTTTATATCTACAGTTTAATCTCAAACAAAAAATGAATAAGTTACCATCGGAGGCAACTTTCGATTCTTACGTTACTCGTCCAGTCTTTTATGATGGTTTAAAAACGATGAAGGATTCGATACTTGGTGAGCTAGAAGGGAGACTTCGCAATTTAAATCAGTTACTCCTTAATCAAAATCAAGCTTACCAGGGCAAAAATGAGTTGGCAATTACTGCTGACGGTAGAAGACGTAGTATTTTCGATGCAGATGATGACCCCAATCGGCGAGATTCTTCTTATGGCTACCGGGCAAGATCGCTAACAGCTCATCAAGATCTTAAAAACGATAGATTAAATCATAACGAATTTGAGCGCTTTCGCGAAACAGTTAATAATAAGTTGAAAGAAATTGATGGTATTTTAATCAATAGCGATGATATGTTAGATGAACTTAGAAAGCGAGTAGGTACTTATGCTGATAATGTGGAGGATGCACAAAAGGATATTCAACTCTTAAAGGTAAGTTGTTTAGCTTTAATTACTTACTGAAAACTAAGCCGTTGCTTGACTGCCATGGTAGAAATCACATTAGATTTATGAATTAAGAAAAGACAGTACATAATGCAGTTTAAGTAAGAAATAAAAAGCTTGTAACAATAACGTTCGACAAAAAGTATATTATTCGGTGTACACTGTAATTAATTGAATTAAACTTTATTGGTCTAATTTGAATTTAATATTTTTAATAGGAAAGGAAAGTTGATAGATTAGAGTTGAAAAAACTTAAAGGTTTGGATTGAATACTTGTACTGTAGTTCTGAAAGCATACCTACCATGTTTTTTCTCCTTAAGTACATCAGATGTATTTTGAGTATTATCCGTAGTCGAAAGTAAACATAGTATATAATAAATTCAAGTCTTTAGTTTTCTACTGTATTTACAAGAGTGTATAGCAATCTGTTTAAATATCGTAATTTCGGACATTTTAGATACCATAAATCAAAGCGAGATGTCTGAAAAATTGCTTCAGCAAGTGCGTCAACTCGAAGACATAAGTCAAGAAATTAGGGATTCGATTAAAAAGGTTATAAAATTGCAGCTATGATGATATTGGGTGCCAATAAAATTTCGTAAATAGAATCGCTGGTTTATGTTTCTAAACACTGCGCATTAATTATTACCATTAGACAAATGACGATATTGATATTCTACAGCGACAATCGCATCGACTTCTAACCGAACAGAACAAGCATGCTGTCAATATTAGACAAATCTTAGATAGCGATGATAAATTAAAGCTTGATATCGTAGTAAGTATGTAGCAATATAGAGTATAAATACCGTTAACCATGGTGGCCATTTCATTACAGTAACTGAGATTGTGTACTCGTATGTTAGGGCCAAATATCCATAATCTGGCCATTGATATTGATCTGCTTCTATTATAATTAGTAATTGCTTGATAGCGATTTAAATTTGTCGTTGAAGAAAGTTTTGGTGCTGTTTCATAGGAGTTATTTGAAGCTGCTGATAGATTATCACAAGGTAAAGTAGATAAGGATGATTTGGGCACAGAAGTAGGGAAGATTGATGAACAGGTAATAAAAAATATTATATTGTAGGAAATTACCGTAACTTTATACCGACCATTCGATTTAATAGCAGTGATTTTTGTGATAGTTTTAATAGTTTTAATGTTAACTCAGAGAATAGAAATGGAAACTGTCAAATCGAGTTCTGAATCGTATTAAACTTGTAGTGATAACTATTCTTAATGAAGACAAAGACAAGATGATTGAGAGTAGATAACGCATATTTACGGTTAGAGTTAGGAGACGACACAGAGATTAAGGACAAGAAGAGAGAGCAATGTAATTTATGTGTATTAATACGTTATTCGGCGATAGTCTAATGTTGAGAATGTGTCTTGTACCGATGAGTATTCTAGATCTATTGTAACGTTATTACTGCTGGTTCGATGAATCAATATACAGTAAATATTAGATCACGTAGCAATACTCATATATTCCAGTTTGCTAGCAATTTGTTCTTGGGTTGAGCTACGTGTATTTGAGTAGTGACAATCGGCTAGGAATAGGATAGTATATTTTGCTGGATTAGGGATTCACAGACGTTCTGTAAATGATTCATGCTAGTCTAAAGAGATTTCAGGATAATAAATGCGTTACCACTATTATGCTTTGTTAGAAAGCCGATAAAGAAGAAATTAAGGATAAGGTTAATATGAGTGATTTGAATACAGTGCGACTCCGAATCGAAGCTAAAATTACTGAAACTATATCGAAGTTGGATAAAAATGTACGTATTATAGTAGTTTTATTTACTTCTTCAATTCACAAGAAAGACTTAGATGCGCTGTAATTATACTTTGTTTGATCGCAATGACAGGGCTTAGCGGTAAAAGATGCGGTAGGACAATTAGAGGGTTTGGCTACAGCGGTTGGAAAAAAATTAGATAAAACGTCTATTTCGAACTTACGAAAATATTTAGGTAAATAAGACCTCTCAGTGTACCTGAGGCATTTAGTTGAAGAATATTGTTATCTTTAAATCTTTATTTTACGTATACACGCAAGCGACTAATCGTTTACTTCTTTCGATTAAATTTAAAGTGCTTTTATGATACTTCTAATTGCGTACTATTATGATTGCAATAATAATATTTAATAATTAATATACTCTTCATATAACAATAGATGAATTATATAGTAGTTCATGATCTAAGAGATTCGGTGTTTGTGTAAGGTGAGGAATGTAGTCGTATAAAAAAAATATCCTTTCATTTTTGTATAGAAAAGTATGTTAAAAAGGTAACACAGACTCATACTGGGGATAAAAGCGATAAGGAAAGTCTTAACGTGGCAGAATTAGCAGCAGGATTACGCAAGTAGGTTAACCTGCGGTCGATGATTTGCAATAAAATTAAATTATAAATTTAAGCGCTGTTAGTTTCCTTGATTACTTGGATATCGTCAACTTCAGATTTGATGGGTTACAGTTTTATATAGCTAATATACCATCATTTGTATTTGGCATTGATCGTAGGCGTTTAATAGAAAAGTTTTATTGCATATCTTGCAATAGCCCTGTAGCAAAAACCAAATCTGAGTTAGTATATGCAATTATTCATATGTTGATTTGCTATCCTAGAAAGTTGCGTAATCCGCTGAATTTGATTTCTAACATACATATTTTAGAATTGTACCATCATTACCTTTGCAACAGCCTTTACCGTTAAGATCCTCTAGCCGTGCAGATTCACCAATAAAAGTAGAAGCAGTTCGATTTCATCAAAAACAGTAAGATTCACGTAACTTCATCCGTATTTTGAATGGATTAGTATTACTACTACTAACTGTAAAGTGATAAATAAACTTCATTTCTCCGAAAATCAAGTGTTGTTGGCATGTATGATATACCATCACTGCGCAGCTGCGGCGGTAGTCATACTATTACTTTTCCGCATAATAGACGAGGCATTGCACGCAAGGAAATGTAAGTTTTCCAGATCCTATACTAAGATGTTTATAAAAGTAAATAAGCAAAATATCTTTTTACCGCTCTAGCTTAATGTTATTGAAGGTACAGTAAAGCTAGATAAAAATTTACCGTTAATTTAATTATCTGAAGATATATGCACGTTACGATAGTATCGGCTTTAGATAAGATTTATTTAATGTCATGGTAAGCGAAAACACTAATTCCGGCATTGGAAAATGTTTTCGTTATTGCGATCAAAATGATAGTACAGTAATTGCAATTGCCTTGATCTTGTACTGTATTTCAGGGGTAACAGTCTCGAACCAAGACTTAAATCTGTAGAAATACTAACTGATTCTTATAGAAGTTCTACAGCGGAGGCTTCTATTGCATCTCCCAGCCCAATGCCTGTAAGTTGATGATACTATGGCTAACATTGCGGCTTTGCTATTTATTATTAATCTCTTAATCCTAAATATCTGGTAGTTACATTGACTGAATTCATTAACACTTTCTAATACCTAACACAACATGATACTAGAAATTGGAAAGCAGTTCGGCGCACCAGCTTCACCGACGAAGTCTTAGTAGTCCTGCCGATTCAGGACTTTTCAACCCACTTCAATCCAATCACGTACTAGATGGTCCCGTTGGGACTGCCGCTAAGGAGTAATACCGTGCTTTGCATGCAGCACAGTGCGGAAGACTGTGCCGTACGTAGTAGATTGATATTAAAGTTTAAGGTTTAAAGCTTATTTAACGGTAGGAGATTTAACTAAAATTTGAATTCTATTGATCATGTAAGGTTGGATATGGTATTTAAATATTTATTAACAGTAAGCAATCATTCCACACTTATGTCGTTACAATAAAAACAAATTATCCCCTATCAGAATAAAAATTATGTGATTAAGTTGGAGTTGCTATTAAATAAATAGTTCAACCAATAAATCTGGCTTTTTAGAAATCATAGCTTAAAAGTTGCTGTAAAATCTATTACGGACTTGGAATATTTTAATTGGGAAGGATTTAAGATTTTTCTCCATATCAATTCGAAGATCGAAGTGTATGTAGAATTCTCTTTAAGAAATTACAAGAAATTCAGGATTTTATTCTAAAACTAGCACACAAGAAACACGCTAATAACACTAGTATAAAATTATATACGTCGTACGCTACAGTCACACCTTATCTGGACCAAGGACTACTACGTTATAAAACTACTAATAATTGATTCCTTTTTCTAGTAGCTCTTACCTGTACGTAGACAATAGTAATGTTGTGTAATTTTGTTGTGAACCTGCTTATTGATACTGTGGTAAACGAACTTCTAACTTTACTGCGTTATCTTTCCGCAAGGCATGAGGGTATTTATAGTATCATACCGTACACTTTTCAATGGTTTTATACGCAATACTATATATAAATATAGCTAACCGTAAATACCCGTAAAGTTCCTATAAGATACTAATATGCAAGCAATCTAATTTAGCATCCAGATCATAATTTGTAGTATGATATAGTTTGTCTTCCGTAAACGTTCTCTATTACTTATGTTTCATTATCTATATCCTCGATTTCTAAGAGAGTAATGAACCTGCCAAAGCTTATATTTTTATAATAAAAGTTAATAATAATTTAACGAATGCGGTTATTTTTATTGTTTTATTTTCATGGTACTATAGAAAAAAAAACTGAAAACTTAAATACATTAAACAGCAGTTATTACGATGTAAAAACGATATTTCACAATACTAACACAATAAATTTGCTATGATGTACGAGAACACCATCTGATAGATAGAGTTAATCCACAATAGAAAATAGATTTTGAATGCAGTCCCATATTTATTCATGCACTCAATTTTCGAAAGAGCAATATTTTGTTATTGGCAGGCATGTCGATCTTGAAATAAATAAAAAAAAAATTAAAATACGTAGTACGATATATTTATTTTGTCCACTCCGATATTAAATGCATTGCATGAATTTAACTCTATTATAAAATGAAGTACGGTAAATCAGCAAGAGAAAGATATCATATAAGCCTCCATAGTTACAATATTACCAGGTATAATAGAAAACTGTTCAATCTATTTAGTGATCTTTTTCTCCAGTGATACCTACCGTTTTCTCAAGAACCATGTTATTTTTGTGTGCTAACGTTTCTAGCTCAAATATATCCCGCAATCCCCATTCCGTGCACCTAACAATGAAATTACAGAGCAGCTTCAACCATGACCCCGTATCGCATTACGACATTTACGATAGTTATAAAAAGCAATAGCAAAATTAAGAATATATCTAACGAACTTGCTCTTTAGCCAATGATGAAATTTAACGTTGCTTTCTGGACTGATAACACCGTGAATCGCATAAGGCTATGTAAATTTAAAGTTGTAAACAAGAACGCGTAAATACAGATGTTTAATAGAAAAATTTTCACATAATTGAACTCTAATACCCGCTATAGCATCTATCAAGAGAACGAATGAATAGTGATTGGAAGCATCGCAAGTTAGAAGATGCTCTACAATAATTTCGATATATCTGTAGCAAACTCGCAAAACATACCCCATATAACAGAAGATAACCATTTTGTTTGAGGATGCTGGCTGCACCATTAAAGAGACCCTAAAAAGATAGCATATGCAGCATAAGTATAATTGATAAACACAAAGGTATGGATAAGACTTGCAGAAATTAAAGACTGCATACACTTTGTTGTACTGTATTGTATATTAACAGGATATCAGCATTAACTGTAAAGCACCCAGTCTCATACACGGCACAATTCATTATTTCAGTTAGATATTTATAACTTACTTATAAATTAGTCAGTTGAACACACATCATTATCTCAGTTATAAACTCAATTCAGATCAAAATTAGTTCAGATGATCGGGATAATTATCCCAATTGTACATATATATTATCTGAACGAATCCTTGCAGACTTTACAGAACACGTTGGAAAATCTGAATTTTAAGAATAATGACGAACTACCCAGTGTTATACCATTAACCTTAGAGGAATGATTGACTAAAGCTTAAAGAATGTAAGTTTACTGTACGCGTGCATGTATACTATACATGATGTTTGTGCAACAAAATTTGAATGATCACTAATCATTGTTGTGTAACTGATCTAAAAGCATGGGCCCAAAAACGGCGATTCATTTTTTGTAAGGTGCATGTCTCACTAATAACACTTACAATTGTAGCTTCAAAGGGAGAGATATGGACCATGTTAATATTGATCACAAGATCGTAACCATTTACAGACAAGGATTCCTTCCATCGGCTTGGCTCCCAGGATGCATCAAGTAGTACGGCAGGTTTGACATTAGATAATTGCTCACGATTTACATTTTCTGTTAACCTAGGTTAATTAAAGCTGATGATGTGAGCGATCAAAATTCCCAGCTTCGACCTGCATTAAAGCAATTAATAACTGCACAGCATGGTAGAAAATTTTATAGACTGTAAATTATAGTGGACATCATTGCCTTCCAAAATACTATGCTTACAGAATATGATTCAATTCAACGTTTACTCGTTTATGTGGTTCGACCTGTTTAAGTATTCGGCGTTGATTTCTGTTGGAGACCAAACTGACTGTCGAAATTCTTTTGCAAAGAAACAGATGTGTTGACCATGTCCGGAAGCAACCTCAGCGACAGAGTAACTATCATTAGAATTAAGTACTTGCTTGAGTACATCGCAAATATGATGTTTATTGCGTTCACTAGCAGAAAACCAATGTGTTGCCATGCTTTTAAGTATAAGATTGCAGTATTTCCTAGCTCCTTGGCCTTTTGATCAATAATAGAGTATGAATCAACACATCCGTTTCGATTAAATTAATTATTGTACAATGTACAGTACAGTACTGAATGTTATAATTACATAGTACTGTACAGTGCGACTGCATGTACGTACTGTACTGTATCTGGATTGATAAATACAGTACAGTACAGTCTTATAATAATATCAAAGTGGCACAACAAAGCATTTTACCTCCTTGGTATAAACTTGCACGTAATGATATCATTGTTTACAGGCCTGGTTATGGTGGTCAGATCAAGATCAAGATGCTGTCATGGTATCACGCTGTATTAAATTATAGCAACTTGGTAAAATGAAGTTTTGCAGTAGAAAGTCTACCTATTTACGGCGTACTCTTGATAGTACATTGGTACAGCAATATTTTACATCCTAGGAACATAACATTGTGCATACGGTACTGTAACTACTGTTACTGTACAATTATCGGGTACATGGACTACTAAATTCATAGGTGAACTTACAGTATTAGTCTATGACTGCACCTACACTAAAGATCGTAGTAGTGTCTACGGTCCATTTTTCACTATCGTGCATTTTTTGAGTATACAGTACATAAAAACCAGCGTATCTTTTTGAGTCCATTCTTCAAAGATGTCTTGATAAAACACATTTTTGCCGAAAAGACGGAAATGGCGTAAAAATTTTTAATTTTTAAACTTCTACCTCAAATCGAATTTTACTGTACTGTACACTCAATTTTGAAAATCTTAAAGCGGCAAAGACGAGCTCATTAATATCAAGACATCGTACAGTACCTTGCAAAGAATAGTAACACACTGTATCTCATTATACTGTACACTGTACAGTACAGTACAGCACAGCACAGTACAATAGTTCCATGGTAGTTCATTGTAGGCAATACACAGTGTTTAACTTCATATTAAAGAATTGGAAACGAAAAAGATCACGCTCTTTTTCTTATTCGATTCTTTAATTAATTAATATAAAATTAAATAAATACTTTACTATTAACCAATGTAACATAATACTGTATGTACAGCACATCAATAATTATTATAATTATTATTATAATATGTGCTGATTTACAGTATCGGTTTGGAGAAGGATCATACAGTACAGTACTGTATACTGTGCACTGTACACTGTATAGTACAGTTAGGTTTCCATGGAATCATAACATTGAAACATACATTAATACTGAGCTTAACTATTTAAATGTTGCACGTCCAAGTACAGTTGGTATTAATCCGTCTTACAATCAGTATTTAAGGGCCTAAATTTAGATTTGACCATCAATAGTTGGCCTGTTTATAAAATAAGTGCAGTTGTACGTATATACCCGTGATTTCATTCGTAACTTAGCAATTTTTGGATTACTAGCTTATTGCCACCTTAATACTCGCGCTATTGGGAAGAAACAGGTAAAGAGAGAATGACATAAGTGATAACAAATACTCATATACGAGGCATTGATGATATCTTTTCTTTCATAAATACTATTCAGATCTACATCTTCGGGTGCAAGTAGTGGTACGCTTGTTTAAATATTAAACGCTATAGTACGAATATAATCTTCACTTTAGATTACATAATATCTATACCTGGTTGTTATCGTATGTTATTACAATTTTCCTAATGTAAATTTAGTAATATGAGATGTACTACTAAAGTAGCACGGTATCATATCTTACTAGTATCTAGAGTCAAGATTTGTGTGAGGATCTCTTACCAAGATTATACACACTTAAGATATCTAATAAATAAAAAATAACTTGAGTTTCCACTCTATACAGTATTCTGTAATGAATGTTTATGATATCTTGATAAATTTACATTCTATGGCACATTATAAAACTATGTAATCATAAGATGATATATTTATTTACTTTGAATTTTTTCTCAAAATAAGAATGGCCACTACAGTTATGTATCGAAAGCCAAAATCAATGATGCGTCCTAAGATTTGGAATCCTGCGGTGGAAGATGGTACAGTATTATAACTGCAACGTCCATTTGATAACTTATAGGAAATAGTTATTATCTGTGTTTATTGTTATAGCAGTAAAAACTGTAAAAAAAATCACATATTTTCACGTATTTAACATACATTATAACAAATTTCGAAATGAAGCTAATTACTAGTTTGTAATTGATGTGTCATATAGCCTACAGATTTCAATTAGCAGGATATCGCGATGAAATAGAATATTGCTCTGTTGGCGATAATTCAGAGGTGAATTTGATATGTATACCGCATTTAAGGATTTATAGCTCTACAATCTACAAATATTTACTGCTTATTACTATTAAAAATTTTCTTAAATTCTTATTCTTATAACGTATTCGTGCTAGTTGTCTTTCTGCCATAAAGCAGCTTTAATACTACAACCAGTTATTGACTATATGCTTCGACCGGATAATTATGGAATAGAGCCTCTTAAAAGCGAGTTTATATTACGGTCATGTTATCTTTAACGGTGGTGGTATTTTTAATTGTATCTATTATCTAGGTTGAAAGATGGCCCGAATCTGGATTTGTAAAGAAGCTACAGAGAAAAAAGGATGGATACTTTTATTATTTTAATAGAAGTCGTGAATGTGCAGACAAGGATCTATTTAAGATAAAATTATTTGAGTATTGATGTTATGAAATTGGCTATTTTCATCTGATGGTAAAAGAATGAAGTATTTATTGGGCCAATACTGTTACAGAACTTACAAAATAATATCTTTTGAAAGCCCGCTACAGATTGGATTGCATCGTGTTTAATCTAGCGATATTTTTTTTTGTATCAAATTCATCGGAGATTGTAAGATTTCTAAACTATCCTACGAATATTTTAACAATTCTTAATTCTCAATTTCTCATTAATCATAATAATACATAAATTAACTCAAGGGGGTACCATAGCTTTTAAACTGTTCACTCATTTCAGATATAGGTCATATTTGGTCTACGTGCTATAAAAACCTATTTTGTAAATGATTGTTAAAATAAATATAAATTCTTTAATGGATAATGATTCCATTCACATGTAAAGATACGAAGTTTTATAACAACTTATCTCACAGGTATTGCAATAAATAATTGTAACATTTTTTTTTATACGATTTAGTAGTGCGATAGTTCAGGTATGGCTATATCACAATATTGATTTCAATTTAACTTACACAAAATAAAGATCTTGTGAATTCAATTTAAATTCAATTTTATTATGTGCAGTTATTTTTCTGTGTGACGGATTGCTTTCTCAATTATTTTAAAATTTAAATTGCGAATATATTACGTACTGATAATTTTACTGGGCGAATGTAGCTGAATTATGAAAATTTTAATGGATAAAAGGCTCATTTATTGCATGTAAAGCGTAGACCTGCAAGTTAGATTGTAGATGTGGTGAAAATTCTATAAACGTATACAGTAGTACGAGTGCCCAATGGTGAATAAATATTTTTTTAGTTTTGTAATAGTAAGTTCTGGCTGACGTTCAATTGAAGGGGTAGTTCCTAGTATGATTAAATCGTGGAGAGAGCTGGCCCTGGATAACTAAGCACAGCCACATTGGTGAATAGACACAGGCTTTAAATTGATCGAATACAGAACTGTATCCTACTATTTCGTGGGCGTAGCGAGCTCTCTATACTAGTTGAAAGCTGTTCAGCGTATATCCCATAATTAGATCTTTAAGTTTTCAAGGGATTTAATTTAATATTTGCTAAAAAATTTCACGTAAGCAGATTCTGACAATCTTAGGTACTGTTTAATTTTTTGCTTTGTAATGCAATACTGAGCTATTTTATTATCTTTTTCAATTGAATACAAACTGTAAACCCTAGTACGTATACAGCTAGCCCCGACTAGAAAAAGACCTGGACTGGAGTGAACATTCTTTGGAGAAAGGGGGCGTCCTGTTTTAAAAACTAAAAAAAATACATGACACATACCGTACAGTACAGTACTGTACACTGTACTGTAGTTGAATAATCTACATGTATTGTTACTGTACTGTACAGTGCTCATCTTTAGCTTACAGTACTGTGCGGTACTGTACTGTACTGTATATTATCGCGATACAGTATGGCTGCAACCAATCAAACTGTACAGATGACAACTGTTCAAGTATTCAGTACAGTACAGTACTGTACTGTATATTATATAAAAAAGTTGACCGTAAAAAGAGTAAAATAATGAAAACTTATACTGTGATCCTTTTTCATAAAATTAACTGTCAAAAATTCGCAGTCGCACACTTATTCTATTCACTGTCAGTAACAATTTTACTGAGGATCCATTATTTGGGCAAGAATAGAAGTAAAAATTATACTTAAGTACACCAATAGAGTTAATACTGTGCTACCCGATCCCCTTTCGGTCCGAATGGGAATTCAGAATTAACGGTCATTTTAGGTAGGAAATTATAGCCGTGTACTGTACAGTACGGCTACAGGCCAGTACGGTAAAGTAATTATAATTACAATTACTACCTACCAGTGTACACTGTACCGTACTGTAAGCCAAAGTTTGGCCGATTGCAACTTTCAAACTGTTAATCGACAACTCATAATGGTTGCCATCTTTAAGATGTTATCCGCCTATTTTAGCAGATATTAGAAACTAGTAGCATGGAGACGACACAACTAGCATTTACTGATTCTGCCCAGGAAATTAATTATTGGAAATCTATAGCCAACGAAGCCAATCAAACGTAAGTCGCGAAACCTGTTTCAGTCGACACCGTACCTTGCTTTATATTCCTTTTACTGTATTCAGTATTCTCACTGTCAGTTCAGGTGCTTTGTAAAGAAAATCATCCCAGGATATTTGTTATAGATTATAATTTTATACGCTAGTAATAACATATCAAACGTAGAAGCTTTACTGAAATATAAAACATTTCTCGAAAATCATTGATGTTCATGTTGATAAATACTATACCATTAAGCATTACATTATTATCGTAACAGACGATTTAATGAATAAATGCCCTATGGTATTAAAATATGTACATGTGTCAGGATCATAAAAGAATGATAGCAACATCACGCTTGCTCATTTATTTGCCACGTTGTGAATGTATCTGTGTGTTGGTATCGGATCAATTTGATATACTCATTTAGGGAAAATTATTGATTACAGGCAAATATATTTGAGATTGTCAAGTACTGCATCAGCAAACTTTCTTAGGCGAGATTTCATAAATGATTTTTATTTAATATTATGAATTACGCGGAAGTATCTCCTCCAGAGGTGGCAAATCAGCTTACTTTGTTATAACGATAATCGCCTCTGTAACGAATTGTGTAAAAGTCTTACATACTGTACATTTGCGATAAAGTTAAGTACAGACTACACACAATTTTATTTCTTTCGATATAGCTAATGTAGGCGTAGATTTAATGTAGCTAACCGATTAATGACTAGTTGTTAGACGCATCGCGAATGTTTGCAGTAATCACGATTTCAAGTTACATTCTACTTCCATTATATGGTGCTAGGGTGCAGGTTCTTATTCACTGACATTATAATTAAGGATTATTACGATGTTAGATGATTACTATTAGTCGATAGCTAGACTAGATATCAATTAAGGAATTATTACAGGTGACACTAACTTTTAATTATTCTGAAATTTCAGGGTTCAGCAACTTAAAGATGAATTGGAAGAATTTCAGGAAGAGAGTCATGATTTAGAAGCTGAGTTGGAGGCACAATTAAAACAAGCTGAGAATCGGGCTAAAGATTTAACGATAACGAAGGCAAAATTAGAACAAGAGAACGAAGTTTTAAAGGTAATCACTTGAGTTCCCTAACAAGTTTAATCGTCAGTGGCATAAAACCTTGTCAATGGCTGTCATCATAATTTACTGGATTTATTTCATGAAGAAATTCTTTGCATATAACACTTTACCTCGGGACCTCAATTTTTTGTAACACGACTGTATGTAAATGAACGTACTTTAGCTTATCGTGATTATTTTTTATTACTGCAGTAGATTATCTAGCTGTAAATTATCGCACTTTGCAGATTTTGATACTTAATACAAGTGGTAAATGGTCAGCTGCAAGCCTGTTATACTGTATTTACCTAGGTCACTACTGCAATAATAGTTAAAAGATGTATCTGCTGTCAGTACTGTACTGTGTCTATATAACTGTGGACTACTAGAAGAAAACCTACATTCACGAAACAAGTCATGTTTGTTTCAACCTGTTGCTAGAAAAATGAAACAACAACATCATATAGTAATAAAATACCCACATTGCTAATGCTAATAGTGGTTACTACTATTAATAGTAAATTATGGGGGTTTAGTCTGCTTGATATTCGAAAATAGTCGATTACAGTCTTTATTTTAAAGTTCACTGCCCGGCTTGTAGACTAGTTTTCTATCATTTTTGGAAGAGCTTGTTTGGTCTGCGGAGACCACCACGCTATGACAATGTCTTATCACTGGATGAATTGCGACAACCATATATTACATCGTTTTAACTCTGACATCGCTTATAGGTAGTTAAAAGTAGAAATTGAAAATTATAACAAATTCGCAGTTTAGTTGATGTTGAAATATTTCGTAGTATGTAGAGCTTGGTTGCAGATACAACTATGTGATATACAGTATTCGCTCAGCAATGCATCTTCATGCAAGCTGCAAATTATTAATCCTACATACTCAGTTAGAGAATGTTTTACGTAAATACGCACGTAATAATACATGAATATTGGTGCAGGAAAAGTTTGACACGCTTTATAAGGAGAGTTATCAAGTAACAACGCGGTTACAAGATGAATTAGCCACGGCCAATAGCACTAAAGAAGAATTACAGAAGCACTCACGCAAGCTTGAGCAAAAAAATGACGATTACGAACGTGCGGAAAGGTATGTTTGATATGTGTAATGTAGATAGAAGCCACAGTTTAAGTCCTCATGCAAATAATCGAAATGGAAAAAAAATTTGACGCAATAGCAATTCATGACAAATTAGCAAGCAAGACAGCGTTCATTTAGAGTATGACAACATATGTGCATAAAATAATTCACCCGAGGCCATTGCAATTTTACTGTCGTATCGGAAATGAGCTAGTACAGAACTAATATAATATGATACTTAGCAATAATTTGCGATAACGTACATTATTTGTGGTTGTTACGTTTTCGAAACTCTTCTACTTTGTAACAAGAAGGATTTACTAGAAATCTGTAGATGAGTCCGCTCAGTCCAGTAGAGCTAGGGTATTGAACAAAACTTTATTGTTCTTACTATACCGTTATACAGTCGAACAAAACTAACGGTTTACTAACGGCATATTACAAATGCCAACGAATTTGATAACATTCTTGCAAATAAGATAACAGCCGGTAATTAATTCATAACAAATGATAACATATCAGAAATGCGCTCAGATAACTATTTTATCTATAAACTCTTCTATGGACTTTACATACTGCAAATTTTATGCCGAAGTGACTGTACTCTATAGTCAAATAGAATAAGCTGAGTCGTAGTCGGCTTATAATATAGAAACTGTATCAACATAACTGACGAAAATCTCATTTCGTAACAGTGGTATACTATCGGCAAACTATAAATCGATTATACGTACCTGGTTCTGGATTCAATACATATATATATATATCCACTATACCACTATGGTTATAATATTCGTTGTATAGGTATATTACTGTTGCATCTTTGGTTACATTTATAATATGTGAATTTTTTGCGCTATGTAGGTCGACAGCGGTAACTTTACAAGATTTCGAAAATAGATTAAATCAGGTTAGTGTTATAATGTCGAATGTGAGTAATTCATATTATTACTATATGCAGTATATCATTACACTTGATTAATTTTATTATAATATTCAATAACTTAATTTCAATTACGGCAATTGTACAGTAATAGTACTGTGCAATCGCATAACTAAGTTAGCCATACAGTACCAGTAATGACAGTTTTAGTTTATTATCTTCCATGAAACTAAACACTATATGATAGGAATTGACTTCTATTATGTATTACCTTATTTTAATATGGTTCATGCATTATAAACGGCATTTTGAATCAACTCTGAACAAGTATATTCTATACCTAAGATAAATTATTTCTTGGGCTTAATTTCGTTTTATAAGATGTTATCATAAAATCGTTAAAATATCAACTGTGAGCTTTTAAGCACTTTACAAGTCGCTCTCTAACAAAGAATAAGTGTACACTTAAAGAAGTATCATTAATATCCTTTGATAGGCCCTTGAAAAAAATGCTTTATTGGAAAATGAATTAGATGAAAAGGAAAAATTGGTTATCTTAGTTCAGCGATTAAAGGATGAGTGCAAAGGTTGCTGTCGCTCCGTTAAAAGTTAATTTTTAAATGGTTCAATTTAATTTATATAATTTATGACATTCTGTAACGCAATTATTGTTAATTTAACGGATCTACCGGTACTATTACTAATATCTTTCAGAATTAAAAGAAGAGTTTACCGCTCGTCAAGTTACAGCCGTTGATACTAAAGATGTTGCTACGTCGCCTATCCGAGAAGTCGCAGGGAGCGACTACATAATCTCGCCATTTAAATTTTCAGTATCGAGCTCTCCTCGAAATCGTTCATATAATAGAAATGGCGCTGCATCTCCTCGAGATATCGTCGATTACGGAAAAAAAATTTCTAATCAAGATTCGAATCTTCCGGTGAATGCTCGTGTAAATGCTATGAACATAGTTGGAGATTTACTAAAGAAAGTTGGGGTACGGTATAAAATGATGTAAATGTTATTTCACTTATATCTACGGAATTGATTGATTTATACTACTGTTATTCTATTCAGATATTCATTTTCAATGTTAATCTTAAATCCTGGATTTTCCTTATGATCTAATAGCTTTAGTATTATAATCATCTCACATAAAGTATCGCCTTTTATAATTAGGATTTGGAGTCTAAGTTGTCGTCTTGCAGGAACCTTGTAAAAGAGCAAGTCCGATTTAACAAAATCGAGAATGATATCAATGTGTATGCAAACACGTGAGTGATAAGTTCTCGTTTTCTTTAATTGTACGCGGTATGACGCAATGGAAGAATATTTTTTAGAACAAAAGAGAAACATCATTAATTTTAATCCAAACTGTATTAAAATAGACATCAAGGCAACCATAACTTATTTTTCTTTTTTCTTATCAAAATTTGCTATGGTATTGGCAGAAGTTCAAAACTCCTTAGTCCCGAAAAATGTATGGTAAAATATTTATTTATATCTTAAAATAGTTTAGCAATATAAGATTGTATGTCATTAATTTAGGTAGCACATAGGCAATCTGTGATGTACTTCTATTGCTCTATTAGATCATTAGGTAAGAATTGTGGATTTATAAATTGCGTTGAGAATTACGTTGACTAAGCTCCGGGCAAAGTAGTATGGCGTGCTGTAAAAGCAGGATTTACTTTGGGTGAGTGCTACATCATTGCCTTAGCCTAAGAAGCTTGCCTTCCTGCCATCTTCGCACTCATTGATGATTATACCACGGAAATGTGGTATATACGTATAAATATGTCGTATCTATTATATAGAATTATGAAATTCTTACTTAACATTTTATTTCATATTTGATTAATATTAATTAATAGTCTAATGTAAACACAGTTGGTGATGTAGGAGGCACAGCAAATTATTTCTTTAAATTTTTTACTTGCTAAGAGAAATCTTATTGCTTCCTATCCTAAAATTTGTAATATGCCATTCAGTGTTCTGCTATAGTGTACAACTGGCATTCTGCGCTTATTTCAGTCATGAGTGTATATTACTTATAAGGCAGTAATGTTTCTTAGTTTTTTATATATTATTTTTAATATACTACAGTTTATGAGAAGATGTCTAGTTTTGATTAATAATAATTTAACATTTTTTACTGCACTGTGAGGCATTAAATTTTTGTTAATTTCACTAGCAGTTTATATATATTATGATTTCACTGTTCTTGACACTAATAATCTAGTAGTAAAGTGCGTGCAGCTTTAGAAGGTATAATATCTGCATCAGAAAATTTTGCTATCACTGTCGATGCAATGATTTTTGTCAATATATTTGACGTCTGTAAATGAGAGTATAGTTTAAATCTGTTAGATAATTTGGTAGGATACGAAGCCTTTGGCTGATTTTCATGCATTTGTTATTTAAGGGAGATTTTGACGATGTCTGGTTGTATAGCGCTGTATACGACTCTAGATCGATAGCTGATCATTTACCGTTTGTTTTGTAGCAGCTAAACTCATACAGTAAAATTATGGAAAGTATTTAATAAAAACTATGCTTTAGAGAGGCCTACTTAAATAAGCTATTCTATTCTGTTACCAAAGGATATTTCTTGATGTGCACTATCATAATCAGTAAAATTATTTTTCACTTGACCCAGGTTGTTGGTAGTATGTTGTAGTAGTTTACAATTGTTGTCATACCAAAGTTACAGCACAGTATCCGTGGAGGTCGGAAATAGTTATTCGTCGTAATTTTGGAAGTGATTGGAAACCACTTAAGAACTTAAAATTTTAATTTTACTAACATTCTACGTCATTAATAATTATAAGTGATACTTTGCCAAATACGTTCTGGCGCACAGTAGTAACCGGAAGATGGCCGCAACAAATATAACGATATAAAGAAAAAAGTTTCATTGTGATGTTTTGCCGTAAGTAAAAACAGTACACGCATTCTTCAAATTAAGAGTATTATCACAACTAAATGCTACGCATTTAAGAAACAGAAATATGTATCGCTAAAATAATGTGGTTTACTCCCGCATCTTATATGGGTACATACAATATACGCGTACACTGCTTAGCTTGCGTGATCAGCTTTTTCTGCGATGCTGGTTGTCTTATTATACAAAACGTGTTGAGAAAGAACTTCAGAATTTTCTGTTAAGGTCTGAGATCACGCGGTAGCTGACGTATAAAATTTTATGTTGTAACTGACTCAGAATAAGAAACCAATCTTAATTCTGATCAACTCTTGTATTTGCCAGGAAATAGCTTAGCTTATTTCTTCCTACTTTAAGACACGAAAAATGCATAACGATACGAACATTATAGAAAAATTTTATAGTATACCGAAATTTACTTTGATTAAAGTCTTCTGTATTACTAGCTGAAAAAATTTATGACAGGTACTGATCGATTTCAGATCATATCTATTTGCTAACAAATAATGAACTGCAGTAGGCATTATTTCAAGCCCTTCTTTAGTCCTTGATGCATTCTTACTACTGTATATGATATAAAAAATCAGTTAAGGTATACGAACACATTTTGATCTAAGTCCTTTAAACATCGGTAGAAGATATTCAAGTAGACGTTAAGGGCAGTAAGAGTTATTGTATTTGATATTAAGCAAGTAATTCGCCAATGGTATTAAAATAAATTTCTAGATAACATAAAATTCTTAGTATTAACAGTGTCTTACGTATATCGATATAAATCCATTTGCAGCCTAAAATCTCTTAACTATCTGATTGCATTAATAATTATAATATATCGTAAATAATCGTGACAGGTACTTTATTCGAGTAGCTGAAGTGGTAACATTTATAGACGTTGGTAAATTAACAATAATGAAGTGATATAAAGAATAATCATGAACAAAGTCGTGAGGAACGATTACAAGTGACATGTCAGGGTTTCTTAGCCATAATAATTGGCTTAGAGTACAGTACTCATAAAGCTGAAATTAATTTAAATTTCTTACAGCAACGGAATAGAATATTCCCACAGATAATAATTAATCAATAGCAAATAAAGTAGTCAGACACTATTAAGGAGTCTCACTACGGCGCAATGCAGTTTAGAATTTAAAGTCTTAAGAGACATTTCGTATCTTTTTGTACTATTCTTGACAATGTCCTATCAAGTTTATTACATAAGGGCTATAAGAAGAGAATTGATGAAATTATCTACATTGCATTGCGATTCAGGAGATAAAAAATTTCGATGATTTTACAGTTCATTTACAAAGCAGGCATTACAGCCTTATACATAATTTAATTTGAATATTTAGTCAAGGATAAAACACTCGATAATTACGCAGTTTGTTAGTAAATTATTATGGCTTAATATCATTTTAATTTGAAATTTTTAATAGATAAAGTCGCAATTAATCTTTATTCAGAGTAGTAAACTTTTGCATCTGAATGCCATATAATTGCGTTGTACGCGTATGCGTACTTGCACATTTGAATTAATAATTAGGAGCGGTGTATGCAGTTTTATTGCAATGCCATAGTACTACTGAAGGAATACATTCGTTAAATAACTCGAAGGGGACTATGATTAAAAGTAATTGCAATTGTTTATAATAGTTAAAATGAAGAAATTGGATATCAGATATTGCCTTCATACAAACTCATTTGTGATTTCATATCTTCCAGTGATTGAATTCCAAATACTTCTTTCTTTTCATTCATTAACTGGAATATGTCTTGTAATTGTTTTTGCTTCACCCTAATGCCGTTCAATTAAATTCATCATTCTGTATCAAAAATTTTTGTCTAGAAAGCGTGCATTCTTTGATTACGATTTTAGGCGTGCTTTCACGTTATCGATATTCTAGTGGTATTATATATATATTTTGATTGTTAAGAATACTACTACTTATGTACTATAGAAGGTTTTAGACTTGTACATTTAAATTGTAAGCATACTGCTAATGTTTGATTCTGTATGATAATACAAATATACTTAATGTTATCTTTCAGTAGTTACAGGCGATATTCGAACTTACGTTCGCTCCTCAAGTCGCTCATCTTCAGTCATTTCCTTTTCGATGTCCGCTGTTTGCAACCTAGTCGATTTAACTTTGCGCTGTATGCGCTGGTACATATCTTCGGCAATCTTTACTTTATCGATTTCATTTTTTAGTATACAATCCACTTGTTTATCTTCTTCCGAAAACTTTGGCTAATTTCGTATCAATAACGGTATGTTTGATATCGAGAATGCCATTAGAATTGGTGGCAAAAGTAATGAAACAAATAATTTAGTATCATAATCATCATAAGTCGGTTTAAAGGTAGCAATTACGGATCGTATATTAGTAAGCGGTAGTTAGTTACTATTGTCAGGGAGGGACTACTCGAAAAAAAGACAAGTCCGTACTATTGTACATTCTGAACTAGTACCAAATTGAGACTCTATGTATCAACTAGTTTAATGGAGGTACGTAAGTTATAAGGCTAAATTGTATACGTGTCAATTGTGATGCGATATATGCATAAAAGAATCACGCTAATGGGAACTTAATTCCAGGCTCATTCAGTCAATTACATGACTGTATTAATAAATTTTGGTAACTTATGGAGCCGTCAATAATCCATTTCATTGATTACTTTGATAAAGTAGGGGATACAGTACATCAGACGATCACTGTGTACGATGCATCGTTTAGGTACATTATCTGATATACTCGTACTCAAATCGCAGGTTATAAACCCTAACCTGTTTTGGGTCTTTACTGTGAAGTGAATTCGAATAGTACGTATACGGTATATGTCTAATTTGAAACTATAATCCATTACTAACAATTGTATCGATTATAGGGCTAAATGTCGACCGGAGGAACAAGGCACGAGTGATAAATTTGTGTAGGCGATGTACAGTACAAGTATACAATATACATACACTTGAACCACTTTCAGTTTTAAATAGTATTATAGTATTCGTATATTAAAACAGTATAAAGTCAAATACAACTAAACTTGAGGTTGGAACAGCATTGGCGAATATTGCAGTGCAAGCTGAAGTCTGTGGAAAAATTTTTTGACGCGATTTTACCATCATAAATCATCTACGGGATTAAGGTCAAAAATTAAATAGACTGTCATTGTTAGTACTGTGGAGTACAGTAATTTAAATTTGAGTACAATTTTATAATATTGGAGTATACGTATATCGCTATTCTCGGAGTCCTATTGTGTGATGCGCATCTTTTGGCTATGGTTAATAATTTTTACTTACCGTATCTTCATCAGTCTTTTCAATTTCGTTATTTTTATAGTTCTGCCTTAATAGATACAACCAACTGGCAATCATGCAGATAGCTGCGATCATAGCACTTAGAAGTAGGTAATAGTTTCGCTGGATACATGCTATTAAAGTGTCTAAATCCATGTTATAATTATTACAAGTCGAATCTCACGCTGGTGACACTTGGCGTAAATGTACTCTTATACAGTAAATTTAATTTTTATTTTAACACTACGTATGAACAACTTTGTTTTTGGCAGTACTTTGCCATGCCAGTGACTACTGGAAAAGAAGAAGAGATATATATATATATATATATATATACTTTGCAATCGTACAATACAAGATTCTACCGTGATTATTATAGTAAACATTGTTATGTACAGGAACAATACCGCACGGTACAGAATTTATAATGACAATGCACGCATCAATGAATTTTTATTAGTGCTTTGATGATTTTAAAACACTAATGGTGAAGGTAAGAACTTATATTTACTGCAATAGTACACTTTTATGTTCCAAATTTTATAACATTACAGTGTCAAACATCAAGATTCTTGAATGGCTTCGCTATTTTTCACTCATATACTCGTATGTACAGTATTTAGTACAGTAGAATCTATGATAGAATCTATAGAATCTGTCCTCTTCAATCCACAGTTACGGTAAGAAAGGGAAAACCGGAATGTAATTTTAGTAACACTCTTTCCATGGAACTAAATTAGGATTCTGTCTCATACAGGCAATGCAATGTATAATAATACTATAGGAATAGGATGCAATAATACGATTTTTATATATCAAACATGTCACATCGACATCAAAATGGTCTATAATGTATGTAATTAATTAAGGAGCAAATTTTACATAATTTTAAAGTTAAGAATGCTAGATATGATAGCAGAATATTTAGCCCAAAATTTACATTAAATTATATTTATTTAACGTTGAACTAAATAGCACTTTGGAGTCTTTGGCCGAGGACAGTACGAATAACAAACAGTTCACAGTCAGTAGCATACAGTACAGACATACTGTACTGTACATAATGGTTTGAACCGAACCTTCCTCAGGTCTTAGTACAGTACATTACCATGAATTTCTCTGGTCACTACAGTACAGTACAGTTTATAGCAAGGTACAGTACAGTACAGTACAGTACAGTACCGCAAGCCTGTGCCATTGTACTGTACTGTACTGTACCTGTACTGTACTGTACTGTACACTGTACACTGTACAGTCCTTCCTGCACTACTATACTATACTGTACAGTACAGTGATACGAATCAATGATTTAATGGGTACAGTACAGTACTGTAGTCAAACTAAAAGCAGTGACTATAATTTTTAGAAGTCCCCGATCGACTAAGAAAGTTTGCGCTGAACACGACAGCGAATGTTTTGATTAAGTTTACTTACAGTTAGAGGAGTAAACTATGGCGGCTATGAAATTTTAAAACGGGTGCTATAAGCATCATTATAGAGCATACAGACTAGACTGTGCAAGATTGCATACTACTGTATGCATTCCTAATTTTTATACCATACTGGATATCCAATAATACAAATGTCTGACGATCAAGCTGTTCGAGCAACAAATGACGATGCTACAATGTGCAAGAGGTATTGATTAATGGATACATACCCTACTCTTATGCAAGATTATGTATAAGTTTCATATAATTGACATCTATTCTTCGTAGTTCATTTTTAAAACAGTGCATGATACCATGATACCGCAACATACATGTATTAGTTGATTCGTAAAATGTACGATAGATAGGGTTATTGTATTAGAACTTAATTTTAATTCAATTTAATTTACCGTTGATTATAACTTAATTTAATCGACTGATTTTTTATTTGTATGCTAATAAAAAAATAAAGCTTCGCAGTTCAACTCGGTTATTGGAAGGATAGGTTCGTCAACCTGATGTCTCGCAATCGTTCGAGAAAAACACCAGAGATTAATCGTGGTACATATTTGTTGTTTCACAAATTTTTTATGCAGTCAATAATCAGTACTTATTAGACTCACTGGTGCGGTAATCCGTATTTGCACTGATGACGTTTCTGTGTCCATGTAGATTGATTGGTAACATAATATCGTTTAAATATAGGGTATTATGCTAGAGTAAAAGCCGTAGGAGATTTACTCAGGATGTTCCTGAAGACTACTGCAAATAATTGCCAGGTCATCAGCCTTGGAGCAGGTTTCGATACCAATTTTTGGAATCTCCAGGTGATAATTTCATATATAGTCCAGCTGTAATGCTTAAATTCATCGAGAGTACTTAGGAAATTTTTTTAATTGTCACTTTTGCGCTATAAATATTCAGGAAGAAGACAATCTACCGTTGAATTACATCGAAGTGGACTTTGCGGAAGTAACTGCAGCAAAGTGTGCCTACATCAAGTATGAATATAAAGCGTTATGCAACATAAACAAATCAAGATCTTGATATCAATTATCATATTATTGAATTTTAGTCTATTCTTAGCTTAAAATTGATTAATTATATTGTTATTGTAATTTCCCTCTTGAAAGGGCCAGAAAACCTTTACATCAAGCTCTCAGCGAAGATTCTGAAATCGGTAATCTCTGCAATACTCTAATAACTTTTTTGTTGGCAAGCGATTTCCTCTAAGTTGATAGCTACGCAGTTATGTCTATATTACTACAAAGTTTTATACTTATACCTGAACTCTTTCTCACCTTGCTGATAATACTAAAGATTTTATTTTCGGGTTATCAGGAAACGATGCCGTACGTTCCAAAAACTATAATTTAATACCTTGTGATCTACGCTATATTAATATTCTTGAACAACGACTAAACGAAATTGGAATCGATTACAGGTATACTGACTTTGTTTAAAGAATTTAAGATATACCGCAAGTGTTTTGAGAGGTTTGAATACAAATAGCAACTTGATAGTGAACCATGGTATTATCAGCAAAATCTGTTTGATAATCTATTTTTAGCTTGCCGACAATCTGCATTACGGAGTGTGTTTTAGTTTATATGGCACCAGATAAAAGTGAAGAAATTATTAATTGGATGGGAAGGCGTTTTCTAGATGCAGTATTCATCAATTATGAGCCGGTTGGGTAGCATGATTATCTGTCCAATAAATTAATAGTTGCTTAATCTCTGTTAATTGCACTCTACAGGTAAACTTAAACGATCGATTTGGCGAAGTCATGTTACAAAATTTGCGAGTATGCTGTTTAAATTGAAAGTTTTGTTATGGCAAATAAATTGTTACAACTCATTTGAACTAAGGTATTGTAATTGAAGGACTTTATATACTGATATGTTTAAAATACAATGACCAGGCAAGGGGTTGTGAACTAAAGGGTGTGGCTGCTTGTCCAACTTTACAATCCCAGGTATTTTAAGAAACTAAATATTCGTAGCGAGTTCTGGTGATCATGATTTATATAGAATTGCAACCTTGTAGGGACTATTATGTATATATATATATTTTAAATACTCAATTTTATTTTGGCAGACGGAACGGTACTATAATGCTGGGTGGACATATGCGTATGCTTTACTGATGTCTGAAGTATATCAACTGTTACCTAGAGAAGAGATCGAACGGTAAACGTGTATTCATCTATAGGAAATTATAAATTATAACTTTAAACTATACATGGGTTACCTGAGAAAATGCTTATATACGAATTTTTACTTCTAGAATCGAAAAAATAGAATTCTTAGATGAAACTGATCTCTTGGTGCAGCTTCTAAAGCATTACTGTTTAAGTTGGGCGATCAAAGATTCGACTGGCTTAGGTAACTATCTCAGTTCTTTAATTAATTAAATAAATTGCTAATGCAACCAAATCAGGTGACTGCGACTAAGAATTCGCTCCTATAAATACATATCATGTAGGGCTAAAAGAGTTGCGATTATAATCAAATCTGGGAATTTCAATCAAATTATAGTTCATGTTCCATCAGCTCAGATAATTTCTATATCAGATTATATTATTGTGGACCAATATAAGCGTCATGGAGATATTGGTTATACTTTGCTACTGTATGATCATAATTAGGAATCTTTAATTGCCGACATGTGATAGTATGCTATCTAGAATATCCAACTATACATAGTTACAAAAACTCAACTTTCGAGTTGTATGATCAAATATGAAATTTCTACACCCAATCGTTTTGATATCTGCGCACTTACAAGTGTAGCCTTCATGTATGGTTGATATTAATCAACGCTACGAGAACAAAATTTAATTTGTTATGCTATACAATGATAGACACGGTGAAACTATAGCGCATTTGAACGAAAATAAAGTTATGCTCCACTTCCTCGAATGACGTGATTACTTAAAAATAATTCTTGTCCATATATCGAAGAGTAAACGATTTGCCTACGCATAGTTTACAGTTAGTAATATCTGATAAAGTTTTTAGAAGTAATAGAACTCGCTTTGAAGTACAATGCAGACTCCATTTTTGCTATTTAACTAACTAGTTAGTTCAGACGAAGTTGCATAGTTTGTTTTACTTCAAGGAAAAGATTTCCACGCACCGTACTACTAATTTACAAATCTTAGTGAATTTATTAAACCTTTTAGTTCAACCCTGATTGTAAAATTGTTATAATTAATTAATAAACGGAACTAATGCTTTATTATAGACGCACCACTTGTAAGTTTAGGATTTTTAAAATCTCTTGACTACTGTTGAAGTATATTTTTCATAATATTCAATCAGATGATTTTAAGAATTATCAGATATAAACGTAAAGGTGAATATCATTAGCTTTGCGTAAACGCACTATTAAAAGATACCAAAATCCACACGGTACTAAATTAAAAGAATCCTTTTTTTGCGTACAAGTTTATTCAACGAATCCTGGCATCAAAGCCGCTTGGAACTGCGTACGGTGTTTCACTGTTGCACTAGTGTAGAGTTCAGGAGTCAGTTAATATAGTTAAGGAGCAAAAGGACAAAAGCTATCTACAGTATTAGATAGTACCTAGTTGCGCGGTTGGAACGTTTGAGTTTCTAAAAGCAAAAAATGAGAGCAAATACATAACTGAAATTCTACAATACAGTAAATCGATGGAAAAGTTTTATAGTATATAGTATATGGGCAGTTTTAGGAGGCCAAATCATGATTTTAGCGCATACTCGTACACAGTACTGTGTAAATAAAGAATAGTATAATTCTGTGAAACTATTTCTGTAGTGCATTGTTGTGTCGATAGAGCATAAATAAACACGACCGTATTACCATAGTTTGTAAAATATCGCTTCGGAATTTTAATACTGTACAGTGTGTTTACTAAGTCTCGATATGTTTTGCAGAAAATAAATGTGTATATGTTGCATACATTATAGCTATATATTACCGTAAGTTTTACATGTTGATAATTAGTTGGCACTGTATTTGTACCAGTATTGGGCGGGTCGGGTCAACAAACCCTTTGGTTCCAACCCGCTCAACAATGATTTATACATCAGTTTAAGTCACATTTTTTTCCAATTTTATTGATATGGAACATTTTTAACATAACGCTAGTTGTACGGCATGTTGTACTATTTGTACACTGTACAGTACTACTGAGATAAGCTGAGTACAGTAATATTCTCAATTTGTCATGGACTACTAGATGCAGTAGATGATAGTGAAATTAGCGAAGCTTAAATGGTAACACTTGTCGCTTTCAACCTAGACTATGTACTACATTTTGACTCGTTTTGTACTGTACAGTGTACAGTTATGGACTACTAGAAGAAGACCTCTCGATTAATCTATACTAAAGTACAGTAGATAAAATAAAATTTAATTTAAAATTTAGGGAAAGTTTACACCAGCAGGGATTACTGGAAGAGAGAACCAGGTATTCTACTATGCAATCTGAAAATGCTGCCCAGTTTTTTACCTCTACAGTATAATATTGTACTGTACTGTACTGTACAGTATTTTGTCGTCGAAATTTCTGATCGACGGTACTGTACTGTACAGTACATCTTTGCCATATTACCGTACTGTACTCTCCGCTCGCTAGTGCCCGTATTGAAAATTCACGATGCGGGCGTAAACCGAATACTGTACTGTCACTGTACACTATACGGTACTATACAGTACAGCATACAGTACAGTAAATGCGTTTCTTAGAAAATCTCCAATCCAAGTTTAACGAAATGCCTACAAGATGACATTTATATGGTAAATCATTGGTTCGAAGTAATTTAAACTTCAACTTTAAATTTTACTTTTATGTGCTAGGAATTATGTTATTTTTATCATTCGTTGGCTGATTTACTGATAGCATTGACTGCATTGCTATAGCGATCTAAAATCTGTAAAACTATAGTCAAGATTGTAAAGTGTTTTTCAAGAAGTATTGTCGTCTCTTTTCAGATAACGCGAGTACTGACTGTACACCGTATGTACTCGTATGTACTCGTATGTAGCTTAGTTAATCTCGTTAAGATTAAAATTGAAACTTTACTTATTTGTTGACCCAAACTACGACATCAAATATCCCTATTATCTTATTGCTCAATTAACAAGCAGCTTTTTATTTTAATCGATCATCAACGTTGTTAATGTGACATTTGGTCACATTGATCGCTACTAAAATTGAATAAAGGAAACATGCTTAATAGTGAAGTTGGAGTTGCAAAAGGCGAGTTGCATGGAGGACGCGCTCGTATTAGCATAACCAGTGTTGACGACCAGTTGTTGAATAACGTAGCTTGTGGTATTAAGAAACAAACAGTTAAGAAATCTTCTGATAAAAACTTTATTAATAAGCATTACAACCATCGGTCCGAGCAAGAATCTCAAGTTAATAGTAAAAGGATAGACGATAACGATAGTGCTACTAGTCATCATGGCAGTAGTACAGGTATTAGCAGTAATCAAGATGAAGGTAATTGGTCACTTGGTACCCCACTACGAAGCTTACTCGGTAAGGTTGTCAAAGCTGTCACCAGAATTTCTTCTGGATATCAGGCGAATACGATCGCAGCTAATGTTAATGGACTAGATGATTCACAATGTGGTGAAAATTACAGAAAATCTTCGAGCGGCTCTACTAGTAGTAGTAAAAGTAAAAATCAATCAAGCGTTAGCTCCCTAACCCATGGCAAAGTACCTGGTGTATCTGGATTGAGAAATCATGGCAACACTTGTTTCATGAATGCCATTGTGCAGTGTTTATGCAATACAGATTCATTAGCAAAATATTTTGTCTTAGGCGAATATAAAATGGACGTCAAACGTCGAAAAAAATCGAAAAATTTAACAACTAATGGTGAATTGACCGAGCAAATTGCTGTGTTATTAAAAGGGATGTGGACATGCCGCTACGATGCACAAATGTCTAGTGATTTTAAAGCTGTGGTTGGTAAATATTGTAGCCAGTATCGTGGTTCTAATCAACATGATGCTCAAGAATTTCTGTTGTGGTTACTGGACAAAATTCATGAAGATTTAAATCGTGCTGTTAAGAGTAAATACAAAGCGACCAAGGTCAGTTGATAGCGTCTACCATAATACACAAATGTAGTTAATACGCGTAGTTAATACTGTAACACTAGCAGTAAGTCTCTTTTATCCCTTGCCCATTCGTTGTATATTGAGGTACAACGAAAATATTGGAAGCTCCTGCTAGGGAGTTTCACTTGAAATATTTTTTGTTTTGTCAATCTAAAATGGAAGATGTACAGTATAACGCGTAGAATTATAGTTACTGTATTTATTTATGTACTGTACTGTATATATGTATTAACGAAATCTGCTACAGCACAACTGACTAATGTAGTTTTGCACAGGGAATGTTATCCAAATTTTTCTGCTTGAGTTGCAAAATGCTAACTTAGTGATATCTTATTCTGTTTAATACTTTATAGTGATAGATTGAAATTTAAAGTTGATTATAATTGTAGAAAACTTGTTCGCAAATCTTGTATTTTGACAAGAGCAGGAGAAAAATTGGAATGTACTGTACAGTACAGTATGTGCCGCGTTCATACGCTAACTACTAGTGTACAGTATAACATTACACGATCCTGCTGACAACAGGGCTGTACTGTACTTTTCGGTATTGCACAGTACATACATTACAGTACAGTATTGTACAGTACTGTAGTATCTGGAATCTCCGTTTTAGTGATTTTAGTGACCGTAAAGTAAATACAAGAAGCTGACAGAGCTAAGTTCTGCACACTGTTTTAGTTGGACAAAACGTGCAAACGCTAAAGATCTTATCGAACGAATTGCTCCGTAAAATGTAAATTCGCTCATCTTATAGTATATGAGTTATGTAGCTATACAGTATACGCACAAATCAAGGCTACCCGTCACAACAGATATGCTCATACTGTATACTGTATGTATGCAAGTGCTGTTCACGCAATGCAAAAGCGATGAGAATGTTTCATGTAGAGACCATGACTTGATCTGATTTCATGCAACGCGCTTGTCAATGCTCGTTGACGATTACCTTCAAAGTTATCTATTTTATTTATGTATAGCGATAGAATCAGACATAATTGAGATCATTTTACCAGGTAGTCATCGTGCGTAATTGCCTATATTCTTATCGCTCTTTTTAATTTTACTGTAATCTTCTTTTAATTTAATCTTATAAATTCATTTAGTCAGTCTACACTTATCCATGCATATTCTGTACTCATTCAGTGTTAATGCATCTTTAAATAAGTATGTGTGCATTACTGTAGAAAGCGTAAAGGCTGTTCGTCTTCCATTTATGCTTTCTACTGTACTGTCACTTATTACAAATACCGACGCTGCTACCAACTTTATTATGAACAGGTTATTCATATTTTGACTCGTTCATCGTGTCATATCAACGATAATTGAATACCCTGGCAAAAATTAGTCTTGTGTCTCGATAGACTTTCGAAGGATTCTCATTGTGCATTTTCTTGATGCAAATATATGAACATGAATTACAAGATTGTAAAATAGTTCTTGATGAAAACCAATCTGTTATCTAGCTCAGGTGCTCCTCAGCAACAAACTGGCATTGAGAGCAATGCAAAAAGTACTGATACACAGTCTGTAAGACTTTGTGTGCATATATTTACCACGATAAACTAAACACCAATATCAACTTGATCTACATTAGCACTTATTCGGATTACGAACTAAACTTTTGCGTGTATACAGTATTTGTTACGCGGTATCTTTCCGATTATGTGACTATCAGTAAGGGTAACAACAATGCTGTCAAATGTGTAGACATTATTTTTATCAGAATTGTGTAACTTTGTTGCAATAAATGTCACATTCTAGGACAGTGTTGGTCGCCCGGTTGAAGCTGTTGCAGCCGAGGTTTTAGCTAACTATTGCAGATGTAATGATAGTTTTGTGTTGGATACTTTTCAAGCCTATTTGAGGTCATCTCTTACTTGCCCTTCCTGCAATCAACAGTCTAATACATTTGACCCATTTTTATGTGTATCATTGCCGCTATTACAGCGTGATACCCGATTTGTGTCAGCCACAGTTGTTTACTACGATTTATTAAAGCAGTGTTGCCGCTTTGGTGTTGATATATCGCCTGATGAGACGGTTGATAGTTTATGTAAGATATTCAGCCAGCAGACGAATATCAAGCCAGAATTAATGTTAGTGGCTAGTGTGGATTATTATGGGATTCGTCGTTTATTAAGCAGTAAAGACCTGGTGATGGATATTAGTAGTAACGATACCTGCTATATTATGGAGCTTCCGAACTGTATCGATGACGCTATGGAAACAACAGATCGGGCTAACATTGCTCCTAAAGCTACAGAAGAGACATATCAAGAAGTTAACAATTCAGAAACGATTGCCATTGTTATTATCAATAGGAGAGGTAGTGGATACACGGCAACCAGGTAGGATTCATTGCTGGGATAAAATTGTAACTGATGCAGGTCCCTTGTATGTATTAGTACTATCACCACACTAGTGTTTATAGAATGCTCAGGTTAGGTACTTTTCACATAGATTTGGCCGACCTGTTGCTTTTCGATGTCATCGCAACATTAGTTACGAAGATCTAGCTAAAGCTATTTTACGAAAGATTTCGGAGACGCTTACGGAAAGGATTAATTATGAGGTTGGAAATTGTACAATGCCTGCCGATTTTAAGCGCTATTATTTATAGCGTTGTTACACGTTACTCTTGAATCACTTCATGATTGCTTTATTCAATTTTGTAATATTAGTACTCCAATGATAATCCACCATTTGCCTTAAGACTTGTTAATGCTACAAAAGATTTGGGCCTATTGAATCAAACCGACGAATATCCTTTACAAAATCAAATTATAGACAGGTATACGTGCATCTATATATATTATTTCAATTTAGACTAGATATCTATCCATGACATATCCGATCGACTTTTACTTTTGTATAGAGCCCTGTCAGTATGTAAGAATTGTCCGTCTCACATTGAATTGATGATAGAATGGGACGCTGAAATGAAAGACAAGTAAGCTTGACAGTAACTACATATTAGCATGTTACGTAAAGTATCTTTCGTTAGTAATTAAATTTTAGTATTGTGCTTGCATGATTTACATCTATTAAAGGGATGAGCTTATAAATTTATTTTCGGAAACCCATATTAGAATCATAGGTTGTGTTATTGAAGAAAAACCAATAGAGGATATAACTGTTGCTGAGAAGGGGAATTTTCCTTCGAGTATTACGTTATATGATTGCTTAAAGATATATACCAAAGAAGAGAAGGTAATTGATCTTGTTACATAACTCTACGCCATAGCACTGGTACGAAAGATTAAAATAAACTTTTTACTTCATGTAGCTTTGTGAAGACAGTGAGTGGAATTGCTCAGCATGCCATAAAGTTCAACGTGGTATAACAAAGACATTAAGCATGTGGACATTACCAGAAGTGATGATTGTACATTTGAAGAGGTTTAAACAGGTTAGGATTGTCTATATTTATCATTACCAGTCAAGCTATAACGAATAATATGAGTTATGTTTTCTGTTATTCATAGATTGGAGCACATTTTACCAAATTACATGACATTGTAAGCTTCCCTATTGTTGGGCTAGATATGTCAGATTTTATCGGACGGCCAGATAGCGATGATATGCATAGTTACGGAAGTTATCGCAACCAACGAGATTTCAGGCATCAAAGTAGTATATATGATTTGTATGCCGTATGCAATCATCATGGAAACATGGGTAGCGGCCACTATACGGCATGTTGCAGAAATCCAAGTAACGGACGCTGGTATTCATTTGATGATGCTAGAGTTGAGGAAGTTTCAAGCGACTTTATTGTTACGAATGATGCCTATATACTGTTTTATGCCCAACGCACTGTTGGCGCCAATTTACTATACGACTATTTTGGAACCTCAGCTTTTTCTCATTGGACTGAAAAAGTCATATCTTTTTGTGTTGAAAGTTCGGAGGATTCTGACAATAATGAAACTATTAGCAAATCAGAATTGATAGAGTCCTCACTCGTGAAAACATGGAATGGAGCAGTTGATGCTAATAACATACTATCAACTGCAAACGAAGTCCCTAAAAGTGAGGCTAATGTCAATGAGATGGTTAATGTGAAATCAAGTGATGATTTTAGGAAAATAGAACAACCTAAGGATTACACTTCGCCCAATTCCGCAGAAAGTTGTGGCATCGATAGTGTAAGCGATTCTTACACAATTTCAAAATGTAAAGTTGTCGCAGAAACTGTCGTTTGATATTACAGTATTAGAAATTACGTGCGATTAAGTTGTTTTAGTTTAATGCGCGTTTAATTTTAGACATGCTATTAAAATGTTGATTATTTTGCTATTGCAATTGTTTTCCAATATTGGCGTATATGACATGGTTTTTATAGTTTTAGTATGGGTCATACTGTGAATAGTGAATACTAATGGGATAGTTTATAACAAGGAGAGTATTTAAAAAGTCATGATTTGTTATGTTACAAACTAAAATGCTAATGCGGTAAATTATATGTTTGAATCATCCTACTATACTCGTATTATAAAATACAAATGGTTTTGCTGGGATAGGCCTGCTTGGCTTAGGGCCTAATATTTCGAGAAATAAATTTTATACTTGTATATTATACAACTATCCATCCACTTACCAAACAATATTGAGATTATTTCTTATCAAATTTGAGATCTATATTAATGCTGAATAATGTACATACTGTTTGAAGTTTGAATCATAGCTTCATATCGCTGCTAGAGCAAGATATTCGCTTATATTGCATCCGCACGGCTCCTGTTCCTGCTTGTGCTTTACATTGTAAACTGAATGATAAATTGTATTTCTGAGCAGCGGATATGCCAATTTAAATACAGGCTTTACAGCTTTTAATGCTCGATTTATACCTGACATATTTTATTGATAAACTATTCATATTTTATTTGGCAGCTAGCGTGTAATTATTAATCAATTATATTATTAAAGGGATGCAGAAAATCGTTGTTCATTTATTAGGAACGAATTAGTAATTGACATTATATTGGTGATTGATTTGCTCGCTTGTAGTACAGACTTATTCCGCCAAACTGGTACTAGCAAGCTTGCAAAGTTGACGACCGTTGCATAAAAAAGTGTAGAGCATTTTTCTAAACCGTAAAATACATCGCATGAATGAAGACAGTCGTTACTTTGTAAAGTAACGAGTTGTTTCGTAAATAATTACGGTGTTATCATACTGTTATTTATTTAGAGAAATAGCAATAGATAATTCAGTAAATACGTAGTAATGTAGTAATATCCTGTAATTTTACAATATATCACAGTTGCAGTAGGCACCAGTGTCCTGCATTTAACTAAATATTTGCCTGTTTCAAATTTCTACCAAATTATTTTGTCCACCGCCCACCCGCCCAATACAGTACGTACACTGGTAGGCAATATCTTAGCACGATTAAAACACTTAGTGCAGTTCTTACTTTGTATAATTACAATAGTTGCCCCGTTATAGTAAGAATGATGCACTGTCTTCTAAACAATGAACACTAATGTGATAGTGATGCGATATTTAAGTGTAGAGAACAATCACTGAAAGTTTGCTTGTCGACGACCGAAAGAGTAATCCATCTAGAGACCGCTCATTGTACTGTGTTTCGATTCAAAAAAAAAAAAAAAAAAATATTATATTATGCAGTACGCTACCAAAGTCATGTTTACATCCTAAATTGTTTAACTGTAGAAAAAATGATGTCACCCTGCAGTTTGTACTGTAGCGAAAGTTGTGCTTTGTACTGTACTGTATAGTACAGTACCGTAAGGTCCAACATACTATACACAAGCCTATCTCAAGCTCCTATACAACATTAGCTACTGTACGCTACTTTGTGTGAGGGTCCACGACTAGGATCGACTCTACGATACTAAGTACTCTGCTACAGTACCTACTACCTAGGATAAGGGTGACATCATTTTTTTCGACACACAGTACAGTACTACAGTACTGCACACTCTACAGTACAGTACATACTGTACAGTACACTGTGACGTTTTCACAAAGCCTCAGGGACCGTAGACCCGGACCCTGAACGAGACCGGGACTCGTCAAAAAATTAGACTGCCGGCCGATCCCTCTTTCGCTAGAGCTTACGGTACAGACGTACGGTTACAGTCATACGAAATCCATACAGTGGACTACTAGCGAAAGGATGGTCGAAGTTACTACTGACAAGTATTGTACAGTACGTTGCTGTTACTGTAGCACAGTTGACACTAAATAAATGAAATTGGAACTTTCTACTCTAGTTTGGTTCAAATACTGAACAGTAATTTACTACTAGGGCTGGTTTTAGCTAAATAAAATAAAGAAAACTGAATTGAAGCGGTAGTTAGTGTTGCACTGCACTGTACTAGACGCTAACCAACTTTGATTGTGGTGACTGGACCGTTTTAGAACTAATTCCATTAATTAATTGTTAAGGGAAATTGAAAGTTTGGTATGTTAGTGCTGCAGCTGTGAGACTCCATGGCAGAAAAGAACTCATTACAGTCACCAGACCTTATCGTCGCTAGCCAATTAGGGCATTTATCCATCGATCAGTTACCGCCTGAGGAAGATGCTTCGCATCAAATACACGCCGCAGAATCCACCCCAGGTTTGACCTTGCAGGATTTACCTGACGAAATGTTAACTCGAGTCATGGAATTCCTTCTTGGGTGTGATGTGGCCAGAATGGCATGTTGCTGTCGTGCCTTTGCGTATATCGCTAGCTCGGAATATCTTTGGAAACAAAAAATCATGACTGAGTTGACAAGTAAACCAGTGTTAGTCGACGGCGATACATACTATCGCTATTATAGTAAAAGCTATTTAGGGTACAAGTACCATCAGAGATTGTTTCCACGATTTAAGCCTCCAAGTGATACATCTCTTCGATGTTATTACCAATTTGTCCTAGGATCTTATAATCACAATTATCAGCAAATGATTTATGATTCTACCGGTAATAATAATAATTCATTAAAATCGACAATCAAATGGATCTCTTATGTTTCTTCTTCGTCGAATAATACTGGTGATCGTGTAACAGAGATAAATTTATTTCTAATTCAAGCCATGCGCGATGGCTTCGATGTGTGGGGATCTACGTTAATACGTCTTGGTGCTGATATTAATCGTTATGCCGCTGATAATAAAGCCAAACGTACTGTACCTTTCACTCGAAATTTCGGTAATAGTAATGGTGGCAAATATAACCATCCTGTTCGTGTAGCTATTGTAAAAGGTCATACCCATTGCTTACGGTTATTATTGAATCGTGGAGCCAATATTAACCACTTAGCTAGAAAACGTGTTAACTCAACGTTGTTCCATTTAGCTGCTTTTTCTCATCAAATGGAGTGCTTACAAGTCCTAATCACTAAAATTGCTGATGCTTATGTTATGCCTAGCCTACATAAACTCGTCATGTGTAATAATATTGAACGGCTACGTTCAGTTTTAAAGACATGCTCAGTTGACGAGGTTAATGAACAAGATCGATGTTGTTGTACAGCACTGTGGTGGGCGCTTATATTAGGATATGTCGAATGTGTAGGATTATTGCTTACTCACCATGCTAGGACGGCCAAGATCGGTGGTGCAAATGAATCTCGCCAGCCGACCATGTCGGCTTTGGCAGCCGTATTACGATGGAAGCAATTAGACTGTTTAAAATTACTAGTTCAAAATCGATATTGCTTATATGAAGATTTACAAATAACTGAGTATCTTGGCAATTTCAACACATTAGAAGTAGCTACGCGGAGTAATTTTAGCCAAGGTGTTCAATACTTAATTTCAGAACATTCATTCTCTCCACGATCTGAAAGTTGTCGAGCATTGCTATTAGCTGCTACCCATGGCTGTTGTGATAGTTTACAAGTTTTGATTAATGAAGGTGCTGTTATTGATCAAAGAATACATTTGTTATCTACAAGAGAAAGAGATCCATTGCGACGAATTGATATGTTCTTACAGTTATTACAAGCCGAAGATTACCACTTATTTTGTCCGTTACTATCAACTGCGAAATATTACCACCCTGAATGTATGCAATTACTGCTAAAAGCTGGTGCTAATACGAATATTATCTATGGGGATTATGGCTCTATCCCCAAAACAGTAGCACTACTAGAAATCGTTGTTTATAACTACTTCAAGAAAATCAGTTTACAACCTGATAAGAATCCCATGACTGAAGAATTAGATATATTAGTTGCTATTGTTAGCAATAATCAATTTGACGTTGAGAAATCATTTACTCAAATAACAGCATTTAACTGCTTGAAATTACTATTAGAACATGGTAGTGATGTGAATGCATGCTATGAGAACGGTCGGACGGTATTACATGAGTTATTATGCTGTAACAATAAGCCACAGTTTAATCATTCTTTATTTCAAACAAGATTTGATAAATTGATTGAACATTGCTTAAATATGTGCATTTTATATAATGCTGATGTTAATAAATGTGATAAAGGTGCTAATAGTCCCCTGCATGAAGCTGCTGCTAGTTTGAAACCATCTTGGATTGCCTTATTGTTAAATTCTGGTGCCAGACCCAATATCTTGAATAAGAACTTAGTAACACCTCGACAACTAATCAAGATGAATACAATCCATAATATAAACATTGCCAATGCTGCAGTAGTTAAGGAATGTGTTCGACTATTATTTGAAGCCGAGAAAGCTACTGGACAAGTTAATCTTATGTAATCAGTTTTAAGTATTTAATCAAATAATTCATCTAGTGATGCCAGACTAAAGTTGTTGTACAACTTACTTCTCATGCTAACCATTCTGATTAAATTATACCCATTACTAATTTAAATTAATTAGACAGCTTATTTGACTTCACCAACAAATACGATGTGTTAATAACGCATTCAAATATATAAATATATATATATATGCGTACTTACAATTAGTGTTTCACAATTAAGTTCTGGAAATACTGTTTGTTTGTTATTGATAGTGAAATGTTACGACATTCTGTAAATTGCATAAATACAATTATGTGTATATTTCATTGCACGCCAGTGATACATTAATTTTTCATTTATATCCGAGGATTGATCAACCAACTATGAAATTTAGCTTATTTTATTTTTATATAAATGTAGATATATTACGCTCTTATTTTATCGAATAATTGTTTAAGTATCTACTAATTTCATTAATCACTTTGGTAATCCGCATGTTAGCTGCTAACTTTACCACTTATTACCACTATATAAGATCGAGCACTTCTGTCTAGTTGTAAATGAATCAGCTATCTAATATTTGGTACAAGAAAGATCAGTACACGTGAAGTGAGTTTTTAGTGCTATCACTATAATTATCAGTGTTGATTACGTATGGTTTCTATTACAAGGATCTAATGGCTAACGTATCTATGAATTTAATATAATAAATTTGTTTTCAAAAGGCACTATCACAATCCGTGTAGGTGGCTTGTTTTTATGTGTCGTATACGTAGTGTATACCGTACTGTATATTTATCCACAGTCAATTATTATCTTGCTTGAAGTAAGGTGAACGAAACTAGTAAAGTTCTAGCATGGACTTTTAAAGATATCTTTCTTAATAGTCCATGGTTCTGGCTTTAATTATACTGTAGTCCAGTCAAGTGATGCTAAGAATGTAGATCATTGTTGGGATATTGCAACTGGTTGACTTTGCGTAAACATTTATTGATAGTTTCTGTACTTATATTACAACGATTTCCTTTTGTCAGTGCCGTCCTCCACTTTTGCTCGCTGGTTCTTGTCCAATGATTGCAAATGCTATCAATCTTTCTTTTCAACTTTTCTTCATCGGCGACTTTAGGTTGTTTTATTGTATCATGATCAGAACTAGTGTAGAATTTGAATGAAGATAGCCTACATAAAATCAATTCTTTACAATGAGTTGAAGCATGTGAGTAAAACAGATCCTTTCATAGCGACTAACGTAGTTAATTATCTCGCTGCATTGCCGATGGTACCTTGTGGGTTATACTAATTATAATCTCATCGGCTACTACGGACGTCAGTACTCGTATTGGAGGTTAACGCTATACTTACTCACTTAATTACATACAGTGAAAAACATGAATCTGTGCAGGTTACTTCGTATGCTGTACAGTATGCGCATTATTACATATTCATATTTAATAAGTGTGTGTATATAGTAGAAGAAAATACCATAGACTACTGGATTGTATATCTAGTAGTCTGTAGAAATACTACCCGTACGTAAGTTATCTCTGAGCGACTTTAATTCGATTGTATCCATTTCATAACGAGTATTGCGAAACTATGGTACTGTAATACAGAAATCGCTTTGTGTATTGCATTCTGTAGTGCATTCATATACGGCTATTTACTATACTGTACAGTATGTCAATACGATTCAATTAGAGTTCTGATATATGCCATGTAACAGCAAATCGTCATCAGTATTTAATATCATGTTAAATTATAGGTATTGGTACAGTATAGCATCTCAAATCATTTTATAAATGCAAAAAATCATCACTTGGTAAAATTATACATGTAAGCCACAAGTAGAGGTGCTTACAGTATAAATTCAACTTGAATTTTCATCGCGGTCTATCGTACAAATTTACAGTGGCCAATCTTGACCAAGGTGGTAGTACCGAGTTGACTGTCAGCGGTCATGACTTCTGGCATTCCTACATACGCGTATTAGATATTTCAACAGCACCTTCCAATAAATCTGCCACAACATTGTAAACTGTATATCGCATGTTTACACAAAGTGGATAGAATTCGAATTCCTGAGACGGCCATGATTCACGAATATGCTAGTTAAAGTTGACTAAGACAACTTACTAACTACTACTGAACATCGTGAGTCATAAATATTATATCTTATCTAGCATTACATAAATTTTGAGGGCAAGAATCATGAGAACGAATCGGCACCGCTAATTTATAAAGTTTATTATTATCTGTATCGTGAACCTAACTATTAAAAATAATTGTATATGAAATTATATAAGTCCTGATTATGATTCTTGATACTTTTATTTATTCCTTTACTCCAAAACTAACATATTCTGATACAATATTTTTGGGTAATTGATAACGCTTTCCAATAATACTATGCAGTTACATAGTAAGAAAATGCCACACTGTAGTTATAGAAGTGCACATGATTTTAGCTGTATTTTAATCACATGATAGACTATGGCTTCCAGTAAAATACAACGTTTTAGAATTTCATATCCAGTGTATTGCGTTGTAATGAACGTTGCGCATTAATATTTTCAAAATATACGAGTACAATTACTCGGCATAACCTGTAACATGTGAGCGTAAGGAATGCACCAATTGAAAATGACACATACAAGTTAAAAAAGGAGTGTGGTAAGCATCAAGATTTAATTATTTATTACATTAGATTTCTATTAAACTATAGTAATCCAAGCGTAAATTTTAATCGCAAAAATTAATAATATATTTAGGGGTAACACGATAACTTCTAAAGAATTTAACCGAATAGAATCTTAAATGCATACTGTAAAAGAATATCTAAATTAATTAATTTTAATGTTGCTGTCGTCTTATGGAATTCAATTTGACTTGGATGAATTTGTGTACCATTCAGTAGGACTTTCTTTGGTTCGGATCGTAAGCCAAGAATGGTGATATTTTGGATTGGAGGTATATAAAAGTGACAACAGTGACCCTGACGAAGTGACATCAAAAATAAATTATTAATTCTCTTAAGCAATATAATCATTGTATGACAATTCTATCAGTTGTCAATGTTCATATGATATAATTGAGCATAAGATTCTTACATTGTTAGTAACTTCAGATTTAATGATCATTTTTCCAGAAGCTTTGAACGCTTTATAAACCACAAATATACTTTACATAGTTTTCATAAAGAGACATGGATTAGAAGCAGTACATGGTAGCTAAGAGTGAAGCACGACTTTTGATTGAATTATAATACTATAAGTTCGGCTGTTTAAGCAGCCTTATCGCAAACAGTATAATCTATTTGATATAAAATAATATTACCTTGTCGTATTCAACGATATGCCATCATCGAAATAGTGTTTACCTATAGAGGTACTTTTCGAAGTAAGCGCTATGAGCAGTTTAAACGGATTGCGTCGTGTAGCAGTAGTTGTTAATGCTGGCCTCTGCATTGGAACGGTAACACCTCCGCGAATGTAGACCTTTATAAATATAATGAGTAAAATAACATGCTAATTGTCCTTTAAGAGATTGAATATAGGAAACTGTAGTGTCACTTACCGGGATTTTTTCAAGAGGGGCATTAATTGTCTTATGGCTACCTTTATGGTCATCGCCATATTCAAGTTTATACGTCAAGATATCATACCATTGCCCTTGAGGAAAGTAAGCTTTAACAGATTTTGCACCTATGACAGTATAAGTGTGCAAATAAATTCTTGTTAGATACCGTAGTTATTACACCAAGTTACCTACCTACATTGATAAGCACAGTGCGGTAGTCGTAAATATTTTAATACATAATGAACACATCGAATATACTGTACCTTTAGTCAGAACTGGACAAATTAGCAGTCCAGGTCCAACTAAAAATTGCTTATCAATTGAATAAGTATTAATATCATTCGGAAATTCAAAAAATAATGGTTCTAGCACAACTCCAGTCCTATGTTCTGCATTTGCGGTTGTTACTTGATAAAATAAGGTGTAATAATAAGGTAGCAGGCTATAACGTAGGGATAACACTTGAGAGCTAATACTCGCTACTGACTTCCAAGTGTATGGCTCCTGTTAAATAACAGCATATAAGTATCTATTAAATGCGCAGTATTGATACTTTTCTTATAGCTTCATTAGTACAATCGAAAGTAGTCAGTAGTGCTACCTGTGGTTTGGCACCTTTAGTGTTATGATTACGGGCAAATGGGTAAAAAGCACCTAATTCCATCCACCGAGCACAAAGTTCTTCATTACTGTCTCCTACGGTTGGATTTGATAACATTGCAAGAAAATACAATGAAGTAATTTCGTTTATCTTGGGCACAGATTAAGTGTTGATTTAACCAATGTATTATGATAACATCAATTAAACAAACTAATCGCAATTACCATTGAATCCGCAGATATCAGAACCAATCATAGGTATCCCGAATAACTGAAAGTTGAGTACACCAATGATACTGTTGTGCATATCGTCAAAGGTGGCATGATTGTCTCCTTGATTTATGAATAAAGGTTAGTGAGGATAATTATTTGATTTTCTAATATTTTATAAGAAGATTCTTACCTGTCCAATGGGCAGTATAAACTCCAGAACCAGGCCAGGTAGATCGACTTAGAACGAAAGGTCGCTTACTGGAGATGCTAATCAATGACTTATGAGTTGCTCTAGCCTCTAATAGTCCTACAATACCAAAGATACTTAACGTTAGTACCAGAGTTGTAAAAGTGGTTAGAACTTGTATCTAGGTACGTTAAGATTAACAGGTGATAATCTCTTGTATTTATCAATCTACGCATAAATTTACCATAAAGATTATGAGCATCGTACTCCAAGATACCATGATAATGTAATGCATCCATGTCAAGAGTTTTAGTATTTAGTGGTAATTGCTTGTTTACATTGTTAATTTTATAAGGAGGGCTATTGACATCTGCTTTAACGGTGTTGCTAATGTTGGTAAAACTCCTACGATGACATTCTCCGTTGCAAAAATTACTAATTTCATTCATATCAATCCATACTCCATCAAATTTGACCTTTTCACGGAATGACTGTATCTATAGAGTAATATTTTATTTTTATTCAGGTTATTAGAGAATTTATTTTACTTATTACCGTACGTGGCCTAAGATGTAATCGTATATATAACACATGTATTCTTATATTAGCTTCAGCATTACATGTTGTTTCCAGTAAGCCAAGGAAGCTAGAACAGAAAATAAAGAACTTGATTAATAAATTTATTTCTACTACAATAAAAGGATAATGATGTCATTCGCTTCCAGAATTACTATACCTGGGTTAAGGAAATCTGGGAAAGCGGTATATCCAGGCCATACTCTGCCTACAAATACTTTACCATTTTTATCCTACGAAATAAAATAAAAGATTCCTCAATATTGTCTTTAAAAGAAAATAAATGGTCATTTGTTTAAAGTGCATCGACATGACTGTTGCTGTTGCAAACAAACAATATTAACTTCGCACAACCTTAATGAATATATCATTTTTCAATCCTGTTAGATAAGGTTCATAACTGCTTGATGTAGATATACCACAATCGGTCATGATAACTAATTAAAACGAAATTATTTAAAGTTTAGAAAATAGTTAATTGAGACTGCTAGTTCTCTGTATGGATACGTGTCCCGACGTTACCGTAGTGTTGGAAATTGTCATGTAAGGTATTTGTGAAGTTTTGCATTCGTTTAAGTGGATAATTTATTGGATCCAACGTAAAATCTTTAGCCTGTTTAAAAATAAAGCTATATTAGCTATATAATTATAACCGAATATTTTTCTTTTCTATGATAATAGACCCTTAACATAGTGTTAACATAAAGTGATAGATTGTAGACGTCAAAAAATATTAGTGTAATTCATGTAGACTTAATCTGAATGACTTTCAATTGTGAGATTAAAAATTTATGATAAGAAGTGCTACAGCGTAAGCAAGACGGTAATTGGTAAAATTTGATATTTGTGTATCAACTGGGCAAGATATCAATCAATCATGCGGGCTTTTGTTAAGTGCTTTGAATGACCCTCAACTATTAAAGCAGTGAATAAACACGAAGACCCTATCACTGAGGCATAAGTTCGTATATTTAGCATTATGTTGGATCCTACCTTATCCATATAATCTATATCACTCCAAATTGTATCCAGTGGAATCTATGAAGACATCGATTACTTGTAAAATTATTTTGCGATACAGGTATGAAGTGAATAGAGAAAATATATATTTGATATACATTATTGTCATGGTATTTTTTCACCACGGTTTCAAGAGCTTCCACATTTCGATACCCGAATCGACTTTGATGAAATCCTAGCGACCAATATCTGAAATATAAAGGCTTTCCTTAAAAAAATTTGCTGATATTGAAGCGTGCATTATAATTAAACGGAAACAATTTATACAGCATTTCTAATTTATGCGAATAAATTTCGTTACAGTTATTACCCAACAATAATGTTATACTAGGTATTTTGATATTAATACAGGATCTACATATATGAGGTGACAGTACGATTATATGTCAGTAGGGCCCCGTCAAGAACATGTCTCTACTCTCATATTCTTTACTGAAATTATTCAACTAATGATACATGTTTATATTTGAACCCACATACGAAGTTTCAGTCGACTTAGTCAACGCTTACTATGTGCACCAACCTAAAATTTAATGTTACTAAGAATTTTACTCGAGCGATACTTCGCGTTAATCTTTTGGCCCTCGCCCACTATCTGCGCATTAACGGGGGCCTATAATTATTGCACAGTAGATAGCTTTTCAAGCGGACAAAAGCTAAGTATTATTGACTTAGCTAATATCAGGGATTAACCGCTTAGCAGTACTTTCTTTAATAGTAGCACATAAATAAATTTTTACATTTGTATAAATAATAATGTCGTTAATGCTACACGTCGATTTTGTCAATATATTGCAAGTTATTGTAACTTACGGTATCATCACAGGTCGACCAATAACGTCATGATACTGTTGCACGACGTCGTTAGCGGTGGGACCGAGGAAGAAGTAGAAGTCGAGAACACCTGATTAAAAGTAAAGTGATTAACTGTAATAACTTTCCCGTCATATTATAAAATTACAATAGCAGACAGCAGCTTAATTGATATTCTTTTAGTACATACCTCCGATAAGTTTATAGGTCAAGATATTGTTGTAATAGATTATATCCATTCCATTGCTGTTACGTAAAAATACACCGTGGGCATTACCATTGTGAGGACGGACATCTAAAAGGAACGGGTGAGATCCATCTGTAAGTGGAATTAAAAAGTTATCATGTTAGCATTGTACGCAAAAAAGTTTAGATTACTGCATTCCTTTAATGATGTAGTGAATACTGTACACAGATTGACTTTTGGTGGCGTTCCAATATCATGGTTCCAAAGCGTTAAGAATGTCCCACTAAAAGTATAGTGAAATGCTCGAATTAAAAAGCAAACGTTGAATTTATTAAACAATGCAACAAACTTATACACATACTTTGATATAAGAAAAGGGTCGATATGTTCCCCTAAGCCATAAAGGTGCGCATTTGAGGGGAGATGGGTACTGATTTCAAGATACTGATCATTGAAGAAAACTGTAATGAAGAAAAATAATGTTAGCTATTATAACGTATACCGTATATCATTCCAGTGTACAGTACATAAAACGTAAAATTTTCGATATGCGTTTGCAAGTTATATTTTTAAGGTTACAGATGGTATTAAAATTAATGGTCTCTTGGTTAAGGAGGCTATTGGCTATGATAACTTGCTATTTCACTAGTCAATTACTGTGCAAGCGACAGTATACTTACTTTATACGTAATTTATAACAATGTCTTACATAAATAAAAAATTAGTAAATATCTACAGTTAGATTGTGAAAAGAGATATATGAAAGATATTAGTATAATGGAGTTACATTCTTACGAGGAGTATTTGATGTATTAAAGAGCACTTCTTTAGTGGTTGCTCTACGGCAGAAAAATTCGAATTGACGTTAGTATTGAAAACAAAGGGCGATGCATCAAGATAATCAGAATACGGAGTAGAGATTGAAATCAGCAATATCGATCATCAGCGTACATCATACTGTTGATGCGTTTACCTAATCACTGCAAAGAAAAAAGGCTGGCCAATTTCCGCGTATTCAACTTTATATAGCTTTATATGCTCTGCGAACGAATCTGATTTTGGTACGGGAGATACCGATGCAGGAACTTCCCATCTCTTCGATTTAGGGTCAGAAATTTTAATATGCAATCTGGATGGAATTTGATATTCGATATGGACATCCAACGGACTAATAGCGGCTCCATATGGTCCGTCTTTAGTTGATGAAAAAAACAGTTTGACTTCATTAATAGTAGAACGTACATAATTGCATAAATAGAGGTAATTAATAACTGAAGTTTGCAGAATTATGGATAAGTTTTACCTGGTCCTTTGTGCATCAGGGTCATCTTGAGGTTGGAAAAAGACGGAAAAATAAAAAAGCAAACAGAAAGAGATTATGATGAAGTAAAATGTTTCTATGGAACATATTGAAAGCCATTGTAGTAAAAAGATTAAGAATAATAATATTTAGTCAACTTATAATTGCAATGCAGTACATAATATAATATTATTGTTATTATCCTGTCATTAAATTAGGTGCGATAAAAGTAAAAGTTACATTATCAATTAATAGGCGTCCTGTTAATTATACGTAATTACAGTATCATGCCTACAGTACCTTGATACCCGAGGAAATGCGAGTAATGTTGTAAACGATATACTTTCGTCCGCCAGCATTCTTAGCGAAGCAGTACGGAATGCCATGCTAAATAAGAAAACATCATCGAAATTAATCCTCTACTCCAATATATAAGTATACCAGCAACAAAATACCTGAGAGGAATCCCAGCAACATCCTTTTGCTTTACATTGTTTCTGAGTTGTCCCTTTATGACCTAAACGCATGTTTTAAAGTAGAGTAAGTTATTAGTCAGGGTGAGACCGCAAAAACATCACGTAACGATAGATTCATCAATAAAAACAAAATGTTGGCTACAATAAACATGGAATTCAGATAACTTAATTCTAAATGTAATCTCTATTTACTGCAATACAGTGTCCTGTATATTCACATTACCACAATCAAATCGATAGCTACGCGTAGCACACGTCTGACAAGAAATTTTTGTAGCCATATGAGTGATTACAATTAACGTTAAAAAGATCAGGAAGGCTTTGTGCTTGTACGTCATATTTGTTATTTATAAAAATAAGAATGATTGAAATTTTAGCATGCAGTAACTATTAATTGATAATAGCTCGGCAATTGGCTTAGCTCCGTCAACAGATTTCGGTATTTTGCTTTGAAAATGCTCAATCTCGATCGATCAATTCCAGCGGTGACAGCAGAAAAATAGAGATAGATATAGTACAGAATACTCAGCAGGATCGAATGAAAACAAATTAATAAAAAAAAAAGCCAATTTTTTATTATTGGGAATTTTAATGATTTCACGGATTTGCAGCTCTTGTGCTGGATTGTACAGTACTGTATCGAAGTCAAGTACTGTTCGGGTACCTGGTCCAAAGTCATGCCTCATCACGTACCGTACTAGCTAAAGTACAATAAGGACATGTCACGTGATGCATAGACGACACTCGCGACTACTCACGTACTCACGACAGTGTTTAGAAGAATGAGATGTCTGCAAATTTGCTCGCTACAGTACATCGTACAGTAGTATACTGTACTGTACACTGTACACTGTACTGTACAGTACAGTACAATATTTTACCGCCTCGGATTTTGAATGTACAGTACAGTACTGTCGAACGAGTACAGTAGTATGTACTGTACATTGTACTAGTAGGTACTGTACAGTTACAGTAACTTAACAGTATTATACTGCACTACACTAGGTTAAATGATACTATCTTGCCAAGACTATCCATTTGGTGGAGAATGGCCTTTCCAGCTATGTCTAATCGAAATTTGATGCTTTGGCTATTTTGTAGCACTTTCGTTACATTGACTATGGTTGGTATTTGGGATATTTCTCGCAATCTAGAAAAGAACTATTGCAGCATGTCTTACATGTATGAAAAGATTGATTACATCGTACGTTTGTAATAATATTGCAATTTATTTGACTACATTTAAAATGACTTATCAATTGGAGGTAAACAATATGACACTGTATAGGTATTACCTCCAACATCAATATCCGATTCTTAAATTATTATTAATTAATTAATATGCAATTCGTGAATGGCTCTGCACTTTATATCTTGGATTGCTAATATAGTGCATAGCACACACATATCTTAGCTATCTTAACTCCATGAAACCTACTACACTCACCTCTTTTCGTGACAGTTAAAACGAACTGCTTCTTTTGTATGTCTGACTGACTGCCATATGTACCGTTGTTTAATATTCTTGATATAGCCAATACCGTTACCAACCACAATTCAGGCCAAATTTCCGCGCTATACACTCTATCTTTATGGAGAAGGGTTAGTACGCGTATCATTTCTTGGATTAAAGCAAATGTTTAGCCTTGTAAATTGCTGATCATTTGGTGTTAATGTCTCTGAATGAATAATAATGTAATCCAGTGTATTAACCTTATCACATTTCCACTATTAGGTACTATGCAGAAACGTTAAGGTAATGATTGCAATATCATGGTTTATTTGAAGGTCTAATTTGCCAGTTACGCAATGGGTATCATACATTCATTGCTCAAAAAACCTTGCTCGATCTCATGTAGTGATATGTATAGATTCCCATGATAGTATTCTTATCTAGAAGGATTACAATTCAGCACGACTATTTGAAATACCATGTTAGTTAGCATAATTTACGCATATCTTTATTTCAAAGGATGGGATTATACACGTGTACTATTGTATGAAATAATTGCATCTGTAATGTAGCCTTACGCTTTTACGTGATAATTTATCAATTCCTCAAGTAATACTCATGTTAGCTAAGTTCATAAAACAGAAGTTTTAATTTTAAAAAATCGAAAGAGATTAAAACTAGCATTAGAATTGACGAATATGGGTCTTTACGAGTCTTACGGATCTAATTTGTTATCCTATACAACATTACGTGTAAATACGAAAACGCTCAGGAACGATCATATATTCGGTATTCCGATATTATTCATCCCTGGCAACGCTGGTAGTTACAAACAAGGTGATTTTTAGATATTAATCAATCTACTTATACTAGCTCTTATTAAGTATTTTTGGTTGTTATATCTTTATTATGTATTAAAGTTCGATCTCTTGCCTCAATTTCGTATCAAAAGTCAATGAATAGAAAGGAGCATTTTAATTATTACACCATTGATTTAAATGAGGTAATATTTATCAGCTCACAACTCACATTGCTTTACTAAATTTCTATCTTTGCTATCAAACTGCTATGACCAATATTTATTTGCCTATTCCAATGAACGCAGTATTGCAGAAAGATTTTGCAAAGCTATCTTAGTGCAGTATTCGTGTCTTTAAGTTACTGAGTTGTACGCAGTAAGCTGTAAACCCTTATTCCTTCTTAATGTAACAGTTCTATAATGATCTCTACATAATGTATTATATAGGAAATTTCTGGACTTTACGGTGGTACATTACGTGATCAAGCAGGTATACTAATTATTGAATAAGGCTGAAAATATTAGTCTACGGTCTGGAAGTAAATGTGTAACTTTAGTGATGCATACAATCTGAATTAATTTCTTGTTTATGCAATAAGGTATTAATAATATAACCCATATTCATCGTACATTATTCGTACATTCTATTTAATATCTAAAAGAAAATATATTATTAGTTACTGTGCACATTACAAAACTTTCAAATTATTAATGAGTAGTTTCTTAAACGCAGAATATGTTAATTATTGCATCAAGAGAATACTCGCGGGGTACCGAAATTTACCTAGTCCACCAAGATCTGTCGTTGTTATTGGCCATTCTATAGTTAAGATTGAAATCAAGTTCTATTGTAGCTAGCATAATATGTTGTATTATACTGTATATAAAAGTTAGAAAATTATCTGTTACAATGGCTTACTGAGATTTTAACACCTTGATTATTGATTAATTAGGGAGGCATGATCGCTAGAGCACTTTTCACTTTACCTAACTTTGACAACAGTACTGTTACAACGGTCATTACTATCGCTACTCCCCATCGGAGTCCTGGTTTGTCGTAGATTTTATGGAATTAACTCGTTAGCTAACTTGTGAACATTTTTGGAAAAGTTTTTAAAATAACTATGTATGCCATTGCAGTCTTCTATGCGGATAAATACGTTGCTGACTTTTATGATACGGTTAACACGGTAAGAAAATTACTACGTTGAAGAGGATCTCGGAACGTTTACCAGTTCTTATAATTAAAGTCAGAATAGAGTGAGATGTTTAAATTTGGAAATGCATGTAATAGGATTACTATCATTATCGATAGTTTACCACTTTTTGTGAAACATGTTCCAATGTACTTTACTGAGCACACGCTGTACTACATTAGCGTATTTAAAGTATTTTTAAATTGTATCGTGACAGAAGCTGTGATCATTTAAGAGCACTCGAAACTATAGCGTCAAGAATCAGGGTAGCAAATCTAAATGCGAGCGTGTTTCATGAACACTAAAACATCATAATTTCAATGCATTCCCAGTGCTTTTTCTAATCACATAATAGTTCTATTATTAGAAGTAGTATACTACATAATTCTTTTCTTTTACTACAGTGGATAATTTTCAAGTCCTCCCATTTCATGGAGAAATCCATATCTTAATCTTAGTGTATTTTAGTGCGTAAGAAAGTAATACATATTATCTCATACAATTTTAGTTCTGGCAAGAGCAGTCATCTTCTGGCCAAATACTCGACCAAGTAATTATTGCTTCTGTGGGTGGTGGCCTTCGTGACGTGATTGTGAGATCAGATCTTACGTCCTTAGCCAGTGTATGTCTTGTTCTAGTGTAATTAATATCTTCGATAGACTAACTCGGAAATACCAGTACAATAAATAATTTTATTTAGACTTATTTATCTTACAGGTTGCGAATTATAATCGAAGTATTAATGCTATAGTAAGTACTGTAATCTGTTACTGATCACGGGAATATCGTGCTAATATAAAGATTGCATAACAGTTCTGTTACATGAATGTATTACCTTCTATCCAACGTAGACGACTGCTGTACCACGCACATGGCTGACGATAGATCACCGTTGTATCGTATGGTCAGATTTATTAAAATATGCTAATCAAAACGAAATTTGTATGTAACAAACATAACACTAACTAACTTGTCGTTTACTTTTAGGTGCAAGGAATTAGTCTTAGCGATTGTTCGCGCATTGTACGATATGATTGAAGCACATGGGCAGGTTGGAGTTTTAATGAAGCAATTTTAGTTGTTGTTGATATCTTGACGATTCGGTCTTCTTTCGCTCAATTAGATATCATCATCAACGTCTAAAAGAAGGAATGTATTAGCGCATCATTTAATTAAGCATAATGGGATGCGAAATTATCCTTATAAATTAGGAAAAAAATTCTTAAAAATAGATCAAGGTTTTAAGATATGCTTAATTTCGTTGGTATTAACTTATACATTATAAAATATGATATACTGTAGACGTCTAAATTGTTGACATTATTTTTTTTGATTGTGATAATTCAGAGCGCCCAGTAAATATTTGTATTTCGAGAATTTGGAGTAACGGTTTACACAGGAAGGTACATACTATTTCACGATGTTATCTACGAGAGCGTTATGGTATAAATATTATTAAAGACAGTTCCTGAATAGTATCTCCACAATGTTATCATTGAAATAACCGGCTCGAATGACTATGAGACCCTTATAGAGATAATTAATTATTACATAATTCGTTTGATTAAATGTATAGCAATCATCAAAAAGGTGCCTGATGGCCTTCCCGTTAAAACCTCAAAGAATAGCTAAAGATCGACTTTTGTTAATGACCACATCGGTATTACGTTAATCGATCATGTAGGATTGTGAATTTTGATCGAATTTTCTGTAATTGTATAAGTAGTAGAGCCGCTCGCTTCTCTTAGCTCTTGATGCCTAAGTCATATGTACAAATACTTGCATTCAAAATTTGTAAATCAAATTTCGCCTATAAAATTACAAAATGTATGTTATGGTCCTGATTCAAAATAGAACTTAGAATAACAAAGACGGCTAATCGATTTCAATTGCTCGATATGATCTTATCTAGAATGCTAATGCTTGGATTATTTCTTGTAACGGTATAGACTATCACAAATGGTAAATAGAATCATTTAAGTTAGCTTTATGCAAATATATAAAGATGAGAAACTTTATTAATTATTATAACATTACTCTATGAAGCGATTCACCTAGCGACTTATTAAACCACGTGCAGATAATCCCCCATGCCACAGGTACTCTAAAGGTAAATTAATTCTTTTATGTTATTCCTAATTTAAACACTGTAAATACTGTGTCATTCCTCGTTAGCCCTTCGCGGCTGCTAAATAACAACGAAAATCGTCAATATGACACTATAATATTATTCTAATTTTTATTTGCTTGAAAGTTACTGGACGTAAATATTAACTCCGAATTATCTCAAGCTACTCATGTCATGGTGTCTACAGCAACTCATGTAGGTCATAAATATTCTATCTATTGCGTGTAACTAGTAAAAAATTAATTTTCGGATATAACAATATTTATCTATTGATGTGTTTGGAAAAGATTATACAATATGACGAAAGTTTTAAATTTTTATATAATTTTTATAGGATTCTGTATTCGCTGAGTTTTATCGCGATGCCGTAAAAACTAAACATATTCGGCTGCCTTCCATAGTGGGTTTTACGGCGGTTGATTCTGATGATAATGATCAGTATATTCTGAATTACAATTTACCGGACATGCGGCAGGTTTTTAATAAACCAAATACTATTTGCTTCAATTATTTTCACTTTTAGCATGTTAGTCCATAATATTATTTATGGCATACAAAATAAAAAGCACTAATGACTAATCTTTTCTTCAAGATATGGGAAGCATACTACGTTCAAATTAATAGTAGTGATCGCTGTTTACGTCATACAAGTAAGATATTGCATATTTTATTCTGCATCACATTGTATTCAATTTAGTACTACCAATAATTATTTATTACTCAATATTATTAAGCTATCTATTTTACCTTTACGTTAGATTTTAGATTCGTTTACTGCATAGTCTCTTTCCGTAAATAACTGTTGTATTTTCTATTACATAACTAGTTGTTAAACATCAAATTTCTTTTATTGTTTTGCTACATGATTTCTCACCTAAGTAATCGTTGTACCTTCGTTTAATCGAACTAGCTATTCAATTTCATGTTCCGTGGTTTCATGAAGATGTCTTTCGATACGTTAGGTAAATGAAATATCTAAATAAAGAATTTATAGCCGTTACTATTTAAAAATTTGAAGAATATCGTTTAGCTGGAATACACGTATTTCCGTTCTCAATGACTTAAAATTAAAAAGATCTAATTTCTTTAGACCCGAGGATAATGGGAAATTAAATTTTTCTATTTATATGCAAGTATGTATATTTTAAATGTATGTAGTGTATCGGGGCATAATTAGTCTACTTGAAATAACACCGTGATCATAAGCTATGAACAACCCGATTTCAAAACTAATCATATAATACTAGCTGGTGCCGAAGAAGTCTGATATGCTTGTGCTGTATAGTACCTAGAATAATGAGGATATGCTTAGACTTCCAGCTATAACTGTCAAGCAGTTATAGATACTAAATTTTTAGCAGTTGAAATTTAAACGCTTATGACAACACTACAGTATAAATTTAGGTTGTTGGTTGATTTTGAGTTTTGTATTAGGTAAAAGTATCAAATACTTGTACCCATATCTATAATAAAAGTTTGCCTAGTAAACTCCATTTTATTATAAGAGAATGATAGCAGCCAAATGCTAAAATGTATCTATGCCAATGCAGACACCTAGGCCAAATGATAACAAATATCAGAACATGAGTATTCGACTAACTATCTGGAGTACAAACGCTAAATGTCGCTACAAAGTTAGTATCCATGAATGTGCACTTCAAATGCTCTTGTACAATTCATTTTTTAAGGTTGAGAATTAACTTCATTCTAGATTATTGTTACTACCGATTATACACGACTGCTTGGACAGGTTTGTAATTCATATCCAATTAAATAAAATTAAAACTACTGTTAAAGAGATACGTATATGTAATGGCAAATTATTACTCACAGATGGTTCGTTATTATGCAATCTTTCTACCGGGATGGACAATGGCAATTATCATTTTGCTGGCATTTAATTTGGTGAAATATGTCAATGGTATATTTTTCCGTCGATCTCATTTATTGTCTCTAGTTTTATTTATTTGGTAATATGTGTACAACTAGCGTTTCTGATATTACATAGTAGCGTTGATGTGAGTGTTTGATATTAAGAATATATGATAGCCTGCGCGTTCTAAGACTTTTAATGTAATACTCGTTAGAAACTTATCAATCAAAATCTACTGATAGCCAAGATGGTAACGAAAGGCTAAATACTAGCCCAGGTGTTGCTTTAGCGTTAAAACAACAAACTTCAGATCATTTCTCGATAAAAACATTACTGAATCAAGAACTAGATCGAAGATGGAAATTTGCTGCATCTTTAGTTTCTTTTAGTTATTTATTCAGGTTTGAAACTTATTTTAATTGTGTATTTATGCTACAATAAATTGAAAAATTATGTTACTTAAACTATACTTAACGAATAAGGTGGCAGATTTCGAGATTTCATTATCTACTAATTTATACCAAATTATCTAGTTCGACGTTTTCTAAATTTGCATGGCCTTTCCCAATTTTCCCACAACCCGACATTTTTAACGTAATGAAATCTGGTGAATGGTCGACCTATTTACTATCGGTGATCCATATGTTTAGCATTTCTGGGTTACATTTTCAGTTCTGTATCATGGATTGGCTGGTTTATGGTGTTGCTTCTGTATTAAGATTTACATCTAGGTAATTTTTACAATTAAAGGGAAACGAATTGATGGTAACTATTTCTTATTAGCTTTTCTCTAGTCGTAGTTATCATTCAAGGAATGATCAATACTGTCATCGAATCAGCTTAAAAACTGAAAATATGCTAGGATGTTGATGATTATGCAATATCTAACTATCTTTGTATGTCCTAAAAGGTGGTTATCCATGGCTCGTCTAACTGGAAACATTTTTACTGCCATATGCTTTAATTTATACTTTAATATCATATTCGGGTTGCTAGTTATAACTATCTGCCTAACAATGTGTGGGGCACTGGGTTTATATTGTACCATTTTGTACTGTTATGTTAAGGTAAGCTAGGAAACCAAAAGTGATTAGAACTAAGCTGATATATGTAAATTTAACAAGAATTTCTATTAAATTTATATTTTCTTGTATTCCACTTTTTATAATAAATTCGTAGCTTGTGGCAATTATCAATTCTAGACAGAATAAAGAAAGAGAATATTGTGGCAGTTCCGATTTATGCTTTTTATTACTAAATTCCAGTCTTCTTAGTTCCTTTCTTACCATTCCTTCAGCAATCATGTGGTTCAAAAATTTGAGGTAAGATTTTACGATGTAGCAATTAATTTCTAATCGGCCATCCTGTGTTACATTGAAAGCAGTAACTGATCAACTGTAATAAACGATCTTGCCTTTTAAACAGATACGGATTTAATGTGATGCCTGACCCTTTTATGCACGAATCGTTATTAGCCAGTTGTGGTTTACTAGTTTTATTTCAGAAATCGAGTTTTTACGAGGATATGTAAGTACTGTACCATTACAAGTACCATTGTTAATGTAATAACATGATAGTAATCATAAGTAATATCAATTGCTGTTGATCTAACTAGGTATTTTGATGTTTTTAGAGCTTTCAAATTTCAGCTACCACGGATTATTTTATTGCTATTTTTTATAACAGTGTTGTTCGCACTGTATTCCACGTATCGACTGTTAATGATTCAAACTGTTTTAATATTATTTTTTTTAATATGCACAGATTTTACTTTTCGAGATAAGAAGAAAGATTAACGATGAAAATACTATTATTTAACATTGCTTTTATATGCTATTGCGAGATCGAATAAGAAGGAGCTGCTTATTTTTAGCCGAAGATTATGAAGCGATCGCCTTACTTTTTTATTACTATTACAAATGATAATAAGGATATGTGCTATATTTATCACGCAAAAGCGGTAATGATGAGAATTAAAATCATTTTATAAATAACTGCTATGTTTCTGAGCCACACCAGCTTCAAATATGTATTTATAGTTAAACAAAATAAAATATAATGCGCACTGACAACCACACATTTTGGTGAATTGTATTTACTTGTAATGACTAAGCATGGACCTTTATACAATACTTGTTTTTAAAGTTAATTTTATTTAGGATAGGAATAAATCGCCTTTACAGGTCGCATATTATTCGAAATACTACATATAAAATGAATATAGATCAGTTATAATGATGGCTAATTAGTACAATCTAATTCTGTGTATGAAATAAAATATATGGATATCTTTATAAAGGGCTATGCTTATTTATCAAGTAATATTATCTTGTAGCCTATGAACAAAAAATCAGATTGATACAGTTACCGAGGGTAATACAATAATCGTTCTACAACTAAGAGAATCTATATTTGGGGTAAGCTACAGTCGCTTGTAGATGCATACCAACAGCATGCATGTTAACATAGTCTTAAAAAATATCATTATTCGTTTAATTTATTTGTTATACTGGCAATAACGCACCACCAAGAAGTTGATAATAGTTTTACTGTAATACAATTACTAATATTACAGTTGGGAAACGAAAATATAAAGTGACATAATCTGCGCAAGAAATTTATAAAATTTGAATCTTTAACAAAAACAGTTATAAAAAAGTAATTAGAGAAAATCAGTTATCGTAAATCAAATAGGAGTGACATTATAGACCTAGTTAGGTTTGGAAACTTAAGATAGATGTTCTCCATATTAGGAATGATACTTGATTTCTTCTTTACCTCATACAATTAGCAATTAGGATGATTATTTTTAGGCAAATAATAAACTATTACTTTGAGAGTGCAGACATATCATTTCAATAGCAAGCGTTTAAGAGATTATATTGTGAAAGTGCTGCCCTTATGTACCACCGTCAGTCATTTCTAAAAAGTTTTGACTCATCTCTCGACTGTATTCTCCTTTTTCGTTAAACTGAAACTTGTAGTAGTTGCCATCACCACAGATAGCTGATGGATAAATTATGAGCAAAATATTATTTGGTATGTAATAAAAGATAAAACAGATTTACTGAAATTTGATACGATAGCAAATTATATTAAATACAGTATCGCGGCTTACCAATGACTGTATTGCTGTCATTTCCGAATGCACATATACATTGACAACCATTAGGAATTTGAATTTTCATAAAACTCCATCGAGAATTGAAATATTTGGGAAGAAAGTGCGCACCAGCAAGACTATCAAGAGGTAATGTGAAATTATGCAAATACATCAATTAAGCCATTATTTCCATAAACAACAAGCTCGAGTATCTAATTCCAAAACATATTCTACCTGGACTGCTTGTTCTTTTTCGGATCGGCTATATTAAAAACATGAATAGTTCCATGATCGCTGGCCACGCACAATAGAGAAGATTCAGGACTGAAATTTATACTAAATGAAAAAAAAATTATCCATGTAGGTATCGGACACTAGCAAATCCCTTAAACTTGTAATTTTAGATTTTATACTTACGTCACTGTTACTTATATCAGTAATGAGTGGCCTTTAAATATATTTAATCAATGTCAGTCAATTTGTAGACTTACCAATAAATAAAGGCATTTCCCGTGCCACGCCTTAACTCATTTTCCAGTAAACATGTCGCAGTATTAAATATCCTTATTAGCGTACCCTATACCAAATCAGTATACCGGATTAAAAATGAATTAAAAATGAAACACTGTGTCTGAAGTAAATTTTTGGGGAACTACTCATGTCATAATCAGGTAAATATACAAATAACCTTAACTATATCGAATTCCAGATTTTTAGGGCATGCTATCATCAGAAATTAGACGAATTGTAGGAAATAGATGAAAAAGCGATTTGAGGGCTGAACGTATAAATGAATATTGCTTGATATGCAGTTCTACAGTATTAGTATAGTCATAAACATAATAGCGACACTAAAAAGCAAAACTTTATTGATTTACTACAAGATACAGTATCATTACAGAAATACAAAGCTTCACTAAAGTATCACGATTCACACTGTAGCTTACACTATGTTGCAGTATCATTCGCATGCTCATCAAATGTTAGCATAAAAGTATGCATATTAGTACTAGTCACCTTTGCGAAGAATATCCATCAAATTATCATCTTTATAGTTCGTTATATCATAAATAGCATATAATTTGTATATAAAATTAATTGTACGAGTAACTAATTTGAGTTACCTTTTCAGAGGCAGTAGCTAACAGTGTACCATCAAGATTGAGAGAAATACACGTAATGGCATTTTCATGAGCTTCGATTATAGCTGGAGGTTTTTCAGCGTTTCCTAAATCAATCAGTTGAACTGAACCAAGCTTGACACCAGGGAAAGCTAACAAGGAATTACTACTACTCGGACACAAAACGCCAATTCCTTTTGAAAACGATAACAAAAAGTCAGCGTTACACCATGGCGATTAATAATTATAGTAATAGCGGTAGATTATGCTTTTAATAAAATATACGCTTACTGTACACGTAATTATTTGTTACCCAATGTTGGTAGATAAATTACCTTTAGGATTGCTGCAGGTATCAAACACATGTACTTGTTGTGGTGCTTGTGTAAAGGTAAATACTTTTACCATTGTATCAAGTATTACAACAATTCTGCAAATAATGCCGCACAGTATTTAAAATAACATCTGTGGATATTCAATTCTCCCCAAAAATAAGATCAGGTCATTTATTGACCACTCTGTATACTGTAACAGCTTTTTCACTTGTATGATATACTGATAGACTACTTCTCGAAAAATATCGTTGAAACTGGATAATTTATATAAAACTCGAAGGTTTTGCGAACTAACCTATCTCTTCGTAGGCGAACTGCTCTAACTTCTGTAGCAAAGTTTAACTCAATGACACTGTTCTTTTGCACATCGTTCCATATTACCACTAAAAAATTAAGGGAAAATAGTTGTGAACTGCAATCCGCGTACTGTATATTTAGTGTTGTGTTTCTAAAATTTAAGATCATAAGTAGCAGGCTATAACAGACAATTATATAGAAAACATATTACGATGATTAGTACCTCTATTAGGCGGATATTTTGGGCTCTGGCCTCCACCAACAATAGCCAAGTAATTACATCGAAACAGCATTTCTACCTGTTGGATGCCTCCATCAAAATCTAATTAAAAAAGTAGATACGTTAAGGTTACAATTACGTCAATTTCGGTATCAGAATAATCCTGTTGGTTAATCAGGAACAATTGGATAATTATAATTTAGGAGTTACATACATATAAACTGATATATGTTAGTTATGTGATTCTTCAGTGAATGCATAAGATATTTAGATAGTAACTTAGCAAGAATTAAGGTATGTTATATGAGTATCGTATTAAAACAATGAATCGATTATGGACCGATCAATTTACGAGGAAGAACTGGAGTAAATCTATTTTAATTAACTCAGTCTGTTTTATCTCATAAAAATACTACTACACATGACTACTACTATTAACCGTCACTATAGTTATGGAATACAATCAGAACTGTCCGTTTACAAGTATCAAGAATATATCGCTAGTGTAGTAGTGCATAGTACAATCCTAAAACTGTCATATTTAAGTGAAAAGTCGATTCATTAATTAATTAATTTAAACAACTCTATTTTCCCTACCGTGGCGTTCTTTTTCCTTTAGTGGGTCACAGTTAAAGACTCTGAATCCATTTTCCATACCGCAAGCAAAGCAACCTATGTAATGGAAGGAAATATGAAAGTAAATATTTTTTCTGTATGCTACAGCATATAGCCCGACAGATGTACGTGATTAATGGTTTCATAGTTAGAAACCTACATTCGGTTGAAACTATCCCTCGGTGGAATACATCAAAATTATCTTTGATGGAAAGTTAACATTGTAATGTCAGCAGGTGAATATTATAATTACTGCCTTGATAATGTACGCGTACATCTATTGTCGAAAGTATAAATATGCAAATCATTATCAATTACTTTTTTTAGATTGTGGTATGTCTCTATGTCTATTTTTTTACGCAAGCTGAGACGTTTTATGCTAGAATGAGTTAATGCTATTTACTATCAATAATTATGTGAGCTCCACTTTAACCTTACAGGTTTACCAACTGCTCAAGTAGTACTGTACAATACTGTAGCTGAAGGATTGACGCTTTAATATAGAATTTTAGGGTAATGATATATGCACGTATTAAGGATACAGATAGCGCTTCATTTCAGTTTGCTGATAGATTACGCCTTACTCATTCGTATAGTAGTCTACAAAGTTGTCTATTTCTAGAAATGCTTCCTCGCATATTGTATAAAGCTATACGCACATTTGCTGCGCCATTATACTCGTACGCTACACGCCAACGATTAACACGTAGCCTCAACAATATTGGTTGCGAGTTTTCGCATGAATTTATCGATAGATTAATGAATTCATTATATTTATATTATGCAATGGCAAATCAGTCATTTTCCCTATATTATGTTACAGTACGTATAATGACTGATTAAAGTATTCTAGTATAGGAGAAGAGTTATGAAATCATCATCATAAGTTACCTTGATCTTGATTAAAGCCACAATAAAGCATGCCATTTCTTTGAGTGAAAATTTTGTTGACTTGCATGATTAATTTTATATTGTAATTAGCACTGATTAATCGTAAAATATTCGTTTGTAATACAAGTAGACATCAATAGGCGTAATTTCCTTGAATACTGTATTCGGTGGAGCACTTGGTTACTGGCTATTGGCTTGCGTATTTATCGTCAGTTTAGTCTTCCTTATAAAAAAAACTTTGTAATTACTAATGCAAAGATAGACGACAGTCAATTTTGGTTCCAAAATCAACTTCGGCTTAGTTTACAATAACAAGATCGCCATGTTAGAAAATGTACTGCTCCACTTTGGCTACAGTCATACTGTATGTAAACTAGTTGTAAATTCATTAATTCATTAATTAATTAATTAATTAATTACAGTAAAGTACAGTAGAGTTTACAGTGCAGTACTGTACAGTACAGTACTTTACTGTAGTAGCAGTAGCATGTACTGTACTGTACAGTACAGTAGAGACTACGGTCGTACCGTAGCGGATTACAGTACAAACCCTAACCCTGTACTGTACAGTACAGAGTACAGTACAGTGTACAGTATACAACGCAGTACAGTACAGTGTGTATGTACTGTACACTGTACAGTAGAATTAATTAATTAATTAATTATGTATAATTACTGTACAGTACAGTACTGTACACAGTGTACAGTACTGTACAGTACTACTAAAAGCACAGTCTCAAGTGTCAAAAAGAAAGAGAGGGCGGAAAGCACAGTTCAGTGCAATGTACTGTACGGTCATACTGTGCAAGGTAGTGTACTGTACTGTACAGTACAGTGCACGACTAACTGTACTGTACTTAGTGTACTGTAGGTGAACGTCAATGGTAGACTTTCTTTCTGACACAGATGCATGCATACTCATGATTCAAACAGAATACTAAGCCTTTCTCAGGTCTAACTGTAAGTGTAAGTGCTTGTGATTATACTCATTTCAGCTCATTTCACTGTTGTAATACTGTCTAATATGTACATTGTACTGTACAATAAGTACAGTACTGTATACTGTAGCACAGTGCAGCTGGTGCCCAAATTTTCTTTTCTTGTGCTGGTACTGTACTGTACACTACAGTACAGTACTGTACTGTACAGCACTGCATAGAATACAGTACAGTACAGTACTGTACTGTACTGTACTCTGTGTACTGTAATGCACAGAGGATAGTACTGTACTGTACTGTACACTGTACAGTACGCCTAAACCTAACACTACAGTACAGTACAGTACTGTACTGTAATCTTCTGTACTGTACTGTAATCTTCTGTACTGTACTGTAATCTTCTGTACTGTACTGTACTGTACAGTGTACACTGTACATTCTACGGTATAGCCAACAAAACGCCACATCATCATCAATCGTTACGGTGTAATGAGAGCTAGTACTGTACTGTACATCATGTATTAATCCAATATATGAACCACTGTACTGTAGGTATTACTTATAGCATACTGTAGTAGTGAGTGTTTACAGTATGTAATACTGACAGTACTGGACACATTGCTAATTTACTACAATTTGCAGTTCGTCTAGACAAGTAGAAAGGTGATCAAGACGTCAATGATCTTAACCAAAAGTAAGAACTTAAAGTGTCAATTCTCAGATCGATGTAGTAGCAGTTTTATATATCATTCAAAGTATTATAGCAAGCCTCATTATTCTCCTTTTTACCAAGGTGTTTACGTAAAACCTTGGTCAAATACGTGTACAAGACAACTTTACAATCTTAAAAAGACTTCCTGGAGGTAGACCAGTATTCGTAGCCAAGTCTACAATCCTTGTCATATTGCTAAGGTATTTTAGAAAGTGACTGCGTATAAGTTATATCTTTTGCTTCAAATTGCACTTTTGACCTTACATTCTATTGCAACAAATAAAAGAAATAAGTTGATCAGGTCATTCTAACCGTACATTAAATCATTCTGCAGTTGGATCGATGGCAATAGCTGGATTGGATAGGATGTACGCGTATTAACATGAAATTGTCAAACAGTTAATAATTAATAATTATTATTATATATACGCGTATAATAGAGTAATTATTGAGCAGCGTTAATTATACGCACCTTACTTTAGCAAAAGATTACAGTACTAGCTAGTATCCTGTAGAATTATGCACTTTACAAACTATTTATTATTCTTACCATTGCTAACACCGTAGTACAGTATAGTGATCTATTATTATAAGAATTAATTACTGATTTGCCACTGTATATTTTCATATTTACCAATATGCCATTACAAATTTTTTATTATAACTACAGTACATAGAATACAAGGTACAATTGTGATTGAATTTTGTAAAGAGATTTATTTATATCCCCAGATAGGAAACACGATTGCTCAGACGTTTCTACGCGTATTCTTAATAAGTCAACGTATGACTCATGCATACTGGTATATAATATAATCTATCGTTTCTGATCGAGTGCTGTTTGTTAATAACCCAATAAGTTTAATCTAAAGAATGGTTCAAAGCAGAGATCTACCCTTTATTATTAACCTTGGCAATAGCATCATTGGCGTTAGTGTCTTAGCCATTCCGTTCTGCTTTCATCAAGTGAGGAAATTTTTGACGTGAATTTATCTAGCTAAACAACTATCACTATTGCACCTACTGTTACATCAAGACATTAAGTAATAGACTTATTGGACAGTATTCTGCATAATGTACTCCTTTTAACTTAATCTACCGTTATTATTTAAAAAGTCATATCAGATTTAGGTTATAATTTGATACTTAAGACAGCTAAGTTGTAGTAATCATTTGAAGTCAGATTGCAGAAAAGCTTGGATGATATGATTGCTCAAGTTGTTGCTTTCTGTCGGTATTATAGTGTGGAATTATATTAGGATCGCTTTTGTTATTTGTAAGCTCCCTGCTTACCCGCCTATCGTGTGACATCTTACTTCGGGCTGCCAATTCGACGAAAAAAAGAACTTACGAATATTTAGGTTGGCAATTCTTGAAATGGAATTATTTGATTATAAATGCAGTAGCTATTTGTCACAATATTGACTGCAAATACTGTTCTTATCCACAGTCTAATTAAGCTAACAATAATAACATCAATTCTTCGTCAAAACTATTGATTATGCATTGTTTTCAAATTCATTGACAAATTGAAAAAAAATTTCTCTTAATGTAGCTCATCACACATTTGGATCTGTTGGCAAATCGTTAGTAGAAGTAAGGTAGGTTTCAGGAAATAATTAAAGTAATTGTAACTGCATTGTAAACTTACAAACTACAAATTATGGCTGCAATATCTTAGCAAGTGTCTTCTAATAATTGGTACTATAATAATAATATGAAGTACTGGTATTGCATTATCTGCAACTTATTGTAGTAATAATGTATTATAAATTGCTTTAATTTTAGCATCATTGGACTACTCTTCGGAACTTGCATCGCATTTCACGTTATAGTTGGTGACTTGTCCCCTTCTATTGTTTCTGTATTATTTGGAATTGAGGTAAACTCAATCATTTAATTGATTATCTATGCAAATATATGTACAGTACAGTATATTGCTACATCTTATCATTGCCAAGCTAACTTGACGTAACACTGTTGTTAACCAACATATACATAACTATTATAGAATACTCGAACTTTACGAGCGATTGTCATGGTTTCATTAGCCATTTGTGTCGCTCTACCATTATCCTTAATGAGGAATATTCAGAGTCTTAGTGGTATTAGCGCGGTGTCGTTGGGCTTCTATTTGATTTTTATCTTGCAGGTAAAAGTGAATTTGCGTATTCAAAAATTTTTCAACGACCTTACGTTGGAAATAAAATTACGAATAAATAAATAATAAATGTTTATACTTCTGATATCATCGCTACAGATTTTCTTGTCTTCATTACCGAATCTCATTACTGGAGCTTTAACTCAAATTCATTTATGGAAATTCAGTGGTACCTTTCATTGCTTACCGATATTTTTAATGGCTTTCACCTGCCAAACGTATGCTTCACTTTAAGACATAATTTCAACATTTGAACTAATTATAATGATCCAAAATGTTAATGATATATAGTTTTAAAGTATTATATATATATAATAATTTTATGATGAACAATTGTTCTTGTTTTATGATAGACAATTATTTTTGGTTTATGAAGCCCTGCCGGAACCCTCAATTAATGTGATGTCATCGATTGTCAGTAGCGCTGTAAATATGGTATCAATAGTTTACTTTCTTGTAAGTATTTGGAATGAAATAAAATAGTTATAAAACTTGAAATTTTTTCCCTATCAATACAAGTATTTCATATAAACGTGCTAGGTTGGATTTTTCGGTTATACGGCGTTTTGCTTTGACGGTGTAAAAGGAGATGTATTGATGAACTTCGGAAATGGTGTAGTTTCTGCACTCATAAAGCTTGGTATAATACCCTCAATTAAGATTTGTATTTGTGATAACTAATTTAATTAATTATCACTTCGAAGCCATATTGATATTATCAATTTTTATCATTAGGATTTGTTTTGTCCATTGTTGTTAGCTTTCCTCTAGCAATATTCCCATGCCGAGCGAGTATCAATTCGTTATTAGCAAAACAGGTAAAATATAATAATTTTTAGTGAAGTAAATCTTTAACCTAATAGCTCTCTGGCTAACACATTTTCATATTAGTCTTCTAGTCATGATGCTTTAGGTAGCCCAAGTTTTATTCCACACAACAGATTTGTTGTAATAACTGTTTGCATTATGACAAGCACATTGATTATCGGTATATTAATACCACAGGGTAAGTATCTACTAAATCATTCTTTTAGTTACTTATTCCAATATGTTAAGTTTTTTAAGTCGCCGTAATTGCTGAAAAACTAACATGATCATTGTTGCAATATATTTTATTTGTATACATATTTTTAGTTGAAATTATTCTAGCCCTAACCGGAGCTATAATGGGCACTCTAATTTGTTACATTGTACCTGGAGCTATGTTCTTGCATTTAACTCCCGCGGGTGCTAAGCAAAGACAAATTGCGAAGGTGCTGAGAGAAATCACTTTAATTATGATTATTTGTTTTTAAGATCAGTTATCGTATTCTATAATCTTGATTTAACTCAAGTATGATCACTTGATCGATGATATTTTATTAGATCGTTCTCGTTATTGGTCTCTTTTGCCTTGTTATGAGTTCATTCACCATTATCGGTCAGTTGGACGTAAAGAAAGCCCAGCCGAGAATGCAAGTAGTCAACGTTAAAGATAAACAAGATAAGTCACAAAATGATGATGGTTTATTAAATAATCAAATGGGAAAAGATAACCAAAAAGCAAATTTCAATAAAGACTCGCAGATGATAGATAATAATATTAACAAGGCTCAGAATAATAATCCACCCAATAATAATAAATTCCCAGGGAAAGACAAAAATCAGGGAAATCCTCCAGTTGTGGATGGCAATGATGTCAAAAAGAGAGATACCGCTAATAATCCCGATGATTCAAGTCATCTAAATAACGAAAAAAGTAAAAAGGATAAGGATTCTCCTAAAAAAGGCTTGTTAAACAAGGAAGAGACAAAAAAAGACGATAAAAAGAGTTCAAAGTTTACCAAAGATCAACCAAACGGAAAAATTAGTAAGGCTGAGGCGGACAAGAATTTAAAGAAAAAGACGAAAGATGATCAACGATTAGAACCTATAGCACCTGAAGACAGTGTAGATGACAATCAGAAAAAGATGATTAAATCGCTAGAAAAAAAGGTTCAGGATTTGAAAGATCTCAAGAAATCTGCGGAGAAGAGTATTGAAAAATCTGAAAAATTTATTGAAAATCAGGATAAATCTGACAGTAGTAAAAAGGGCGTAGATGGTGATAATCATTTTCAGAAAGGGAATAGAGTAGACAGTGATAATGATGTTAATCTAAAATCAAGTAAAAATATCGAATCCAGTGGCAAAAATATGAAAAATGGTAACAGTATTAAAGATGATAAAGTAGAGATTAGCAACGGTGCAAAAGATTTAGAGAGCGATTCGAAAAAAACTAATTTGCGTTCAGATCAGTTGAAAAAACAAGATAGTGGGTTAAAGCAAGATGATAAGGTCGATACTAAAATAAATAACGGAAAAAATGTAAAAAGTAAGAGTAACAATAGTGAAAGAAAGGATCATCAAGTGTCGAAGATGAACTCTGATAAAGAAAATGAATCTAATAACCAGTCAGATAAGTCTGACAGTAATGATTTGGATACAAACAATAAAGGTTTAGAAAAAGTCGCTGACCCTCAGAGATCTAAATCATCTGGTGAATTGTCCAAGGACAAGGGTGACAAGGTATCCAAGGCTAGTGATAGCGCTAACCATAAATCTCAAAAGGCTAAACCGAAAGATTCATTAAATGCTAAAGCTGGGGCTCATGAAACAGACGGCTCCGCCGATGGAAGTAAAACTAAGAGTGAAGAACATCATTTGATCCAAAAGGAAAAGGAATTAAAGCGAAAGGAAGTCGAACTTAAGGATTTGCAACTTAAATTGAAAGAGGTGGAACTGAGACTTGAAGAAAAGGCGATTGATGGAAAGATTAAAGCATTGCAGAAGAAAGCTGGAGATCTTAAGAAAGAAATTATCAAGGAAACGGAAGACGAAAAGGTGGATGGAAAGCTTAAAGAATTGCAAAAGATAACTGGAGATCTTAAGAAGGAAATTAAGATCAAGAAAACGGAAGACGAAAAGGTTCAACATCACGAAGCATCTGGTAAAAAAATGCTCAAATCTAAAGCTGGCATCACCGCCTAAGAAATTATTCATACCTTTCCAATATTTCCGATTCTGGTTAGAAAAACTGTAAAAAATATAAGTGTAATTGTAGTCGTGCCTGTATTGGCAACTGTTTTACTATATATATACGTGCAATATACCGATTGTTAAATAAATAAACAAGATTTGACCTTATCGACAACATTTCATATAGCAATCAATATATATATGAAAAGCTTGCTTTCGTGTCACCGGAATATTAAGTATTTTCAGGAGGATTGCGGTATTGCTATGTCTCCTTTTATTAAAGATTCTTATTGGCCATAATCTTCATAGTCTACGTGTCTCGGAATGGATTTAATCCATTCCTTTGATTTTACATGATAAATGAAATTTTTAGACTTCTATTTGAAAAGCATATTATGACTGCACATCATGTCGTTAAAATTGTATTTGCTGTGGTTTCAATCCGGTAAGGTTATAAGAAAATTTTTTCTTATTGAACCTGTGATATTTAAGGTATATGATAGATTCCTAGAGTATTCAGTATTCAATCAAATGTTTGCAGGTCTTGTGTAATTATGATTATTTATAACTTTACTACTAGTAGTTTGCTCATGAACTGCTGTATATTGGGTTTATATCTTATACTGACATTGAATAAAGTATCGTTTATATGTACCATCAGCTGCTCGTATTTTTTACACAGATACAGCATTGCAATTAGTTGATTAACGCGTAGTTCAAAACGGTGGATAATCTGCTACTTGCACCGACTTGATAAGATGCTGTATGAAATTATCTATAATAGTACCAAGAAAGACCTAATACTCGTATTCTTAATAAAGGATAAATACTACGCTAATAACGAATTTAAGAGCCCTAATAACGTACGGTACATTTCATTTAACATATCAATTATTTTTTTCTACCATTATGTATAACCAAGAACGGGTAAGACTTCTATATCGATTATACTAAATAAACTACTCTTTGTAATGTTCAATATCACGAAATATCTGAAGAAATGTGTGGTATAGTTTACGTGCTTTCGTACATACAAATACTCACTGTCAAATAGTTACATAATGATGTTAATTGAATCTAAATCTAGCACTGCATATGATGATATCAAAATTAACCTTAAATACGCAAAATTCTTCAAACTGTTCATTTTGGTGACACTGATCATCAACACAACCATGCAAAATTTATGTGATCATGGGTTATCAAAGAAATAATTTATTGAATAACAGTACAATAATTTGCGGTACCTTAGAGCTATGCATTAATCGCACGCTAGATACAATAAACAGACCGTCATAACCAAAATACCGAATCATTTTAATATTATTATTATGCGATTAGCGTTACCTATCAGGGCAACGATCATAGTACGGTATCTCTTAACAGATAATACGAATCATTTATCGTATTAGTCACGGTTCATAACGCTTTTTTTCATTCTTCATATGAGAATTAATTATCGGTTCTATTTCATAATCTACCTATTAGTGCAGCTGATATTAAGGGATTGTTTAAAGGACACTCGGTCAGAACTTTTAATTTTGGATCAAAATGGGTCAATTGTGGTTGAACTAGTCGTATACCATCAAGCAGTGAGGTAGGATATAATACAGTCTTATTTGAGAATGTTCCTGATATTGTCAGACTTTTGAATATTGTTTGTGATTGATACACAGGTTGCCCGCATTTCCTTTTATCTTCATTTGAGTTGCATTTTACAAGTGCACAAACCTGTAAATGAAAATTTTTAAAGACGTAATATGGGCCATCATATGCAGCTAATGCAAACATTTCGGATGTTTGATCACGTTCAAATTGCAAGTGACAGCATAACGTTCCGAAGCAAACGCTTGCTTGCCCCTGCTTGGTTTTATCAAGCAAGACAAAATTATAGATATTGTGCATCATAAGTGATTGGAATGTTTGCCCTTTTGAGTGTGATGGAGGTGGTTCCAGAGCAACAGCTCTCGCCTTCCTGTAGATCAGTGAATAACATGGACTTCATTACTAAAGTTAATTTTGAATAAGATTCATACACGTATAATTTATCATAAGATACCTGCATAAACTCGTTTGAGGTTGTGAATCTTCGGAATCTAGTTCTGCTACTAGAAGTTGAGAGCCGTTGCGAGAGCTATTGTTATTGTAATACCAGGCTTTGACAAGACCAGATGAATATATTCCACTACCAGTCATATCTGCACGTAGAAAGTGAACGTTAGCTGCGATTACATTAACGCCATGAGACCTCGACCAGGCTTGTTGGTATTGATTTGATTGCAATAATGGAATTCCTTTCATCCAAGCCATTGGGATAACAAAATTTTTAATATGATATTTATTAATAAGTGTAACTGCAGGGCAGTTGTACAATATATCGAAGCAAGTCATTATGCCGAAGGTAACTCCAAAACTAGGCGTAAAAGCAATATTTTCGCAGGTAGCAGGTTGGTCATATTCCGGTTCGAAAAAAAGGTGTTCTTTGCGATATTTAGCTATAAAACTCCCATCAGTGTCTAGAACTATGTTTGTATTATATTGGAACTGTTTATCTGGAGGACAGTCATTGTCTAACATGCGATTACATGGCTGGACTTCGCCGACATTCGCAACAATCGCTATTTCATAGCGAGCAGCAAGGCAGCTTAAAAACTGTAAGACTGGACCATCATTGAATTTTTCTATGTTAGCCTGAGCACAAGGTATTTCGTACTGGTTACCGATTTTAGTCGGTTCGGGCAAATGCTGGAGATAAGGCTTAACTAAGTCTCGATTTAGGAAACCGAACAATCCATTTTCTGGAAAAACAATAATGTTAGCACCACGTTGCGCAGCCAATTTAGTCCACTTGGCAAATTCCCTTAAGTTTATTAATAGGGCTTTCTGAAAGGCCTCTTCCTTGCTATGAAAGATTTTATCGGTATAGAATGGTTCATATTCCACAACTGCAGCAGTATAGCGTTTACAACCGACAAAACTCATACAGTATATAAGAACTAGAGCTATAGTCCAACGTTGTATACATGAATCTGCCATGGCAGTCATCTTGTTAATAATATCTAAGGAATCTACCTACCTTTCTAAGGTTCTCTGGAAAGCATCTTGCGAGGTAAAAACGCAAACCCTGAGCTAATTTTGTTGCAAGTGCAGTACTGTACACTGTACAGTACAGTGTACAGTACAGTATTTGAGAGACCATGTACTGTACTGTACCGTACTGTACTGTACTGTACACTGAGTCTACAGTACTGTACGGTACTCATGAGTCTACAGTACAATCTAGAGTACAGTATTACTTACGGTACAGTACTGTACTGTACAGTACAGTAACGTGATTTCATTCTCGATCTCTAGTAATTTATCTGGCACAGAGCTGAATACTAGTCTAGTAAGGAAAGGTTGCCAAATTATTGCATTATACACTACTGATAATGAAGTATGAAGTTAATTAAACCTGCCAACTACTGAAATTGGCCCCTGCAAAATGCACCAATTCACGAAACACAAATGTGCACTGTACAGTGTACAGTACTATAGTACTTACCGTACGAAGTCGTACGCCGGGCATGCGCATACAATTCATCCTCATGCATAATTGCACACTCCATCGTTTGTTGTGCTTTTTTTTAACTTTCATCGCGCGATGGATGGAACGGAAACCGAACAGGCAGTTGTGGTAAGAAGTTATTCACTGTAAACGATGTTATTTGCTATTTGTGGACACAAATTATCTGTAGGATTTGATTATAGTATACTGAGTAAGGTATGGTAAGCTATACTTAAACTTGGTAGATCCGTTTAATTGAATTAATTCGTACAAACTTTAGTCCTATTAATTACTGGATATTAGCATAGCCTTGGAGCATGCAGAATTACAGCACTTGCTGCCGCTTTTTACTCGTCTAATTTGAATTCTAGTTTTGTCCTGGGAACTTATTTTAACGTTGCGTTTTATACATCATTACGATAAATTAGGCGATAAGTTTTGATTAATTTTAACCTAGATTCTTCATTCAACAATTGCTTTACTCTTATAACATTAGTACCCTGCAGTAATATAATACTGCAATGCATGTTAAATGTCGGACTTACAGTACAGTATAAACAGTTTATCCGTACTTTAAAATGGTCATTCATACGGTATGTACGTCGTGTATAGGTCAAATGTAATACGGTATATAAATTAATTAAAAAAACTAGTATATTTCGTAGTTGAGGCAAATCATTACGGAAAGTAATCGTTTATTGCTTCTGTTGGCCATATTTAAAATTTAGTCAAGCATGCTAAGTGCGCGCGAGTAATGTATATTAATTATAATTATAAAACGTTCCAGTCCATGAATCAGCGAGTGAACTAGAGGGATGCTGTTGTGATTGTACTTACTGTACGTGCATTGCAAATCTGGTATACTGTACAGTACCTATTTGAAATGGGATACCTCTCAATGAAATCTGTATGATCCTTGTGACCGTAGTCCCTCTCGACTGCCTTAATGAGAGTTTAAGATCAAGTAACGCCAAGCAATAATATATATATATATATATATGTATAATTATAATGAATTTAATTGGTTTAGTTTTAAAACTGTGGTGGCGTCAAACAATTTGTGGCTACATCATACAGTGTTCAGCGATCTAGTAAACTTGACTAAACCTAAATACGCGTAGCAATAAACATAATTTGGTCGTGCGGGGCTAGTGGGTATGAATTGATGAAAGTAGTACGGTACTAGAAATATTACCCGGTGGGGTGATCTGATTGCAACGCAATAGGAACCTTAGTAGACTGGAGACTTTAATTTTTGATGATTTACAATTTCGTTAATGGGATTGCTCCTTATTCAGGATATGCGCTATTGCGGTAGTTCTGATACAACGGGTAATACTGCATTTCCACAAAGCATGCTTTAATAACTTCTCGATCATATACGAGTATAGTGCTATATACTAAAATTTCTGAAGCTCGATATGGCATCTATTAACTAAATATTTCGTGATAGCTTTGAAATAATGGTCGTTAATGTTCACGAATCAGTTGCAATGTGTTCAAGCTACTTATTATCGAATATTTTATGTACATACCCGTATATCCTCGGCTTAGATTATTCCAAAATCAGTTATAACTGGACAATTGCGAAGTAAATGGGATAGGAAGAACGGAATTGCAGTTTTTCCGGGCTCCAGTGATTTTTCTAATTCAGGTATGCTACTAGCTGTAAGGAAAACTAACCTTTCGCAAGACAATAGTAAACGTACTTGTCGAACTGATTTTCGTATAAATGATACATTTTACCGATATTGTTAGCAAGGCGCTTACAGTATAAAATCTAAATTTAAATTTTATAATGTGTTTTGCTAACCTTTCAAATTCATTTTCAACAGTGGTGCTCTGCTATGATGTCTGCTTTAAGCAAAAATTTAGTTATTAAGTTTTTGTACTTATTTATCAAGGCAGTTATACTAATGTACATATCATATATTACAGTTAAGGATGAAAGGGCTGAATTTAATATATGGGAAGTCCAGCTTGATCCGAAACGGTACGAAGGATTGGCTCGTCGTGTTATCAGCGAATCTCACGGTAATTTGGACTAAATATTATTAATCGAAATAATCGATTGCAATTAACCTAGTAGATAATATTTACTTTTAAACCTAAGTAGAGTAGATTAGATGCTAACTAGGTCGTGTTGTAATGAATTCGTAGACATTTTTCTAGAAATTCAAGAGATTGCCGATATGGATAGTGCTACAAAACAACGAAGGTACAGTATGAGGATTAATGTACTACATAACTATTTCAGCTATACCGTAATGCATACTGAAATCGACTTTCTTAGCCTAATGAAATGCAGTCGACTTTACCGGTCTATTTTGAGGGCTTCTTTTGTTCACAGTCGTAAGAAAGGTATCTCCTAAAAATGTCGCATGCCATCAATTCGTTAAGAAAATAATTTCTAATGTTATCAATTACTTTAACTGTAAATACGACGCTATTTCCTTACTTCATTAGATCACTGCTTAAACTTTTATATGGGAGACCGCGTAAAAATGGTAATAATTATAGCAGGAGATATTTTTACGGTTGTTATTACCTGAAAACTTCTCAAGTGCTGTGAGTTCTAACCGTATACCAATCTAATTTCGCTTATGTAGGAAGAACTATACTCAGTAGTCGAATTAATTTGGCAATTATGCGAAATCATTTTCATTGATTCCTCGCAAGGTAAACTTACAGATTGATATATTTGTCGAAATTTGCCTCTCATGCCATTAAATTTCTCTATAAAAATTATAATAATTTATGTATTGTTAGTCTAAATCGATGCTTTAGTATAAATCTTAAATAATCCACCGAAATACTTGCCGCATATGAAATGGTGTTTTCCACCAAATGTCGAAATGTGGATCAATTATACGAATATTAACCTTAGAAAAGTAAACAAGCAATATCTAAGTAACATTTTTATTTAAGCTTATCCCATTCAGGGGTTACTTGAATGGATTGTTTGGCACTTTCCTCAAGTCGATGAGCTGCATAAAAAAATGATCCTTGAAGCTCACGTAATCCGTGAACATCGGAATTACTGGCCTACTGTATGAGCTAGCTAGATTTCGCGAATTATATTGTAATTTACATGTTATGCGAGAGGATTTAAAGCTTTACGTCCCGAGTAAATATTCGGATTGTTACTACTTTTTTCTTGCATAGATTTATGGATATGTTGTGAGTGGACGCATGAATTCTGCAGTAGAATTGTTAAATGTATCGGTCAAGGACTCAAATGATAAAAGTGACGTAAGTTAGTTAAATAAATGTCACTATGATTAAATTGAAATGGCTGGTAACCTTGCATTACCGTTGAACTTTTTATCTTAGCCCTACCGAAAGATAAGCGAATTACTAAGAAAAATGCCGCGACCTAGTGTAAATACGAATGTTATATTGATTGGTTTACTGATTATTCTTAGCAATAAGGATCTACTTTGTCTATCACTTTAGTCGTCTCCTGAATATGTTTTGAAGTGGAGGCATTGGCAACAGGAATGTCGCAATAGCTTGACTGGTGATATCCAACAGCATAGACATTTACATAGATTATGTAGGGTAAGGTTAAATCGTTTTATGTTTGTATGTGCAGTCTAGTACTGGGAATGTGAAGTTAGCTACTGATATCTATAAAAGCCGCAAAGTAAAAATAATTTCTGATCTGTTACAGATATTATGTGGCGATGAAAAAGTTTTACAGGAGTTAAGGTACTCGATAAGGCTATCAGATTTTCTTGTACATTTAAATCTCTATTTGATGATGATTCTTAATGTATCATCTGCTCTACCATAGTAATGAAGGCGTCATTCACACGTGGTACCATCTTTTAGTTGTTCATATACTATTTCGAAATCCAACTACAAAAGTTTACGATCTTCACTACAGTATTGATGTAAGTACTAATTCGCAATTAAAATCAACATTATGTTTCGAATGGATTGCCTCGATTTTTATTTGGATTCATTATTTTACAGCTGTCGTTAGAATTATTTTATGGTGACAAATCGCGTTTAGGAAAATTGGATGAAGTAATATCTGCCATTTTCCTGTTAGACACTGTGCGAGTCATTAAAGAAGCCAGGTTAACTGTTATATTTTGCAATGCATACCTACCTTGAACTCGTATTGCTACACCAACATATTAAGCTTTAAATAACTTAACGAATTTAAGATCACATCTTAACCTAACTATTATTACAGTGCTGGATTTGGGGATTGGTGGTTTGCAGTTCATCTCACCGACTTATTGTATCATTGTGGCCAGCTAAAATTATATAAGCTTGAGTAATGTGATAGGCGTTGTTGTTTACATAGTCCTCCAAAATGATTTATTAATTTAAGATATACTGAGATTTAATTAATTACAGACACCTTAAGCGTTATAGAAAACGATCTTAACTAATATACTGCTATTTCATAGTTATGGAACTGACTTGAGGGAATATTTGCTGTTGGAGTACGGATCTTCGTTAATGAGTGCTAGGTAAAGATAATCAATTCCATAGTCCCAGTTCTGTACAAGCGGTATACTTAATTCTTGTTTTATAGTTCATGGCAGATTGGATCCGATTACCTGGGACATTGTCAAACTTATGGAAGGTCTATTGCATGTTGACATTTCATCCAAGCAGGCTTCAGTTGAGATGTAATACTGTTCTATTATTTCCAAATCAGATATTATTTGGAACAGTACATATCTAGGATTCCTTTAGATAGCGAGAAGAAGACTCGAAAGGTGCTGCATGTTTGTGAAAAGTATGGTTTATCGACGGATCTAGCAGATATTTGCCGAGAAGAATGTATGACCGCCATACGTAGAGAAAAACTAGGTTCAGCGATATCTTGGGCATTATACGTTAAGGTTTGCTCTTTAGTGTGTAACAATATCCTATACTATTTATATAAAATTGGCTAATGTTTCTCATTTTCTCGGTTAGGATGTCACTCTGATTAATTATATTGTCGATTGGTAAGTAGTAAACTAAGAAAACGGCTTTAGCTTATCAGGAGAATGCGTAAATTTTTCTCTAACTTTTGAGTGACATTTCTGCTTCTCTAGCTACATGTCCGCGTACATCAAAGACGGTAACGCTGATCGTCTTGCAATAGTAGACGACATTGGAGCAGCCATAACGTTAACTGGTCAATTAGCATTTTTAGGTATATTCTTTTTGTATTATTAGTCAGTCTTTATTATAGAATAAAGCTTTAGTACGTGTATTATGTTCCAATTACTATAGGATGAAATGATGCTATTGAAAGTTAGACAGTCAATGATAACATTACCGTTGTTACTGAAATGATAGTGCTACTATGTGATAATTTCATAGGGAAATTCAGAGAATTTCATACATTTTGTAATACTGGAAATCTCGTTGATGCAGCATCTATCTTGGTTTTACTTATGGTTGATGGCTTAGCTTCTAAAAAGTACGTAAATTCATTATAGAGGCTTCGATAGAATATAAAGCTTTACTTTTTCTAAACATTTTAATGTATGCGATGTCCTATTCAATATTCAGATATTGGTGGATGTTGTTATTGGATGCTATTCCGTTATTTGAAACTGAAGAGGTACAATATCTGTAATTTAGTTCGAACTTTGATTTAAATCGTTCCATTGTGTTGCATCATTCGCAGTTCATATGATAAGCGAAAACGAAAGCTTTCTAAGAATAATAATAGGTTAAAATTATGTGTTGCAGATTTTATTTGACAGCGATCAAACATACGAGTTACTTCGGTGTTTAACTGAGATTGAACTTTCGCTACGGGGGCCTGGTGATAGCTGGAGCAATCGCTTAACATTGAAACAGCAAGTTCACAAAAATTCTGAAGTAATCTTTGATTATGATACACTAATTAAAATTGAAATTGGAAGTATTCAATCGCTCCCTTCTAATAACAACGTAACCTTTTATTGCAGGTTTTACATGACGCTTTAAATACAATTCGAATCGCCTTGGCTCGTAACCTCGCACGCGCTCACATTAATGAAGAACAATGATAAAATTGTGGGATCTATTATTAAATCTATTTTGTTTTTAGTAAAAATTATGTAATTTTACAATCTGTCATGGTTTTTGGTAGTTTTCGAACCCTAATTACACTCAATTGTTAAATTACATTTTGTGCTCGCTTATCATTTTTCTGCGAGTAACACGCATATCTGTACGGGTTTGATTTGCTACCTTGTAACGCTAATCAGTTTCGCGACATTTTCGCTACACGTTATTACTATTAATGTATCCTTTCTTGACTTATCGTAAGATATCAGTGTACATATGATATTCCTTGTGTGGTTAAAATCGATGAGAATCATTCCAGAAATGGCTAGAGTGGAACTGGGAATGTTAGTAGCCAATCTAAATGTAGTAAAGCTACTCCTGTAGAACTTGTCTGTACATGTGCAATTAATTATATTATTTAAGCTGGCTTATAGGATATGTGCTAATAAAAAGTAGAAATGGGTCAAAATCGGATTGGTATTTTTAAGCACAAGAAACAATTGAAATTGTCGCTACTATAAAGTAATAATCTATTTTATATTATAATCAACTAATCCAATTTTTCAACAAACGTTACCAGATATAAAACTACACTCGTAATTATTTCATCAGCTTTCATCACGCTAAAACGTCAAGCCTTAAGGAAACATTTGATTAAGAAATTCTACTAGTTAACTATTAGAAGTGTCACACCACTAGTGACAAAGTAGTTCCAACGACCGAGTAATATAGTATAGTTATAGCGTCACTGATAGTGTAGATGAGGTAGTCAGAGAATTACTACTATTTATTAATGAAGAAATCTTGACAACCAAGATTATAGTCTTGACAATTCAATAGCAATTGACAACTAGTAGACTAACTAACCGACTAAGTAACTAAAAGTGCTCTTCAGGCACCAGCATTTTATAGTCTCATTAGAGACTCCTGGTGCACATAAAGTAAAACTATCCTTCTAAAGTTAAATTGATATAAATATCGATTATATCTGAGATTATGGAATGGTAATTCTCTTGACGTAATTACTCTAGTATACATGAATTTAATAGAGTCTAATAGAGTTGCTTGTAATATACTGTACAGTACTTATAGGCACTACGTTTATCTTGCAGTCCCCCACAATCTTACGGTTATTTGCTTGGCAGTGACCAAGTACGTTTACACTGTTTATGACTTGAAGATATTCCACAATAAGAATCGTTTCACTTAAAAAAAGCAATTGTAGGTATGAAATAAAATTAATGGAATTACTGTTTTTCTGACTTTGTTGACCTAACTAGTTGTATACTACTCATACAATTAGCATCGCCTGAATGTTAGATTAAGATAACGCAATATTCTACATTTGCAAGCTGTTCAAGTAGATAGCCGAAGTGTAACTGTGCGGCCTTGGTTGTTTATTTTTTAAAATGGAGCAGTAATAAATCAATTGATTAATTAAATATCGTACACTATTTTATATATTACACCTGCATGCCGATTGCATTGGTGAAAGATTTTATATCTAATTTGCTTAAGTAGTAATATGCGGCCATTATTAGCCAAGCAATAGGTGGTATTTGTGCCTTACCAAGCTGTAAGATTATAGCACATTTGAAATCACCAATTGATTTGAAAAGTATCGATTACGGGATGGCTACAAATTTATTGAGTAGCGGATAGTATCCAATATTTCGATTAAATAGAAAATATCATTAATTAAAATATTGCATTATTCGAAAATGTTTAAACAATTTTTTCTTGATGATCGCTATGAATGACTAATAACAATATCTAGATCAGTGTATGATTCATAGTAGACCAAACAGTGAACTATACAATGAACAAACATGATAAAGCTAGTGTTATTTACTTATAATGTTCGTTATTAATTAGGAGTATCTCATTTTAACGGTCCAGCGACGAACACCATCGTTAGGGTAAACATTTATGTAACGGATAGAGGTGAGTATCTGGCAATAGCAGTATACAACAAATTTATTTCTTACTTAATTCATCTGGAATTAGTAAATACGTGTATCTTGGAACTTACAGGTATACTTGACAAGGTGCGTAAGGTCTAAATCACTTAAAATGTTCGCTATGGCAGTACAAGCTCTATTGCTACTTGTGAATCAAGAAGTGCGACTCCCACCTTTATTTAATTTAAATTACAGGTCTATTTGATGACTTGTAATGAAGCAGTTGGTCGCAGTTATATTTTGTTTCAATCTTTAATCAGTATAGATTATTATCGAAGATGCGGCAAGATGAAATAATAACTATAGCTTTAATTACGCAGAAAAAGTATCAATCAATATTTATCCTCATTAACTATCTTATTTTGTTAGTTGTTTCTTATCAACAGGTTTTATTAATTACAAATAATATAAAAATAGAATTAGAATCTATTCTAAGTGATGGAATAATGTATTTTGTAAGAAGTTTATGCGTACGAGTTCAATTTATTATCCATACTAAATGCTCTATTATAGCACCAATTGTAATATATTTTGGTGTGAATTTTTCGGCAATCCTTTATCAAATGATAATGATCCTTGCTTAATAGAAAAGGCGAAACGTGCAGAAGATAAGAAATGCTAATATTGTGTAGTGAAATAGCGATTATGACATCTTGACAATACTTGTATATGCTGCACGTAATTCATGAAGTTTAACATGTACAATTTCGCACTTCCTTCAAGGATAGACTAATGTCATTATTCGCTGATTTATCGTAACGATAACTGAATGGAAAATTTGGTACTGTTATATTTAAGTGCAAAACAAGGCCTGTAATGCAATGATATGTTTACCGTCGGCAGTCTTCATAATCTAAATTAAAAGTAAAGTAAATTAATCCTTGATAATTCGTAGATATCCTATTCTACATTTGAGCTTCACAATGCACACATTAGTAGGTACAAAGTTACTGATTAACGAAGTTTATAAGATTTAATGTTGCAATAAATCATTTTATGTCGGTGACTGTTGGATAAAAATTATCATAACTCAGCGTAACAATTGTATTTTGAATTGAAAGTTTCTTTTTCTAAATTTTGTAACTGCTTTAAATACCAAGAGCGTTTCACGCATATTTTAGATATAGAAAGTAATCACATCACCCCTAAGGTGTTATCATGTCTTTCGATTACGATTAAATTAATGAATTGACCTCTCTATTGGTATTAATATTATGCATGTCGCGTTCTGTACGTAATATGTATGATTGTAGGTCTATAAAGTAGTTTCTAGGATGTTAATAAGCATGCCGCATAGTATATGTAACAAAGCGGATGATTTTTGGAGATGGGATTGAACTGTTCTAATGTTGGTTATAAGTTCCCAGTAGTTGATACTAGCTTAAATAGCTACTATCTTTAGTGTAATGTTATATGATTATTGTTCCATCTTTGTTTTTAGGCCTTTCACATCAACTATATTTTCTTTTATCTGCGCTCTCGCTCTCTTTAGCCTACCATAACTTCAGAATAAATAGACACCGAGGTACAAAGATGCTGCACGACATTAATATTTATGTGATATCGTGTTACTACGATTGATTTGTTGCGGGTTTACATAAAAATACTACATCCTCTCACCAATAATTTCTTGTTTAAAAGGTAATAAAATTGCATTAGAGTCTATTACTTTTTTGGTCTATTCAAATAATAGGTACATTTACAAACGCATGAAAGCTCGTCTGATCAATACGTTTTTCACTATTCACTTGGAATTTGAAATGTCTTATTTCATGTTAAGATACTATTATAAACTAATGATAGCTTACTGTAGCGTTATGTAGGCTAGGTGCCATTCTGACAATACCTAAACATTTACTACCGTGCAGTGCAAAAGTAAGTCTTCGTTATCGATTTTTATAGTGGCTTTCGGGTGCTGTCTATGCATATAGGATCTGGGCTACTGTAACTGCATTATGGATAAATTAGATAAAAACATGAATTAAGGTAATTGCAAATAAGTTCAAACGCTGAGATATGAAGATGTGAGTCTTACAAGAATTTGCTTGTGCTGGAGCACATAGTCAAGATACGAGTATTGCGATTGTACAGGATTTTATGAAGTTTTTGGTTAAGTGGAGTAAGAGAGAATGGTCTACTATCTCCAGTTAAAATAAATCAGCCGTCATGATATATGCAGGCGTTGACCTCATTAAATATGATAGAATATTATGATAGCTTTATTGAAATTTCAATCTTCTGAATAAATGGTATAAGCTAATGCCGTTAATTTCTTGATGGTAGTCTAGTGATGATTGACGTCTCGCTTACGATAAAAATGTTGATAGTCAATTTGTTATTCATAAATTGTATCATAACAAAAGGAATGGTGGTAAAAGGCGATTACCAAAAGTATTGGCTTTGTTGCAGTTGTTCATCGTAATGCCCTAATGAGCGGCAAATTATCAAAGGTTTGTAATCGCCGCCCCTTAATCTTATCTTAGAAGTTTTAATTATAATAGTGCGGCATCTTCATACATTGTCGTCAACAATACTTGACATGATCAATGATGATGGACAACTTGGCGGTGTATATCACTAATAAATATATATGTAAGCATATCATAGATGATGTCTTTGCGCAATATTCAACCAATACTCCGTCACCAGGTGGTTGAATATTTAGATATTATCGGTCAAGATGAATGAGGACGCTATTGAAGTTCGAAGTTGCCTGTATATTATTTTAGCACTATCATGAAAGGCTGTCATTTTGTTTTCGGCGTCATGCTTAGTCAATGCAATACTTACACATTTCTTTAAATAGAGCAAAGAGACGGAGGGTAACATCGTTATAAACGAAATTCCACTGTGATATGATATTGAAAAAATAGGAAAGAATCGATGGAAAGATGAACCCCCTCCCTAAGTCTGTCCTATTACGATCAAATACAAATAGAGATAATGTCGCTTTCTTTTTGTTGTATTGTAAAAAGCATTGTTGAAGCATGACAACAAAACTATTCTTTGCTATAGTGCAGTTCATTTTGTAATCAATCGAGACAAAAATAACTCCGTTCCTTAATCAACCTTTGCCTGATTCATATTCAAAAAGTATAATCGAGATATTAAGTATGCCGTAATAGTAATGATCGCTGTATTGATTGAATAGTATTAAAGTTTAACCATAGAAACTTAGTTGCTTGCTGGCCCAATCATTCAAAACCGATTTTTGAGTAGTTTAGACTAAATAGATGGTCCACAGAGTCCGTACAGTATACCAATGTTTTACATAAATTAAAGGTAGTGTCTAATTATATTTGTTATCAAAATCTTTAAATTATTATTAGATACTGTACTGCAGGCATACTTCTGACAGCGGATGTTGATTCTAATAATTCGAGCGATAATAGCCTTTACTGTCGATGACAAGTTCATAAAGGGTCAACACTAATAGAGATAGGTAAACTATTTTATAAATTGATTATATCACTGTTCGTACAACAGATTATTTTACTCCGTCTCCGCACGATCATTTTGAGGTTAAATTCTTTCAGCAAATCTCCATTCACTCAAATTGAATAATTATCTACATCTTATCGAACATCAACTCCTGTTAATGATCGGAGTTACATAAAGAATCTTGGATGGGTCAGCTATTTCGTATTTACCGTCGATATTAATCTATTTAGCAGATTAGCAGCAACATTCAGCCTATAGATAGCCATCACGAAAGCTCAGAAACGTCTTATGATCCTTATTTCGTTACTTTTCTTTGGAATATTTAGCTTCGATTCGCACTAAAGTTACAATTGATAACGCTATTGGAACAGGACATTTACAGTACGTAATACTTGATAAGGTAAAGTGTTGATATCTAATCTAACTTGTAAATCTATTAATTCTCTTAGCTATTATTCTTTTCCAACTTTGTTAGAAATATTTTTATTTGATGACGATTTGGTTATGATGATCCTTGTAATTTTGATGTACAATACAGTATATTTTTACTGTACTTTTTTAAAGAACTGAATGACTTGGTCATTGTCGTATTGCACGTTTGGATGCTTCTCCCTTAGCAATTTTCGATTTTTTTACTTGAGATTTGTTCAAGATTTATTTTGCAAAAATTTATCGTGTTTTTGGGTAGGACTTTTGCACGCTCTTATATTATGTTTATTCGAAAAAAATGCGCTTAGAATATAGTATTTGGCAACACGCTTCTCTTTCTTAGGACATATCTTGCAAATTAGAGGTAGTCTTCTAAAATATTATACTTCAGACAAGTTAATTCCAGGACTACAGTTCAGCAAAGACGATCACCGGTTTAGATCATTGCTACCCTAGCATTGGTAGTTCATTATACCGATGAATATTACTGTTTTCTTGTTTTTAAAAGTACGCCAATCACATATTGTAGTCGAGATTACATGAGGCATGACAAACTTTTTCGATAATATTTTGCTTCCAGAGTACTGTAAATAAGGGATTCACAATGTTCCTAGTCGCAATTGATGATTATTACGTAGCCTGCAATGTTACGCCACTATCAGCCCTTTCTACTGACGTTGTATTCTATACTCTAATTAGCTATATATATATACAATCAGTCAACTAAGTAACACGCACTGGAGCTCTAAAAGTTCATTCATTAATTAATCCATAAGCAGTAGCACCTTAGAAATATGAAGAATGTGGCAAAGGTGCATTAATAATACTGTAATAGCAAGAGTATGATGTTCACAATGTTCACAAGGGGGAAAAGGACTCGCTGTCTCATGAATCAAGTCATTGACTGACTCTTTCGTCACAGGCAAGGACTAACGTTCGATACACTATTCTAGTCTATAGTATTGTAGTATATTGCCATAACCGTTCGGTTCTATACAAAATATAATGTTACGCAATGCTAGGAGCCTACAGTACAAGACTGTAAGCCACGGTGAATCATACTGTAGTTCACCGTACAATGTACGGCGGATATGTTCGCCTTGTTTCTTATAGTGTCACTACTGTCGGTCGGAGCCTTTTGTACTTGCAAGGCATTGTATTGATACTTCGTTTATCTTGCCGCAGTAGTAATAAAACTTTTTTGTTATTTGTCGAAACGAATTTTACATCACCTACGACTTGATCCAAGTTTGTTTTTGTTTTTCTTTCACAAGTAGGAAATTTTTTACGATTGAACCTAGCGATTCAGTGATCACTGGATACTGTGCGGTAGTTTTTTTGAATGTGAATGCACGCACAATTCAGTATCGAATAATAATAATAATAATATTTATTTATGGTTTACTAAAATTGAACAGGCTGTCCACTGTGTACCAGAACTAGTTAACTACCTACAACACTATTGCGTGCATGTTCCTAACATGTGTCTTATATACAGTCCAGTATGATCGATATAGTACATAATAATACATCATGTAGCGTCTGCTGTGCGATAGTTGGGTTACCATTTGTTCTTGATCATCGGAAACTTTTAAGTACTACAGTAACTGCAGATACGGTATACATTGGAGCCGTGAGTTTGTAAACTATATACTAATAAATACAATTTGATACAATAAAGTACAAGGGCAATAATAATTAATTATTATTAATAATAACACCGTGTATACGATATGTATTCTACAGATGCGTATCGCTCTCTCTACATACGCGCATATATAGATCTACTGTAGATATAGATATAGATATAGATATTATTTATTTATTTGTTAAAATGTTATGAGCTTTGATTCGCCTACTTTTTTCTTAGTCGATTGTTATATGTTACGACGAACCCTGACTTAAATATTCCGTAATCTCTTTTTGCTTAAACCGCTCTATTCTTCTGCATGTTCTGTACTATTCAATGCTAATTGTCTAAACGGCGGAGTGGAATTGTAAGATCTTCGTTGAACCGGTAGACAAGTATGAGCATGCATGAGCAACCTTAATCGGGCACTATTTGACGCTCTAGTTTACAGACATCACAAAGCAGTAAACAGAGATTATGTACATCATAGTTTTTGCTTTACTTCTTCAGGTACAATATATTTCACGTACAGTTGTAGGCGCCTCAGTATTTATTTTATTCACTTGAAGATTTGGTAGTTCGATAAAGTTGAGTAATTGCCACTATACAACTTAATTGACTGTGCTTGATATCGTTAATTTCAATCTTCACCTTTATTTGTAATCCTATGTATTTAATACTGCTTTAGTCAAGGTAATTATATTGTACAAATTAAATTTTTAAGCTCTCAACATTGTACAGGATAGTTTGCACTCTGTTTTATGAATGCTGTTCATCTTTGCAGATACATACATAACTTGGACATTTATATTCTTCGCTAAATACGAGTAGAAATCAACGGCCTCAACTATTCAAAAATTACCAATCAGCGAGAAAACAATTAAACTCTCAAGGCACCATCGCAATATCCGCGTATTTTACGAGAGAACATTGGGCGTAATTTATTACTCAATTAAAATATTATAGACCACTTCTTTTTTCTTTTTATCTATTCTTACTATCATAAAACAACAAAAAGTCATTTTACATGGTTTGCTCGGTCGATATGGCCAACCAGAAGGATTCGACCAAAATCCAGAATAGCGGAGAATCAGTGTATCAAGAAGATTATAACTATCTGGCAGGATCGGTCAATCAAAATGGCGATGTCGTTGTAAAAGAACGCCATCAGACTATGCCACATTCTAATCAGGGTAATCCACATCTATTCGATAAGAGTACGTACCAGAACCAGCAGGATTTACCTTCGCCTAATGCTTCGTCATCGTACAATCAACCGTCGCGATCGTCATTTTATCAGAGCCGTAATGAAGGTAGACAATTACCTCATGGCAATCGTGGACTTGTAGAACAAGTTTCTGCAGGTGAAGGCGATCCTAATTTATCTCCACTTATTATAGGATCAGAGTCGGAAGATAATCTTCCACATTCGCCATTATCTACACAGTCGACCTTGTTATCGTCATTTATGTTATTAGACCGCGATGATGATTTACCAGCATTAATGAGCTTTATGGAAGACCGGCAATGCCATCTTGCGCTGATGTTCTGGAAAGCATGTCTACGTTATAAACAATGTCATCAACTAGCTCAGCGCCATGATATTGTCAAATCGATTTTAGCTACTTGTTTTAACTCTAAACCCATTTGTCCTGGATTACAACCTCAAGATCAGGATGCAATCCGGGATAAAATAACATATGATTGTCTGGAAGATAATTTATTCGATGGATCATTAGAGCAAGTGACAAATTGGATAAGACAAGAAATATTACCCGCATTCTATCAATCACACTCATTTCAACAGAAACAACAATATCATCAGTCTATGCCTAAAGTTAAATCGCCAATTACACTCTTCACAAACTTATCACCTTTACCAGAAGAGGAAATTTCCACTTTTGAAACGGATGATCTTGGTAAGCAATATGTAGATCATACTAAGGAACAAGTGGAAAACCAAGAAATACTCCAACAAGATACGTATATTGAAGGTGCTGCTTTAAAGTCAAATGCAATGAACAAGTAAGTCAAAATATTTGTCAATGTGTTATTACTTTTTTATTTGTTGCAAATAAGTAGTATTATAGTTTTTAATCTACATTGAACGATGTTTGTACACTGTTACTACTAGAATACTTAAATTACTTCGACATAATGCGCATACGACATTCTGTATTAGTCGTGATAAAGCAAGCTGTAAGTCTCTAGTATCGATTCGTACTGCGTAAAAGGAAGACAATGCATCATCAGCTGTTTTTGATTTTTACGTTTATACAAACGAACAATAATTAAACAATTCATCGGTTTTGGTTCATTTCGCAAATTGTTATAACTATTAGTTTCATACTATAACTATATAACTATTTCATGATTAGGACGATACCAAATGAATCAGATAAACCGATAAACGAGCGAAGAAAGGGAATAGCAACTGAAAATCAACGCGATAGGTTAGAAATTCACAAGTACTCGTTAAACTACTGTTTTACGAATATCGTGAATGACTTAACAAATTGACTTTAGCCACAATGTCTCGCAAAAGTATCGGTTTTCATTGATATTATTTCTTTCATGGCAGGCTTGATTTATCTACTATCGTTATCAATAAAGACGACGGCTTTGATTATAAAGCCCAGAAAGAAAAAGTGAAATTATTAAACAGAAAAGGACCATCGGTGATTAGGGTTCACTATTTTAATATCTTATTGCGTACCTAATACGCTGTAACAGTTAAAATTAGTTAAATTTGTTCTTATCATCATAGTAACTACGTCTATAAGATAAATAGAGGAAACAAAAATCAAAAAAACTAGTGTCTATTACGGATCTGAGTTGTTTTCAATTTTACTAGTTTGCTGAGTCAAAGTATAAATTTTTGTGTTATAGCGGCGTCAAGGCGATGCTCGTCATGGTGGCAGCGACCCCCAAGGATTCTTTGCTCAACTAGTACAAAGAATCGATGAGAAAATACTACGGCCAGGATCGAATGATGACAATAATAACAGTTCCCATCTACAGCAGGTTAAACTTTACTTATGTATACTTTAACTCAAAAATAAGATTGGATAGAATAAAAATTTTATTTTGTAGTTATAGCATTAATCTCAGCAATAGTGACATAATAACTTATTGGATAGATTTAAAACTCTGATTTGCTTGAATATTTAAAAGTCTTAGTTAATTATTGTTATTGATTAACAATCATACGACATAATTAGGGACAGGCACGAAATCAAATTGGTTCGCACAGAATAAGGCAACCACCACAACAACTATTGATTACACCGAATAATCGAACTACATCCACCAATTCTTTAGTCACACCACACAGCTATGGAGTAGACGAACTGCAATCATGTGCTGACTCAATAACGGATTATTCATCTACATCTGATCTTAGTTCTGTTAATTCTCAGGGTGGTTATTGTAGTAGTCGACATGAGCGATCAGCTGATAATAGTAGCAGATCAGTTAGAAATGCCGGAATGATTATTAATACGCAACCGCAGCGTCTTATGAGAAGTTGTGGTGAAACTTCAATATCCAATGGTAGACCAACGCTAATCCCAGTGCATCGTATCTCAGAAGGAAATGGAGTAGTAGTTTCCAATAGCAGTAGCCGTTATTCCTCTCGTGACTTTGATGATATTATTAGCATGACCGATTCGGGAATTGTAAAGTATAGGAAGCGAGATCTCTCCTGTCGTAACAGTACAACTATGAGAGACAGAAATGACCTTGATCCTGAGCCTTACCAAAGGTAAATTTGATTTTATACAGTTAATGAAAAATAAAAAAGTAATATTTTATACACACGATGACATTTGATATTGTTATGAAAGTCATATCTGGGTTAATAATGTACCGTAATTTGTGAGTCGCCACAGAAGGACTTCTCGCCCTCGTTACTATAATACCTGTATTCGTACATGTCTAATCTTATATCGTGAAAATTATTATTATTTATGATAGCAAGACTTTATACATTTAGCTATGTTGTTATCGTACAATGTACAGTATATATGTACAATTAACACATGCAGCAGTTTTAAACTCATCGGTAACTTAATTTTTAGGGAAATCACAGATCACTTTTGTTCTTTTTCCGTAGACTGTACAGTAAATAGCGATATCCTGTTATTTATTGATAAATTATAAAACTTTATTTGTTCTGCCGTAGTTATGAAGGTTCTGGTAAATCAGCTATTAGAACTAACGAAACGGGAAGATATCGCCCGATTAATGATCCCAATGGAAATCATTATTTCCAACCGCAACGTGACCGTGAACGAAAATCTGGGGTTGTTATGATGCAGTCTCAGCAAACCTGCGATTACCATAGTAATTCTAACAGTAGCTCTCAACGGTCAAGCACAACTGAACCTCCATTTAGAAATATGATGCCAAATCTTTCCGATTATAGCGTCCCTGTAGTGGTAAATACAAATCACGGTTATCGATATGACGATCGCTATGTACGTTCACCAGGATATCATCACAGCGGAGTACTTTCGCCTGGCCGCATGTCTTATTCATCGCATGGTACTGACAATAACGACCATCGACGTGGCCATTTCAAATGTAATCAACCGTTACAAATATTAGAAGGAGTGAAGAAACGCCTGGAAGTAGAAGAATTTGAGCACAATGAATGGTAAGGAAATTAGATCTTTATTTTGTATTAATTGATGATATACTCGTTAGTAGATAAAAATTGTAGATGCTATTTTCTATTATTACGTATTTAACTTCAAATCCAATTGGCATAGTCATCAATAATGTTGTATAGTAATCATTGAATTACTTAAGAGATCATTTCTTGATTGCTCCTAAGCATAAATTGAAAAATGTATTTTAACTAGTTTTTTGTTTTGTCATTATTACAGTGAGGATTCAGAGTATAGCAGTGAGCTAAGTGCAAATACAATTAAGCAAGCGGAGTATCGAATGGATACGAATCCGCCCCATTTAACCGAATCTAGAACTTCTCTAGGCGAATCATGCAATGTTAATAAGACATCAACGAAGCCTAAAAGGAAGTCGAACAGTAGCAAAGGAACGACGGTGACTTACACATTTTGTTCTGAGTCCGTCCCATATCGTATCACTGTCCCTGGTAGAGATATAACATTGGGCCAATTCAAAGCAGTTTTAAGTAAGAAGGGAGAATTCAGGTAACAATTATTACATTCAAGGATATTTCTTTATATGGTTTGGAAATTAATTATACCGTAGTTTTATAATACATAAATTATTAGGAGACTTACAACTGATAGATCACGTATTCAAATAAAGATATAGTGTATATTTCTTTAATATTTTAACTGATTTGTATCTGCTTTAAGTTAACAATCCATTACAATGAAAATCGTGATCATTTTGTATCGTTTTAGTTGAATTAATCCAAATGCAAGGAAAAGATTCACTGATTATTATTGACGCTATACTTTTAGATATTTTTTCAAAGAAGAGTGTGAAGATTTCGAATGCGGTGCGGTAATGGAAGAATATTCAGATGATGAAGATCAGCTGCCGCTATATAAAGGCAAGATACTATGTAAAATCGAAACGATTATTTAAGTAAAGGACAAGAAGGATAAAAGAGCCTTCATTGCTTATTTGCAAAGCTATTTTATTATTATAAATGTAAAAATTATGAAATATTAAAAATTAGGAAAGGATTTTAATAGCAATTTACTGATGATTTGTTTACCTAATGTACCTATTACTATTTCGGGAGTTATTCGTACATGCTCTATTGACTGAGAGTACGCGATCATAGTCATTCTCGCCAATTCGAACCTTTATGTTACTATTACATTGTGCTTATGAAATATTATAGTAAAAGATCTAATTAGTTGCCGATAGCTACCAATTTCTACATGTTAAACTATATTAACGGCGTGTAGTTACAACCGCGAGTAAACCCTAGATAGCATTCATTCTAAATTCCTTCAGGTCTACTTAATGGCGTTAATGAAAATGCTGTATTTTTTTAAGACGAATAAGTATTATTCAATAGGAGATACAAATTATTAAGAGCTAATTTGAAATTAACTATATCAAAGATCACCCTAGCACATCTTCTTTATAACTTATTTTTATTTTATGCTTATTGCAGTTTGCATTATATGAGAAATTTTGCAAATGTAAATTAATTTAAATACTCTGTGGATAATGAATTATGTACTGTAATATTAGTAACAAAGCGTTGTATGATCGAATAGGATTAATTACTGTTTGACGCATTTGTAATGAGTGCTTAATGTTACTCCTTACTGAACTTTATTTCTGGCGTATTTATATACGATATTGATGTTGCTACAACTTCTAAATGATTGTAGTTAATGTAATTATTTGATTTAGTAATCTTTATTTCCATTTTTTATTTCCTTTATCTTAATTTGGTATTTCTATATACAGTAATATTAATCAATGCTACTTAAAATTTATTGAATCAATCCTTTATGACAGGATTTTTACACTTATCTGTACGCGATTTAAAAAGAGGATCTAATTCTCGATGCTATAAACTAATAGTAACCAAATGAAACAGAAAAGATTAACTTCATCTTAATAGCACAAAACGTGATCTTTGTGTCTTGTATTACACTATAGTAAAATTGATTGAAATCAATCTAAGTTATAAACTGTTGAATTGCAATAGAAAAGCAACTGTAATCTTCAACTTTAAAATTTTAAATACCAATAAAAACATAAGATCATTATAGAAGTTAGCTGTATAAAAGAGCACTATATTGAGACATATAGTAATTAAGTCCAGATTCCTGGTATGGTTAATACACTGTTATATTACGGTTATTAGAAATTAGGAATGCACACGCAGAGCAGTACGTATTACTGCAACTCGGTTGGTAATTAATCAAACCTTTCGTTTTCTACATGATTCGCGATAACTATTGGGCAAAGTAGAGGCTTATGCGATCGCTGATATAATATATGAAAGTAAACTTTCCATAAGATAAAGATAGGTATGCTATAATTAAACTTAGAGGAAGAATTGTGAATATAGAATACTTTGAAGTTTGTCATACAGATGCACTCTGTACATCAGCATGACACTCTGACAAACTTCACAAAGTATTCTATATCGTACAATCTTGTAAGGAAAATTTTCGATCAATCATGTAGAAGTGAAGCTTTTGCAATTGGAAATTATGCAGAAAAATTTAAAGTAAAGTAGTCTATTAATAACGGTATAATGATTAACAATAATAAATATAACAGTTTGACAACATTTCAGATTTGGCTCTTAAAAAATAGGATCCCTGTAACAATAATGGTTGGCAAAATACTATTCTAAGTATTGATAATTTTATGAATGATTTAATAGATGGATTTGCCGATTATATATTAAATTATATACTCATAGCTAAGGCTCATCGCTTTCTTTCATGTACACCTACCCTGAAATTTTATGTCTCCTACACGGATCCGTTATTATATGTCGAATTACAGTTGTGCTCCGCTTATATGCTAATTAACTTCATAGTTGTGCTAGTGTTGTAGGTGTTGGCAGTGTTGGTCAGCTCAGTATTATACTCACCAAGGCCTAAGTTTATTGAGCTGATTCTTCATTAAACAGCACTTACGATGAAAATAAAGTCTATCTCATTGATACTAATGGATTTGTGGCTACGAAAGATGAAGATTGGCTAAAAAAATTAATACTTTTAGTTATAATTCTAGTTCTTGTTATTGAGCCTCATTGAGTAAGAGACTTATATAAGGGTTGTTGGTATTTCGTTCGTAAATTCGTTCTAATTTGTGTATCGAATGAGCTCGCTAACGTTCTTAAGTTACTTATCCAACAAAAAAGGGATCACAGGTTCATCTATTGGATCGCAGTCTGTAACACCAAGAATGCTATATTTAAGCCTACTTTATGTATCACCTCAGATTCATAAATAAGAATCGTATACAGTAGATATCGGTGGTCATCAGAATACAAGTAAATGTATTAAAAATAATGCAGCTCGCAAGCATAATATTTTGAAGAATTTTGAATCTATTCAATATAGTAACATGTATCATAAGCACTAGAATGCAGATGCTCATTTATTGATGAGATAAAGCAGGCTTTATATATCACGCTACGAAAAGTTGATGAACCAATTTGTCACGTTATTCCATTATTGAAGTCTAGAATAACGGCTGCTTCAATAAGGATGTGTAAATATTTTTGTAAAATTTTGTTGATCAGTCGACATTGTAAGTACGATTACTAATTAACAGTTAATTATTTTCTCGATGACCTAAAACATACATAACGCGAATCTGCCCTCTAATTTAATTAGCTCACTACCTTATTAATAAAAAGAATGAATGGCTTCCAACATTATTTCTCATTAACTCGTTAACTCTTTCATCATGATCTAATTTTTAGTAAAGTTGAATATAAAACATGCACAGAAATTTATGAAATACGCTGCCAAGTAGTACGAGCTCGTATATCTACATTACAACTTTCACGTTAATACACTTATTTATTGCGGCCACTCCGGTACACCTACTGACGAAATGGACTGTAAAGTATCGAATAAATCTTTACAAAATTCTTATTTTACTGTTTAACGATCGCTTTGGTAACTGTATATTGAATGCTTATTAGAGGATTGCGTTGAAGACTCAGGTACTTCGATTAATCAATATATTGCTTGACATCAGATTTACTGCCTTAATGTTTCTAAATTATCGATGAATAGTAACGTATTAACACGCATATTTTGCTTTACATTTTACGACGGTCTACTCTACGGTACTTTGGCTAATTAATCAAGCGGTCTACGTCAGACTTACTACATTAATATTCTCAAATATCAATACAATAGTAACGCATTAATATAATACTTTACATTTTTGAGATCGTTAATGCTTGTGTGCAACTCAATTTTTCAGTAAGATAGCATGAGCAAAGTACAGTATCTGACTAGTTTACGCATGAGTTTAAGTCTAGATCGTTGCCATGACAACGTGAAATAAACCCTAAGATGTATTATAATAAAATTGATGAGGAATTTGAACGGTAAACTACTGTACAGTATAACATCATTTGAAGTTACTGGTTATTGATGTGTTTATTAATTTATTATAGGAGATTTTCTACCGAATCTCAAGAAAATTTGGTTGATAATTTATAATAAGTAATACATAGTATAGTAAACATCCTGAATCTTTTCATGCATATTTGCCATTAAAAAGCCTTGCATGGTGTACAAGAGAGGTCAAGCCTATGATAGTGAACCATTGTGCCTGTAAATGATAATTCGGTAGATTTGGCAATACGTTGTAATTTGATAAATTATATCTTCATTCCGGTAAAAAATTTGTAAAATATATTTTACTGCTTTTCTTGCATTAATACATTCATTTACTTTCGTTATTATTTAGAAAGTGTCATACTAGTTTATAAATATCAGCAATTTTTGGAGCTAGAAGAAAATTTAGCTCTCATTCATGCTTGAGTTAAACTTACTCTCTTAAATTTAATACATTGTAGGTATAAAGTTAAAGCTAAACTAGTTTAGGAAAACGTTTCGATAAGTTAACGTCCATTATGTCAGTGCCATATAAATTTAATGCGTTTATGATAGCCGATAATGACGAATTCACTTTTACAAAAATTGAAAGCGAATTTCCCGAGTTAGAAGAATACGACTGTTTAATTAGAGTCGAATATTGCGGTGTATCACATACTGATCTCCTTGCCTCAGCTGGCACCGTTCCTGGACATGAAGTAGTTGGTATAATTGAAGATGTTGGACTTCTCGTAAAAAATTTGGAAGCTGGTACGAGGGTGGGGGTTGGCTGGCAGCTTTCTTCTTGCCATGCTTGTAAATTTTGTGAGTCTAATCGTGAAAACTTGTGTCCTGATAAAAAAAGTTTTAAAGATGCGCTGCTGGGTGGCTTTGGTGAATACATTATCTGGGATGCTCGTTTTGTCTATACAATTCCAGAAGAGATACCTTCTGCTGAGATAGCACCATTATTAACTGCAGGTGCTTCAGTTTATGCTCCACTGAAAGAATTAAGCATTATGCCTACTAGTCGTATTGGAATAGTGGGAATTGGCGGACTTGGTCACCTGGCAATAAAATTTGCTAAGGCTTGGGGATGCTATGTTATAGCGATATCTAGCAGTTTGAACAAGAAAGAAGAAGCATTGAATTTTGGTGCAGATGAATTTATGACTATTTCGGCTAATCGTGAAACATTAGAAAGTATTGGACAACTCGATGCTATTTTCAGTACAGTATCAGTACCAATAGATTGGAATAATCTCTTAAAATTACTAAATCCTTACGGCAAGTTTATTATGTTGGGTGCTGTACCTTTTCCAATGACTGTGGATGGTAATTTGATAATAAATAAAAAAATTAGTTTAATTGGATCAATAGCAGCGTCACCTGAATGTATACGCTCTATGATAGAATTTGTTGCTGTACATAATATTAAAGCAGAGATAGAGCTGATGGAAATGAATACTGAAAATTGCCAGACTGCATTTCAACGTATTGGAAGAAATTTGGCTCGTTATCGGATTGTATTAAAAAATTTAAAATTGGATACACCTGATAATTCAGTGGAGGGTGACCATGAAATAGAGGAAGAAGGATCTAGCCATGAAGATTATAAAGATAACTAAGTCTTTCTATTGAGTCTCTAGTAATTTTAAAGCGATGGTATTTACGAAATTCATTGATCAAATCGAAATTCTGTTCTTAGATCTATCCTTTAAGTAAGTAATAGTACCTTTTACTTTGTTAAGAATATGAAGTCCAATTAAAATAAAATACAAATACATGTACATTTACTATAAATAACATTTGAGCCTGTATTTAAGTGATACAGTTATTATTCAGTAAATGACTGGTGTAATTAAATTGTGAAATTTTAAAAGTAGCATAAAATATTAAAAATAGCCACGTCATTGTATTTAGGTCTAAATTTTTATTAAGCCAGTTCTTACAAGAGCAATTAAGCTATATTTTCAGCTTAAGCTTGACTGCCTTTCATAACAAATTGAGAGCAGCGATAAACAATGTTTCTAGTCTGTTGCCATATGTTCTACTAGCCAAACTACTTTAAGACTAGCTCCTGTAATGTGTAAATTCAGAGTTATAATTTCTTGCTTATTTTTGAGAGAGAGTATTTAGCGAAGATTACATGTTTGTTAAGCTGCTTGGTGAGCTAATGCAGATAAACGTAAATAAGGGTAATAAAGATTCAATTTTTCTCTTATTATTTTGCAATACTGATATAACGTTAATAGACGCCATAGAATATCAAAATTAAACTAGACATTTTTTATTCTTTATTTAACGCACAATCTTTCTTTACAATATGAGCGATAAAATTGTAGATTGTAATATGATAATCGAAAAGCAGTAAACCAAATACATGGGATTATGTGTGTAAAATTGTGCAAGGAAAATAACTTAATATTGGCCCTAAGTAAAACCACAGATAGTGAGCTATTTCGACAGCTAATCGATCTCTCCTTACGGAAGCGGAAATTATTTTTAAAAGCAATAAAAAACAATCATTTAAGCTTTTATATTTTATATGATTACGGTTTACTATTTCATAATAAAGTCTTCGAATATTTTTTGAAGTTACGAATTGATTAACAGTAAAATACTGATAGATAAGAATCTCTTTGGATGAAGATATTGAATACAGTAGAAGTAATCAATAAACATAAAGAGAAACAACTTTGGTACATAATTTCATAATTATGTCAAATGTCTAATCTAATTAGATATAGAATGAAACGGTAATGCATTGTGTCCAATGTCATAAGATTGCAACATGCCAAATAGAAGCATTATCATCACATATCTGATACCATAACTTAAGTAAATTATGTTTAGATTCGTTTAGGTTTCGAGTGAAGTAATTGAATGAATATCATGTTTCATTAAGCAGTTTGGTAATCTTCTATCTGACATTTTTAGTGTTTACGTTATTTAGAACGTAATTTTGGTCATATATTGCTATGATATGATATACGAGCCGGCTAACTATATATATGTTATATACCAGTACCTTCTCAAAAATTTTGTTTAGTTTGTTGACAGGACTAGTATAGGAGTAGGAGTTGCGTAAAAGATGTCATAAACTTTTTATTTATTATTTATTGTCTCTGCAATAATTAGTTATGGACGAATATCATATACGCCAGTATTAGATAATCGACAATCATGGTAATGTCTTATTATGTTTATATTTATTGGCTTATGCCATGAAAATAAATACAACGAATCAAATGCCCCTATGCAGCTTGCTAGTAATCAGTTACTCTCTATCTAAACTACGACAGCTAGTATTAAACCAAAAGATTAGTTATAAACATAAATCGGTATTAAAGAAATCAATATTAAAGCTAGAGTGTTTAAATTAATTCGAAATAAGATTGGATACTAAAAACAATCTAGATCAACCTGAATAATATTTTATGTGCCTGATCTTCTAATGATCAGGCTTAAGACTTCTATTACTGAGCTTATACTTGAGTTATGGTGCAAAACACTAAAGAATTCATAAAATTTTTCCTTAGAAGCAACAGTGCGCCAATTCGATTAAGACTTATATACAGTATGCTATCCGTATGAACTCAATTTACTAGCATGATGCTGTACAACTTTAACCCTTGGATAATATAATGGAAATGAAGCACATTTTTAACTAGATAGTATCTGATTTTGGTAACGGGGTAGGTACGATAATATTATAGACTCATAAGGGATAAGTTAGTATTCTATTGTTTGTATTTTCTTGTCTCTACAGAGTAACTACTAGGTTTGCAGATAAGTAAAAATAAAGAGATTATATTATTAAACATCAACTCCGTAGCTAGTTCTAAGGGAACGGATAATTAATATAATCAGCTTTAAAAATTGATTACGGTTTCTATTCCTAATATTGTACCTATAAGAGTTTTTAAGTGTTGTCTATGTAGGTAAGGGGGGTTACCGCTGTACAGTATAATGTTAACTAATGCCTAATCTGGATGTGAATAAGATAAAGACAATAATGTTGTTGTCATAACAACGGCTGCAGATATGTGGACTATCGCGATTATACAGTATTATTAACTATAAATAGATAAAGAACGGTTTCTTTTCATCGTCAACATTTCATTAACAACGAAGCTATATGTAAATACATAGTGGTCTTCGATTTCTTTAACTAATTAAGAGTACTATATTTCGTTATTTCGTTATGGTTTTTCTGAATTCTTTGGGCGTTATTACATCTTATCAGTTACGAGATACTGAAGCATATCTATTCAACATTGAAAAAATAGAAGTGCCGCCACTACAGCCTAGCGATTGCTTTGTTAAGATTGAGTGCTGTTCCGTAGGAAAATTAGATTTACTAGTACGTGAAGGTCAAGTACCAGGACATGAAATTGTCGGCAGTGTCGTCGCTGTAGGATCAGATGTGGAAGGAATTAAGCCTGGAATGCGTGTTGGGATGGGTTTTTTTAATGATGATTATTATACAAAATTTGAACAACCAACCAGCACACTATCATACGAAGATAGCACTTCAGATACGTCCGCAAATTCTAAAATTGCTTATGGAGGATTTGCTGATGGTGTTGTCTGGGATGCTCGATATGTTTACCCAATCCCAAAGACTATGAGTTCTATTGCGGCAGCACCTATTCTATTTACAGGATCCATTGCTTATTCGGCTCTTTGTGATGCTGGTATTCAGCCTGGAAATCGTGTTGGTGTCTTAGGAATTGGTGGAATCGGTCATCTAGCAGTACAGTATGCGAGAGCCTGGGGTTGTAAAGTGATTGCATTATCCACCAAATTAGAGAAGTCTCAGGATGCGTTAAAATTTGGTGCTCAAGAGTTTTATGACGTTGGTGATGAAGAATTATTAACAAGAGCACCAAAGATGGATTGCATTCTCATTACATCACCAGTCGCATTGAAGGATTATGATTTCTTTATATCTTTACTCCAGCCTGGTGGTACATTGGCCATATTAGGCCATCCAGATAAACCTATTATTATTAACAGTTCATATTTAATATCTGAAAGTAAACGTGTCATAGGTGTTGCCGTAAGTTCACCATTAACTGTAATGAAAGCGTTGGAGTTTGCCGCAGAAAAAAATATTGTCTCACAAACAGAGCTTTTAGAAATGAATGAGATTAATTGCACCGTAGCTCTACAACGAGTCAAAAGTAGTTCTGTTCGGTATAAAACTGTTCTTTATACACCTAATTACATGCCTGTTGTAATAAATCAAAGTTGGTGAAATCAGTTACCTGAATAATAGGTGATAAATTTCTCTATTCATGCTTACTTTTGTACATAATCAACAGGCAATACTCATTAAGAATACGTGTTTAAAGTCGCTCATATTATGCATAGTAAATTCAATCAGTACTGGAAATATATGACAGTTTATTGCTTATTAAATGATTCACTTGTATTGGTCATGACAGGACTAGATTTGATGTATGCATTATATTTGTGCAGTCCATCCATAAATCGATAATATACGAATATAATATGTATATTATATGCATTCATTAATAGTTTTTGTAATATACTTCTTAAGACTCATCATGAAAGTATGATGTAAGCAAAAAATTAAATAAAATAGATCAATTAGCAGAAACGTAGACGTAAAACTCTATCGGTACGAAACGACAATAAAAATGTGTGACTATAAAGATTTCTCCTTACGGCTTCATAATATAAATGAAAAATTGCGCGGAAGCATGCAGAAGTGTACTTGTCAATATAGCACAGCCTACAGTAACAAATGCAGGAAGTTACAAACTACAGGCCTCAGTATACATTCATATTATTACATTTGCATGTACTATATGTATTGCTACTAAAAGTCTGACTACGTAGCTTCAGTACTAGTATAAATGAAACTATCGTGAAGTAATCGGCAATACTTTCTAATTACTTCATTTATTATAATTATGGGAAAATAAACGGGAAATTCAAGAAACCTTAAAAAATCGTCCTTTTGAATTTTACTTTATTTCAAACTGCTGCTTCTGAGTTCATCCTTAATATTAGAAGTCTTAACTCTGGGGTAGTATGGGCTGGAATCTTTGTGGTTTATAATCATTCAAAGCAGGTAAATACAACGTATCCCACATTTTTACTAAATTTGAAGTATTTTATTGATACAAGATTTACACCTTTACTTTAGATTTTTATAGACAATTTAGGTATTTTTTGCTATTTATCGTCTTAAATTATTCTAAAAACGCAGTCATAAAAGGTTAGTACGATAAATACAATAGACTTTAATTCAATCTAAAATTTAATTATATGTTACGGTCTACATAACAGTAAATAGCAGTAGATATCATTATAGATACATTTAATGGTTAGAGATTAATGAAGAATTTTCAGTACTGAATATTGCTATCAATTTCATGACTCTAAAGTAACATTCCTAACTACCATTAAATCAGAAAAGCCATTTAAGCGACAAACATATTGCTAGCAATGTTAATAATTTCTATCTTTAATTACAAGCAATTATACAAGTTCTTTTAACCTAGTCAAAAACAATTAATGGTTGCATTTCAGAAGTTTGTGATACGTTCTGTTGAGGTTGTGAATATTGCATTCCCTGCACAGACTGAGCTCCGTAACCTAACGGCAGATTGTTTTGTTCTGTAATTGGCGGCGGGACATTGCCATAGGTTTGTTGTGGCGATGTTTGCATCATGTTTGATTGAGGGACTTGAGTTATCGCAGACGGAGAAAACTGTTGTTGAGGATTCTGCGGTGGCTGTTGATTTGAGAATTGTTGTATTTGATTAGAATTAGATGGCATATAATTTTGTTGACTTTGAGGCGTTGCGGACGATTGAGAGCTAGTAAGGTTTGATTGGTAACTAGTTTGCGATTGATTTTGGTATAACGGTCCTGAAGCAAAATTTTGACCAGGTTGCAAATTATATTGCTGTACGGGCTGTGTTGGCTGCTGTTGAGCGACATTACTACCAGGAGGGATCGGCAATTGATTGACTGATGTGTCCACAGGATTCAAAGGCGGTAGTTGCTGACGATTTTGATTAAAGGACGCATCTGAATAGCCATACGTCTGATTAGAATTGACGGGAAGTTGTGAACTAGGCTGCTGTATCGGTCCGGCACTTGGTAATCCTGAATTTTGGGATGTTGCAATATCTGTTGCATTAAAAGATTGAGGCACTTGCCGATTTTGATTAAAAGATCCTTCCTTGTTGCTAAATTGTTGATTAGAATTTAAAGCTTGATGAGTAGCTGGTAGCTGCTGCGGTACAAAGCTACCGGTTGTATTATACCCTTGGTTTACAATACTGTTGTTAGTATTAGGATTCTGATTAAACGAAGGTTGAAATCTATTTATGTACTGGTTATGCATCTGCTGACTAAATTGCAATTGCTGTAGGCGTTGCTGTTCTTCAGCTTTCTGGCGTTCATTTTCCATTTCATGTTGATAACGTAAGTATTGCTCTTTCTGGCGCCTGCGAAGTGCCAATTTTTCCTCCATTTGTATACGTCGAAATTCCATTTGTCGGCGTTCCTGTTCACGTAAGCTTTCTTGATACTGTGCTCGCCTTTCACTTAAATGTGTTCGAGCATCTTCTACTTTTTTCAATTTTAACATTATACTTTCGTATTCTGCCTTCCATAGGTCAGTTTCATCACTAATTTTTAGCAGCTGTGGATGCATGGCTGTAAGCGATTGAAATAGTGATTGAATAGACGCATCAATAACAATACTTCTGCCCTCCGTTGAAGCCTTTTCCAATCGCTCTTTAAATAGCTGCAAAGAAGACACAAAGGTCTGTAAAAAAACAGTATCTCCATCAATTTCCGGCTCTGGATTTACACTTCGTGTAAGACTTTCTTGAATAACTGGAGCGTTATTTTCATCATTTGCACTTTTCGTGGACACTGGATTTACCGCAGTGGATTTCGTAGAAGTGGTAGATCGGGATTTAGATTTGGTAACTTTTGCTTCATTCTCTTCCTTTCGAGTTTCCCAATAAGATCGGTTCAGATAACGAGCTAGTTCAGGATCAAGTTCCTCAGGTTCACTAACAGCAGGGGCTGAAGCGGATGATACAGCTTTGTCGAAGCTATTCTCTGATGAATTCTTTGGTATCACCATAGACGGTGATGACGAGCTTACAGAAGGCGAGGCCTGCACGTGGCTCTTATTATCGATTTCATTTAATGACATGGCCAGTGCTAGCTGTAAATCATCTTCTTCTTGCAGTCTAAGATCTTTGTCATTCCTAGGTTGCGTAGCTGCCTGAGATTCCTTGTATAAGGCGCTATTCAAATATTCTGCTGGTAAATCCTCCGATGATTGAACCGTTGGCGACGCATTCTCAGCCGGATCAGAAAGTTTCGACTTAAGCTGATTGTAGCAATGGTCACAAACACGTACTTCGCGCTCAATACCAAATTGTGGGATTGTTGATGATTTGGATGAACACTGGCCACAAAAGACTTGACCGCACTTTCGACAGTGATGCTACACGAAAATGTAAATTCTAATTTAATTTAAAAGCACCGGCGGTAGCGGTAGCTGCGATATAAACATTCCTTAACTAACCTTCCTTTGAATTAGACTAAAGTTGACGTGACACAAATGGCATTCATCACCATCAGTCCATTCTGGAGCCTAATAGAGATGAAGATAAAAGTATTAACAGAATCGCTATTTCCATAACAAGTTCTTCGTTTTTGCATTTTCTAGTGTGTAATTGCGGTATTTTTGATTTACAAGAAACTAACCGAAGTATCATATCTCTTGCTTGTACTTACCTTTTCTGATGTGAACATTACGTCTGTCTCCTTAACAGGAGGAAAATTGTGACCTATATAATTTAATCGTGTAAATATTTAAAAAATACGTTAGTTCAAACGTTTCTTCTCATGAGATACTACGGCTTACAAACCTTCCATCTTCATTATATTATACGTATCTTGAAATGATGTATATGAAGGACTGTTAGCGAAAGCTCTCGACCAACTCTGTACTAATTCTAAAATCTTGTCTTTCACATTTTCTGGAGCTATCTACCGATATTAAGAATATTAACAATTACTTATTTAGCCTTTCATAAAAATTTTCATGACTACATTAGCACACGCATACGTTTTGACATTACTAAACAGTGAAGAAACGAAAAACTGAGGTAATTCGATATCGATTATTATCTGAGATATTCAACGTATGCAAAATCTTAGCTAATAAATCAGGCAGTGTTATTGCACTTTATCTGCGAAGTCGACGTGATGTAGTAACAAATACCTTAACGTGTGATCTGATATCATCAAGGAAGTTTTTACTGGCAATTTCGTCATGAATCGGTGAACCACAATTTTTAACGCATGCCTCTAAGACCTAGTTTTAAGACAGATCCAGGAAATTAAAAAATACACTTACTGACTGTTGTCTAGTACAGTTCAATTAAATGATCTTTAGTATCAATAACTGACTAGGTCATTAGTATAGATCTTACCACAAGCGAAAAATAGGCAATTCTAGGGTTATTGTCATGAATTTTCTTTTTTATAGCACTTACTGCATTTTTTGCCCTATGAAAATATGATTATAAGAAGTTGGACATTTAGTTACAGGTTTCATAAGTGAATCAACTACGTTGTAGTAACTAAAAGAAACACATATATAACTATCTACACAGTTAGAAAAACACATTTGTAATACTGTACTTTAAATTAGATGGTCTAAATAATAGAATTCAAATGACATCGGTTCGATCGATTTATAATCAAGTTTTAGACAGCTTTGACTATAAAGTAGGGCAAGTAGTTATGACAATCAATTTGGGTTATCCATAAATCACAAGTGTTGGATTGATTTAGCCGAGATGCGAAAAATTTCAGCTTTCATAATTATAATTAAGCTGTTGGAACATACTGTACAGTAGAATAGCAGTGTACTTATTCAATTATATACAAACAACCGTCAAATAGCATTTATCGTTGAAAGCATTTGGGAAAGGAAGATCATTTACAATGATGCACTGTATTTCATTATCAGGTGTACTGCTATGTCTAGTTATACGAATGATCGTTGACGTTCTTTGGTTTAGTATCATAAATTTTTCAACAAGGTAATGCTAAAACGCATGGTAAAGGCTTACGTAACGTCTCGTTGGCGGATGGAGTCACAAATTTGTAGGATAGTTTCCCAATCTGGATCTAGGTTGACTTGACTGGTAGCTTTATCTATTTTGATGAAATGTGAAATGTAACCACATGTGAATCGATTGCATTTTTGTAATGATAGACAAATTAATGACATTATCAGGTTGCTAAAATATTTGTGGCGTTTAGAACAGTGCAATATACTGTACATTGATAGTTTAATAAGAGTACATTATTTCACGTCATAAAAAAGTCTATATGATACTGTATAGTGTAGGAAGTTACCGACATTCCTTAACTTTGAAAAAACCGTGATGGATTCAAACTATAGCATTATTAATGGATATAATCCACATCGAATTCTATTGGTATTTACACTCGACGATGACAAATTGACCGTAAAATACTGTACGCCAAAGCTAGATATGTGAAGTCGCTGCTTGGTACTAAACGTAATCTTAGGCAGAACCGATCATTACAGTCAACTCCTAGTAATCCATTCCATTCACCGCTTACCTAATAATTTGTCAAAAGTGCTTGAAGTTAAAGAGGAGAATATGCTAGACATATTCTTTTAGGACTACGTTATAATTAATTTTCGATTCTATGCAAAGGGAAAAGTGTGATATCAGGAAGAATGAATTTTTCAGTTTCTTGACTTGGATCCAGACTCTTGCAAGCGAAAAACATCAATGCAGTATTTTTAACTCATCGCTTGCTTTCGTCACTGCTACTGCACTGTACTTTACACTGTATTGTACTGTACTGTACATTGTACACTACAGTACGTACTGTAATTCCTTTGTTTTCATACAGTACAGTACAGTATTGTACAGTATCGCGGATCCTGAGAAATTGACAGTACAGTACAGTGCACAGATTGTGACTATCATGTACTGTATGACAAAGTTGTACTGTACGGTGTACAGTACAGTACTGTACTGTATTTAGCCAAATATATGAGTACTGTATGGCACGGCCTAGCACCATCCGGCGAATGACAACAAGCATTACGGCCACTATCTGCGGCTAAAAATAGTCTTTACTCATTTCAACCAGTTATAATTGAACGGATCATCAAGATAGGGCCCTAATAACGACAGTACTACGGTATGTTACTAATCCATGATTGTATCACTGAACTGTTCTTAAATTTTGTCAGCTTTCAATTCTGGTCGTAGATAGTACCTGTTTTCTTACTTTTGAACCGAAGCTTTCTCAGTTCTACAGCATGTAGAAGTCTTCTTTCTTTAGTAAGTCAGTGCAGGTCAAGTCTAAGTACCGCACTGGATGACGTAATGTATTATAGAATACTGTACACAGTGTACAGTACTGTACAGTACAGTACAAAGTCATGGTCATGGTGTGTACTGTACAGTACAGTACAGCAATGTTTATTTTACTGCTTGTTTACTTGTACTGAGGATTGAGGTACTTTCTACTTGCTCGTTCAGACATTTCGAGGTCAATTGTATATAATTATACAGTATATCATTCATTATTAACAGTGTCATATCGGCATGGAAATAGTAATTCTGAAAGTCCTGTAGTATCAAACAAATAATATACTGTATAATAACTACAGTAGTCTATATGCATGCTAGATAATAATAAAAAAAAAAATAGCACTCGTTTTATTCGTCCATTTACCAAATTTAATTTATTAATCAAGCGATTGCGAATATTGCAATTATCGCTAGTAAGTTTTACTATATCCATGTATCACATTCAAATTAAAATAGCAATATCTTAATTAGGGATTGTTACCTATACAAAACTCATTGTCTTTATATAGCATATCGACATGAAATGAATTTATCCATGCGTCTGTAGTATAATACATTCAGGTTATGTCAATGCGAAAGCAATGAGAGCATTTGTAGTATATTATCAATATACTTAGGATATAAAGTTATTATTTACATCAATTTCAGCATACTTGTTTCCTGAAATCATTCTCAGCGCTAGTCTAATTTAGAAGGGAAGATGAAAAATCATCAACTAAATAATGCATGAATCTTCAAATAGGATCTTTCTTCATTTACAACATTAGTACCCGTTGGACCGGTAGATATTTAGCTTAAATATCATATTTAGAATTGGATATTTCCATAATAATTAGGTGTAGTAAATGCGTTTGTTCATCAGTCAGTAAAGCACTAAAGTTGTAAGAAATTAAGAGTTAATCAACAAAAGGCCCTAAAAATGCCGATATAGAAATGCTTGTACCTGAGATCCTTCTGTAGTTCTCGGACAGCCAAAATATCATTAGCTTGGTATGCCATCTTTAGAAGTAAAATATACGCATATGAAATTATCGGTAGAGTAAAAATCACAACTATACAATTTACACCTAATACAGCAAAGTCTATCACATCCTATGCATTTAATATTATGTATGTTACAGATATATTACATACCACCAGTGACTGAAGTAGTAAGAATAAATCCTCTTTTAAATACGGGACTATAATGTTTACAATCAAAGAAATTGAATGTTTAGATTCGCTGACTGGGCTATCCTTTTACGATCACTAAGAATAAGCTCTTCAGATCAGGTTAACGTGGAGCAATACCTTGTAAGGACTCATCACTAGATTCCCACGAATATCTTTCTAGAACATTAGCATGTTCAGGCCGAATTCTTTGTGGAGTGGGCTAGAGAAATTATAGTAGCATTAATACACAACTGTCATTATACCTGTCACACCAAATATGTTCATAGATATAGCACATACCTGTAGCAACAACAAGATAAGAACTCTAGAAACTTCGCATCTGGCCAAGATGTCTTTATACGCACCTTTACATGATAATGATTGAAAAATATAATCTTTTCTTAAGTTATAAAAGTATCAACAAGGTAATAAGATAGCAAATGTTAATAAGCTCTTAATACTATCATTTCATCGTTTTCTTTACCCGGTATTTGAGAAACAGTACCACGCTTGATACCTATCAGAATAGATGTAGTAATTATGGCTTTTAGTCATGAATTAAATTATGTAATCTATAAACATTTACAATAAGTTATCTATTCCCATCCCTATGAATCTAAGGATGGTTCATATTGAAAAAGACGACAATGCTCATGCGATCTAAGACTATTCTATACGAACATATTATAAGTACTGATTAGTAGCATAAAAATCTGAAATATCGTGTGGTGATAAAGAAGGTATGCTAGAGTACTGTGCATTACAGAATTCACGAAGGAGGCAATCATATGAGAGAATTCAGTTCGGAGATTCTACTTACAAAGTTAAAATTCTACTGTGCTGCTTCAGTGATAGTATACAGTAAAACAATGAAAAGAGATATCTGCATTATACTAAAGCATGATCGAACGAAAATTTACGGGTTTAGAGTACACAGGCTATTGCTATTTTATAAAAATCTAGAATTTCAAGAAATTATGAAGGCCAAAGTGCTTTAATCTCAATTTCTCGGAAGGAGTAATATACCACCTAATAAGAAGCACTGGTAAGTTACGATGCTAAGATGTTTATAAATCAGCATCGCAAGCATAAGGGCACTGAATGTAAAGTTTTCCATTTGCATGCGATCGCGGCTAAGCCCTCTATGCGGCGCGTTACACACAGTCGAGTACTGTATGTTAAATAATATCGGGGCCTTGGTGACACTGCGTCGCATCATCAGTCAAACAAGTTACCTGGCGGTTTAGAATGTGATTGCGATGTCAAAGTAAAATGTGGGCAAATACAATTCGAATGAAATTTTACCGAAAGAAATGTAACTCTTTTCCATTACATATTAACTTATTAGAACAAAATACGACCACCATAAGCGATTGTAAAATGAACTCATTTACTGACAGCATAACAGTATTAAACTACATTAGTATATTACTTACAGTAACATATCAGATATTAGAAGTACAGTAAAATGTCGCGAGTAAAATGTGCTTTTAATGATAGTATAGTTATTAATGCTGGATACTGTAGCAATATCCTCCAATTTATCGCCTTGATTATAAAATTATAATTGATTACAATGTTGTACCTCCTCTTTCTTTCGCTAAATAAGACATTTCAGTCAAAACGGTTAAAGCGTTGTCAAAGTCTCCTGTAGTCGATAGAGAAATTTTTCTCTGAATCAGAGTTTTATGAAGTTTAAAACATCTGCAAACTTATCCGCTTACCTGTTTCAATATGACAAGAAGCAATATAGTCCATCGAAGTAAGAACATCAAGCGGATTCTATGTTCGAGTGAAATTGAGAATAAATATACGAGCATTTGTGCTAGTAATGTAATTATAATCCGGTCAGTAAAACAATACCCACTTGATGCTGTAATTCAACCGCTCTCTGATAGTGACCAATCGCTTCGACTGATTTATTCAATTTCTGTTATATAGTATAATATTGACAACGAAATTATCCTTCTTGGGAGTTATTTTACGATAGCGCTCATAAAATTGACTTTGTCACACCTGTAAACCTTTACCAAGCTCCAAACATAAAAAAGCTGCCAAAGCAATTTGGTCATTCTTGCAGTAAATCTGTACGGTTAAAATTATCATATAGACTAATCAAATTCACATATAATGCATTATTATTATGTTGTCATATACAATACTTGCACGCTGCAAGTAGTATAAGAGCAAAAATTACTACTGCAAAGATACCTTTATAGCAGTATTATAGCAGTTTGTTGCCATAGCACAATTCTCGTAAAATGTAGGAGACTGTTTTCTAGCATTCTCCATCTCGGCTTCAAAATAATTTCGGGCTAAAGTATGACAGGGCACAGATTAATTACAAAATGTGAGTACATGATCTTGAGTCAATAGCAGCTATTGGAAAGTGTACAGTATATAGCTTTAGATAATCGAGGAAGTAGAAAACGTAAAACTAATGGTAAGATTTCTAGTATGCAAAAGTAGTATCTTATTTCGCTCTACATGTCTAGGGTATATGTAACAGTGCAACTACAACTATGCTAAATTTAATTGCCATTGTTAGATTGGGTAAGTTGTACTGTAGTTCACTAGAAAAAGTACGAGTATAATGCATTCATGTTATGGATAGCATATAGGCTATCGTCTTTCGCGCAGTTTCAATTATATTTTAAATACTGTAATTTATCATAATATTATTCAGATAACAATGAAACTGTTGAAGTTCTTGGATGGCAATATGCCGACATTTTTATCTCTTTGAGAAGTATCGATAGACAATTTATTTTGTAAGCTGCCATGCTAACAGTATATTATATTTAACTGCAAACCGCAGAGATATTTCTAATAGTTACGGTATTACCTACTCTTAGTCGAACGTATAAACATTATAACCGAAATTTAGTATGTACAGTAGTAATTTCTTACAATGTAGTACACTTATAATGAATCTTTCGTAGTCATAGGGTATATAAATAAATAGTTTTGCAAATATTCTCCTAACCCGCCTGGACTAAAGCTTCAGCCTCTGCAGTAAAACAATTCGCCATTGATTCACATCTATTGCAAGTTATTAAATAAACTCTTTACTAAATTTAAATTGGATTTGAGCAAAAACATCAAGGTAATGATAATATATCGGATAGGTCTAAGAGTGTCTTCCTATACTTACCGAGCAATAGCCAAGTAGCAGAGAGCAGCATAAGGGTAACTGTTCTGTAATTTCATATCGTTGGCTAGAGCATCTATTGCATCGATACAAAGCATTAGCTTGCTTCATTTAAAGCAAAGTCGAAATTTTCAACGAAATTTCTATTGTACGCGTAAAATACGCATGTATACTTTGTAGTTCCAGTACAACATAGTTTATACATATTGGTTAAGTCATGAACTGTAAACTCACTGAATTGTTCAACTGCCTCAGATACATTTGGCTTCCTCATGAAACGCCTATAGGTGACATAATAAGTTGCAGTTAATGAAAAGTAATTACTGAAAGCAACTTTGGACGTCATTCTTGTAAATCAACTTAGCCTATCACATGCATTACTTCTTCAGTTTAGCTGAAATAGCTCTGTATTGCGTTAAGAATTCATCTGCAGTAGCGATACTCATCGACATTTCCGAGAGGAGTCAGATGGAATTTAGAGTTAAGAAACGTATTTTCTACGGATTATGCACAGAGCAGTGTTTATTCAGAAACCATGGCGTCCAAGAGCCAGGAAGAACTTGCAGTAAGATTTCAAGATTTCTTACTGCGGTGCAGCTGTCCCGCAAAGATACACTGTACTGTGTACTGGACGTACAGTACGATACCCTTACATAGTTTTGACTTATATCTTTACGTACTGTACACTGTACAGTGTATAGTACTGTACAATGCCCGTACATACTGTAGATATACTGTACTGTACAGTACTGTCTATGCACTGTACAGTACAGTATATCTTTGCGGGACAGCTGCACCGCAGTAAGAAATCTTGAAATCTTAGTGCAAGTTCTTCCTGGCTCTTGGACGCCAAGGGTTTCCGACTGAACAGTGCTCTGCGCATGTACTGTACAGTAAGAACCAGTAATTTGGGATGTACTGTACTGTACTGTACAGTACAGTACAGTACAGTAGTTGGCATACAGTACTGCTGTACAGTACACTGTACTGTATACGTACTGTACAGTATAGTACTATACAGTGTACTGGACGTGCAATACCCTTACATAGTTTTGACTCATATCTTTGCGGGACAGCTGGACCGCAGTAAGAAATCTTGAAATCTTACTGCAAGTTCTTCCTGGCTCTTGGACGCCATGGTTTCTGAATGAACACTGCTCTGCGCATGTACTGTACAGTACAGTACAGTAGGAACCTGTAATTTGGGATGTACAGTACAGTACAGTACAGTAGTTGGCAATAACTTGGCATACAGGACTGTACAGTACAGTACAGTACTTGTGTACGTACAGTACTGTACAGCACAGTAACGTACAGAACGGTGCTCTCAAAACTGGAAACACCGTAGCACGACTGTAGGGATACTTGGGATGGTATTCCATCAACTATTTGACTTGAGGCTAGACAACATTTTCTTTTGTTGCCAAGGTTGTTATTGTCATTTCAATTTCAATTTGTTTTGCTTATTTGTCCTACTAAAATCGACTTCGTTAAAGGACAGGTGTTTCATTAAGACATTGATTCAATATACCTAAATTGGAGTCTGCAGTCGTTTGTCTAGTTCTATCCCTCTTTCTCCCGGCCTCTCACTTTGATACAGGTCCTTTAATGATATTATTAGTGCTTGAGAATTCGACGTAGATCAGGCGATACTTTCCACTAATTGATCCTTTTTATTGTCCCAATCGATGTGCATAGTGAAAGCTAAGGAACATAGAAATTAAAATCAACGATAATAACGACAACAATAAAATAAAAAATGAGATTGAAAACAATGCTTTGATATCCTTACGTATGCATTCAATTTTACAGTTATATAGCGTGCTATGCATGTATAATTTATAAATTAGATAAAATGAACCAACCAATAGCATACTTGGTTAAATATATTGATAAAAGATATGCAGCGTAAGCGTATCGTATACAATGATCAATTTTTTATAGGAATATTGCCAATACCAGTATGCAAGGAGTAAAAAAAAATACAAGACCAAATAAGTAATTATAATCATCTATTGTCAAGCTGTCGATAAAAATTGAAGGAAGAATAGAGGATTTTATACAATTTTTGTTACTATCATAATCATTCGTGGGCATACTAACTGTTAGTATCTATCAACTTTGTCTTCTTCATTGACGACATACTACGATCTTTCTCTGGCTTCTCATTTTACGTCAACTTTCGCATTCTATACTTTGCTGACTTGGTGGAACAACGGCATTAGTATTAACTTGGTGTCAATTTGAACATTTTAATTTAAAATTCCATCTTCAATTTTCATTGAAGAAAAACAGGAGGATATAGAGACCTTAACCATATAAAGATTCGATTCTGCTTATAACATCAAGAGTATTTCATGTCAATCAAGTTAGATGGAAATGCTATGAAAAAAGTCCAATGGCTTGCAAGATTGGCATTATAGAATAATGGCTTTAGTAGCATCAGTAATTTGTGGCAAAACAAGAATGACCCTAATAGTAAATGATGAAATGTAATTTTGTTGATGCTGTTCATTCAAGACCTATTCGTAATTTGATCCTAGATATTGCGATTAACTTCTGTATCGTCGATAACACTCATCTGGCGATCGAAACATCATAAATTGAAATAATTTAGATAGAAATCGTGGTTTGAACAATTATAGCTACATTGAAATAAGTAAAAAGCTGGTAGTTGAGGGCTGGCTAATTTTTTTACCACTGAATTAAGTGATCCATGTTTCATTAGTCAATTTGACGATCATCTTCAATCGTCTCTAATATGGCGAGCAGCAGTTTTAATTCATCGGTAACACTAAAGACGAATAACTTATCTGAAACCGTGCGTCACCTGGTACACGAAAAAATTGCTGCTAATAACGCTAATAAACAGCAAGGAATTATCCGAGCGTATTTTCGTCGAATTTGGCAATATGATCGTGATAAATCGCTATGTTGTTTGCCGGCCAACAATTTACTTCGAAAATATGCCAAAAAATTGGTCGATTGGACATATCCTTTCTATAGACTAACATTTAATGTTAATGATTCTTTAGCAGATGATAGACTTGGATTTATTGTTGAGTATTCGCCTATGGTATTAACGTAAAATTTTAACATGAATTACACCAAATACGGGTGACTGTTATAATCTGCTTTCAAGTCTCCATTAATAGGACAGTTTATAAATTAAATTTTAACTGATTTTGTTCACCTGATTTGTCGGTAATCCCTTTTTCTCTAGTTCTAACATTTAAAACCATAATAGTTACAATAGGAGTTTTCACTAATAGATTATACTCCATTTTAATGAAAATATACGAATTTGATTCAGTAAATTACTCTGTTTGGTCCCAATTATATAATCATTGTAGTGAAATTTACACATTTAGATAGCTTGTGTAGCGTGCCGTAATACTCAAGCACTATAATACGCATAAAAATCGAAAGATTAATTACGCGTTATACTATATCAGTTACAAATCATTCTCTGCTTTACGTTTCTGTGCTATCTTTCTAGTATCGAAAATTACAATACATGGAATATAATTTGATGCTTGCTCCGTGCTCTCATAGTTGAATGCATTTAAAGCGATATTTTCATATATGAAAAAATCTTCTAACAGTACATGTATATAATCTACATTTACTGTAACTGTAGAATAATACTTTATTTGTTAGTACCCCAATTTAATTTTACTTTAGCTGTAATATTTTTAAAGAAGGTACGGTAATTTACTCAATATACTACGTAATATCATGTTTTATGTTTCTGTATAAGGTATATAAGTTAATATATAACTATCTAGCTTAGTAATTGCGTAATCATTATTAGCGCACGAAGATCCATGATAATTTTCAATTATTAAATTTTTACAGATATCACATAATGCTCAGTCTTTCACATGTAGTGGTACTTGTAGAAGTTACATAAACAGCTACGTTATTTCGCTTTCTTCGTATCAGCAATAATCAAATAGCATAGTTTAAAAAGGGCATTATTGGCCGTGGTTTTAGCTAGTATTTCATTATGATTCTAAATAAGTTTCCTTGACTCCAGATATACTCCTTTCGAATATTTAGTTATATTAACAATAGTGGCAAATTGCGTCGTCCTTGCTATGGATGTTCCATTACCGGACAACGATTCAACGGAAATAAGTTTACTCTTGGTAAGAGTGTTATACGTGTATGTAATTTACAGAACTTTGGCTTCTTAGCATCATAAAAATTTAACTCCATTGAGCTACGGCATAGGTTGACCTTGTTAGGTGATAGCATTCATCGCTAAGATTGTAAACGGGTAGATTTAACTTAGATTTGATTTGGCAATTTCAGTACATATGCAATTGAACATGGCTATCAATAGCTGTAATTACCTATTAAGATATTATTACCTATCCGCAAAGCGTGTTAATATGTTAACCGGTAACACATTCTGTCCAATTTCCCTTCTGAGCTCATTCTAAGGCATTTTGTTTCATACTCACCCGTAAATCACAAAGATAAATCTTCCTGTAGGTAATACTGATTTGAAAGGATTTAACGGATATTACTTAATTTCACGTACAGTAAAAAATTTTCTTTTATTCTCCCATCTACTCCTTCAACTCGGTAAAGATACCTTGTAGAAGTAGTATTAATTGCCTTGTAGTTTTTTCTTACCCTCCGATGTAAATATGTGATATTTGTAAATTGTGGGTTAATCAGCAATGAATTGCGTAGGATAGCGTACCAAAATAGTAGTCTTTGTTATTGTAGTCAGTAATATGGCATAGCCGGTTGCACGATAGCTGGGTAGCTAGCTGCTAATAACGAGAAAGAGCGATCATAGTGTATCGCTTCTAGATTGAATTATTTCTTTTATACAATCAAAATGTAGTTTGATTTAGAAAAAAATTGTTAGATATAGATAATATATGTATGGAAGTATGTTACGCTATCATAAAAGTTTAGGAATAGAATCTAGCTCTATGTGATAACGTACTTTTCTATGCAAATTATTTCTCTGCATATCTAGCTACTTGCAATGTCTGTTAGACACAGTCGAATCTAATTGAGAAAGTCAGTGAGACGTATAGAGTACTCAGAATCCCATATTTTTCGACTGTCTTCGAAGAATTACAGCTACGTTTCAACATTCTGACACAATATGACTTTCTAGCAGAGCTTCGAGATACGTACATATTTAGCTTAAGAATCGATCCTTACTGTTGGATATTGTCGTTTACGTCTCGAATTGAAAATTTTGCTAGCTTTTCAACCAATAACTTTTTATTCTTTCCCGTTAAATTTTATTTTGATTCTCATCCATATAATTACCGAAAAAGGAAGTTTAAATAATTAGAATTTTCTTTTAATATGAACTCTAGTCGTAAAAAAAGTGCAGGTTAAAATTACGCCATACCAAACTAGTTCTAAGAAAGTACAAGGAAAGTAACAAAAGTACTAATACCTGCAAATATCGCAACTGCGGATACTCATACACTTTGTCTATTGGTTACTGGCAGTGAAAAGTTTTAATTTATACTTTTAATTCTAAATCAATCGCCATTTGAGTCAGCTTTGTATTGGGGTGGTATCGTTTTCACAGTAAGAGTTTCCCTTATTGAGTCTTACGTTCGTTTCACGAATTTAAGATGATATTAAAGACTTAAAAAATATGAATACGAGGGAAAAGGCGATACTTTATTATTACTTTCAGCTTATTCCCTTCTGAAAATACTTCAATCTTTATAATATTATCGATTCATGGAATTAGTTTACAGTTCAGTAAAGAAGCTGGATTGTGTACTACGAAGTCGAACCGATGTTATGAGCAGAATAATCGATTAATACTATTAAAATTACTATCCTTCATATTGCTACCTTTTCTTAATTTGTATTGCGTCCAACTAAGGTATTATTATTTCGTAAAAGAGAATCCATGTATGCGATATATTCTTGGTTTCTGAACTATCGTATGTAAATAGTAGCGATACTTATGATATCTACTAAACACATATCAACAATACTAGTAAATTGTCCGTTCAAATGAACTGTTGACTGATCCTTGAGCCAATATTGCGTCGTGGTTGCTGAAAATCATCCTACTATAATAATGTAATATAGGATTTAATTTGATTTACTCAATCTGTTTTGCGGATTGAAGGATGGGCTTATTTCTTTAAATGATTATGATATGGCCAATTCCTAAAATAAGATAATGTTTAAATTGATGTTCAGATCTTGCAAATAACTACATTTGCTTATGATATCATACATAATTAAATAAGGTGAATAGAATGATATAAGATTAATTTGTAAAAGTAGTTAATTCGGAGTAATATATAAAAGATACTCGCTAGAATTTTTAGTAGAATCCTATATTTATCACGATGTGCAATTTATATTGATTGAAAGAAGTACAGCACAGTTCCAGTCATAAAAAATTTCAGTATATGAGCAATTCATAAATTAGATTATAATACAGTACACGCTAGTTCTTGTTAGTTCTTTCAAATTTAAACATGTTCATACTATTGCAATATAGGATTATCCGATTACTCTAATCTGTTTTTTAAGGATTACAGACATTGTTTTACAATCGCTTTGATATAACTTGATGTAATAATAATAACTAGTAAATTTTTCTGCATGTGTATCTGGAATTAGATTTTCTATCGCATTTCCGTGACGTATAAGTAATAATTAAGCATAATAGAAGAAGACTTTGATATTATCACTGATTTCATCTAGCACTATTCTATTTTATCGATTCTCTTTTAATTTTTAGGGTGCTCACTCATATTTCAATACTTCGTGAGCTAAATTAAGATTATGTTTACGAACAGACCATTAGATTTTGGTGTGAATATACAGTTTCATTAAAATATACACTTACGTTGTTTAGATTTTGTAATGTAATGTCGCTTCTTTGGCATTAAACAACTTCCTTTCTTAAATTAAGCGAAAGGAATATCCTACAGTCTTTTTACGGTTTCACTGGTCTAAATGCGAATATTAAAGTTAGGGTTATCATAACATCGGAAGTAATCCATTATTCTCACTACTTGATCGAAATACAGATATAATATTGTAAGCCGTTTGCATAAAGTCCCTACCTAGATCGTAAGACCGCTTTTATACTGTGCTAGTTTATTTTTAGTTTTATTGCAATCGCTTAATGCTGATTTTCTGTTATTACTTGTAAGTAGACAGAAATATAGTAAAGTAGGTTTAAAATTGCCACTTTAGAACCAAACCTAATTGGCCACATAGCTAAGGAGTTATTATATTAGAATGGAATAATCTTGCAACAAAACTTAAGTGTTAAAATCGAAGTCATTTAGATATATGCGTATAGTTGGAATGTTCAGTTTATCACAGAATAATACAATTTGTTGTTAATGCACAAAGCTAGGCAGCACCAGATTGACTAGAATTCAATAGACTGATTCTTAATACGCCTTTGATTGGGCTATAGTTTATTTTCATTTACTGTTAAAATTAAAATGATCTACAATTATTCTACTTCGAATAGCTTTCGGTTTGATTGTATTTTAGACGCGGTTTCCTTAAGGCCGTAGCTAGGCTACACGATACCTTAACGATCTCTTCTACATCTGCAATCTTTCGTATGAATATGTATATTCTGGGATTTTTGTATCTTTATGTAAATTAAAAAGCACGGAGAATGTTATTTTAGTGCGATTACCATACCTATACGTATTCTTAACATAGAAAGTTATTATTACGTTAACAACGTTTTGGAGAATGATAAATAGGTGCCATACTAAGTTAAAAATTTCCCTTTCATGCGTCAGGTGATGCGTCATGATGCCTACATTGGTACTATAATGTCTCGTAGCCATTATAAGAGAACTTTTCAGAAAATTTTGACTAAGCACACAAATAGCATGTGATTTATAAAGTAATGTAAATATTAAAATAGTTCATGATGGTATAAAGTGACTTTAAATGAAGAAAAGGACTATTACAACTTAATATAACGAACACGATAATCGTTATATTTCAGCAGGGGGGCAGGCAAATAACGCCTTTGATATTTACCAGTAAGTTAACAATAAAGTTTAAACCAATTTCTAACAGACTATACGTGTTACTTTATTGGTTTAAATTTTTTTATTTTATAAGAAAAGGGATCATTTTTGAGTACCGTACGGAATTCTGGTGTCACTAGATACCACTGATACTCGTAATAGACCGATTGAGTGCTGAAGCCAAAATCTTTTCGGATTAATTTCATCGATCATCGGCTTGTTCATATAATTGATTAGCAATCTAACTTTAATCAGAAAATTTCCAATCATTAGATGAAATAACGTAGTTCACTTCTTATCATCCTATTCAGTTAATTGAAATAGAAATTTTAGCGAGGATTATTTATTTTAACTTATATTCTGAGAATATTGCGACTTCTCTAGTTAAGTGGTCTAGCCCACAGGTAGATAGACACGATATTTCGATACTTAAAATTCTTAACTCACAAATTTCAGAATTATCAATTAATAGGTGTATGTAGTATTTTGTATAGCCTATTAGACACTTTACGTTTTGGATTTTTATAATCGTAATACTTAAATATTGCGGTTCTCAGAGCATAAATACTCTACCAAACATTGGTTATACTATTTATTTTCTACTGTTTATATCTTCTCATCGTGTATCTACAGTACCGCCCTTTGGGATATTATTGCGAGTTAAGCGACATTAAGTTACCGCATTCAAAAATGTGAACTCAGTATATCGAATACGTCTACCCTGTTTTAACTTTAATATTTACCATCTGTCTTAAAGTTTCTACATTAATATATTCGGTCATACGATAATTCGGAAATTAATATGATAATTTCATTTAGGTTAGTTCAAATTTTATTTAAAATGCGGTAATAAATATTGAAAACTTTCCATAACCGTTGTAAAATTATTTTAATTCATAGATTAAAGTGAGATCTTTATTACGGTACTTTTGTTGTAGCCATCGCCATTAGCAAGAAAATGAAACAAATTTAGACTCCTTTTTATGCTTTTCATTCACTGTCAAAGAAATATTACAAAGCAGTTGGAATACTTATGCGCGATTTTGATTACTGAATTACACAAATTCTATTTTTCCTGACCATTAAAGTTATGAGGACTTCTGACTTAAACCGAATTTTTTTGTGCCAATTTACCAATGTCGCAAATATGTTCCGAAATGAATATGAAATGACGTTACTACCTAATAACAACAAGAAGTTTTCGAAGAGAATTTAGGATTACCTTCTGTAATGAACCTTATTTATAGTACGAAGACTTAATTATTGAAGATTAGCAATTGAATGTATCATTATCATTACTATATTTCCCCTTTATTGAATTTCAAAGTTCCATGTCTATCATAACTGATGCTAAATAGCTTTTGTGTTGATATATCCGTCTAGATATTTGTTTACACCTGACTGGTCTACTATCTAATACTACTTTTGAGTATTCCAACGTATAGAAGAGAGAATACTAGTCTATGTGTAGTTATAATGTAATATGTTTAGTATAAAATGTTTGTGTTATTCTTATCAAATACAATTGTTAAGATAACGCTTTTGAAATCTGATAAAGTAAGACCAGATAAATTATAAGTTCTTCCTTACAAATATTTTAGGAAAGAAATGCTGAAATTGGCTTCTTGGTTGTATTCTGTATTGAAGCTGCTTTGAAAATTATCGCCAAAGGTTTTTTCTTCCATCCACAGGCTTACTTACGTAGTGGTTGGAATATCTTAGATTTCCTCATAGTAGTTGTAGGGTATGTGTAGAATTATAGAATAGACAAATACCTAAATAGTTTCATTGTGTTTATTCCACTAATTTTAAACTATAAACTTATCCTGTAAAAATAAGATTTACTGCAATACCTTATTCATCTGCAGCTTAAATATTTACATAATGTATATATATCATATCTGTATTTCCTTTTCTGTNGAAATTAGGAGTTTCAATACGTCTTCGATAAGAGATCTTAAAAGAGTTTATTAGTATTTTGATCAACGCTGCGTCAAATGAAATTGACGTTAAAATTTTACGTGTTGTGCGCGTTTTGCGTCCATTGAAATTGGTTTCTGGCATGCCCAGTGAGTTAAAACCTTTATCAGCCTGATTCCATTAAATAGTTTTAATGCTGTGTTTTATATATAATTATATGAAATGTCTCAAGTTTGCATTGATTTAATAGCTAATTTCTATTTCATTCTCTGTTAGGCTTACAAATTGTCTTAAGATCTCTTTTAACTGCAATGGGACCTCTTTTTCAAATCAGCTTGTTAGTTTTATTTGTAATTGTTATATACTCTATTATTGGAATGGAATTCTTTTTAGGCAAATTTCATCTTGGTTGTCGTGATCCACGGACTGGTATGTGTAAGGTTTTAATACATGATATTACTTACTACAATACATCGTGAATGCTATGAAAATGATTTTATTTCGTTATTACCATGATACCCGTTACGGATTAAAACTAGTGAAATTTGCTACAAGATTAATGATAATTGGAAATGATGCGATATTTTTGCATCAGTAACAGTTTGTAGCAATGAAGCTGATTATTACCATACAATATCTTATTCTTGGCTCAAATAAAGCAGCACTTTCATTTTATGTGTAGTTACAGCAATATAGAAATAGAAAAGTAAATCATATCTTTCAATCCTTCGAGATCATTTGTTTACTTCGGAGGCATTTACGGAGAAGTGTAATAGGTGTAATAGATTATAGTTGTTTTGATTACAATAGTCACATACGTGTACACAATATCATTTATCATGCTAAATCATGTCATTTCTGCGGTTACGAAAATAGACATAATTGATTTTAAGTGGTTGCCCATTTGTTATACTTTGTTAGCGAGGTTGCACACATATAAGAGGGCAGGTTTTGAACGTTAATACTTGCAAGCACATTAATGTTTGGATGACAGTCGTGTATGGTACAGCTTTCTTAAAACTATCAACATTCAAAAATTCATGTTGTAAAAATTTGCATATATACGAGTAAACGCAAAGCACTTAAAATAATATCTGAAATTAAGATATCGTGCAATCTAAATAACCACTTAAATTTACTATTCTTAAATAACCGATCTGAGATAAAAACTATTTTTAACTATAATTTGCTAAGGCCTTTGTTGTAACCTGATGAGGATCGATCAATTATAATTATTAACAAAGATAGAAGATTTATCATGATTGTAAATTATTATCGTAGACATTTTACATTGATTTGAATGTTATTTACGGCATAAATATCCCAATAGCAACTTTACTAATTTGTGGATAACGTTCATTATATGGTATCGTCTGGCTAAGCCCTTTTGATAATTGCTTTATAGCAATGTTGTAGGATAGTGATTAAATCAAAGGCTGTAGTTTATAAGAATTGAGTGACTATTTGCGTAATGGGCAATTTATTACAAATTATCTGATACGTGTATGCATATAGCTTCAATCTGGAAGATAAAAGATTATTTTCGCTCATTCATAGGCCAATTACTAACCCAAAATCACATGAGTCCGTGCAATAATCAACCTAATTCATCAGCCGGATTTAGATGCGTTATTAACACTACACAGTACCAAGTTTTTGGTACTTGTGATTATAAATATGATGGGCCTAATTATGGAATAACAGGCTTCGATAATATTTTCATGGCTCTACTGACTGTCTTCCAATGTATTAGCTTAGAAGGATGGACAAATCTATTATATGATGTAAGTAAAATAATACGAAAGTTGATTATACGGTTTAAAGTAAAGGTTATCAGTATATCATTCTCGAATTTAATGTTTTTTTGAATATTGTTATCTAATACACATGAATGTACTTTAATATATTACCATTTAGACTAATAATGCGGTTGGTAGTACTTTCACCTGGTTTTATTTTTTAACCTTAATAATTTGGGGATCATTTTTTATGTTAAATCTTGTTCTCGGAGTATTGAGCGGGTAAGTAACAGTAATGGTAAAAATTAGTAGTATTGCAAGTACGGTATACCATTCAGTATAACTTTTAACTGCTGCTAAAGTATGGATTATAATTAGTCCTGAAATAAGGAATGGAAAGATATAATTTCAGCTAGGCAGTTAGGCCCATCTTAAATTGTGAGGGCTTATAACATGCAGCCACTCACCTGGCATATAAGCTTTACAAAAAGTTAAATAGTTACAATGACTGAGAGGAATTTTTAAATTTTAAGCGAATTTGCCAAAGAGAGAGATAGAGTTGAAAAACGTAGGGAATACAAGAAATTTCAAGAAAATCGAAAGATTGAAAGGGACTTTTTGGGTTATTTAGAATGGATAGGTCGAGCAGGTTATTTAAGCGAACTTTACTGAATAGAAGTAGTTATTTTACTTATCATTTTCCATAATCGCATTACTTACGAATATGGGTAAATTTTTCTATTTTATAGAGGATTTAATCTTAGGTGAGCAGAGACTGAAAGAAGAAGAAACGGGTGAGTATTTGCAACTGTACGCATAAACCAAAAAATTTTACCAATCTGCAAGAATTAAAGAATCTTAAATAAGGGCATTTCAGTGCTAAATTTATTTCCAGCAATTCGTTCTTATTGCATTGCAATCTTCATATCTTTATACATTTTTATCTAGCTCCACATTTTGATACCAGATCAGAGATATTTCAGTTTGCAGAGCAGGATCAAGTAGCTGAATTAGCGGAAATCACTTTATCTGAAAATCCGATAAATACGAAAGCTTATGCAACAACAACACATTCTCCAAGGTGTGAATAGTTTACTATTTAAAAATGCTCCGATTTAAAATCTATATGAAATGGAAATTTTATAACTTGATAAATTCAGAATGGAACAGGATTTATTAATGTTTTCGGTGTACTAATAGGGCTAACTGTTTACATATGGTACAAAGATCGGAGAAATTTCTTCGATTAGCTATACGTCGGACCGTTAAATCTAGACCTTTCTTCTGGATAGTTATTCTATTAGTATTTTTAAATGCAGTAACTATAGCCTCCGAACACAGCGGAGAGCCGTTATGGCTTAAAGATTTTAGAGGTGACCGTGATGCTTAAGTTAAAAACATAAATTGTAATCTGCTTCAACACTCATTAGACGTATAGAAGTAGCGATAGCTGTCTTAAAGATATCGGTACTGATGATAGTGAATAATTTTTTCTTGTTTTATTAACTTTGAATACTTACAGAAGCAACCAACATTGTGTTTGTCGCGTTATTTACTTTGGAATTAATCCTAAAATTATATGGTTTGGGAGCGGTATTTTACTTCTCATCAACATTTAATTGCTTTGATTTTGCGGTAAGTTTCCAAATATCGTGCGCACTAGATGAAAGATCTATCATTCTTTCATTTTGATTTATTATGAGCTACTGCGACTTACAAAAATCTATCAAATACAAATCGTAAGGAATACTATACCGTTCGTGGCTGAAAGCTTTGCTACTACTTTAGTCAAATTTTGATGAATACAATTGCTGATGATTACTGAAATCCCGTTGTAACGAAGTCTCTTTGTTTTTAAATAACAGCTTTATTGGTATTCTACTTTGAGTAATAATAATAGTACATAAGCCACAGATCTTAATTTAGGACTCTCCGTCGAGAGGGATAGCGAAGCTACTTATATACTGTTAGAATTGATCAATAACAAAAATAAAATCAATGCGATGTTACGCAGGATTATCAGTAGGATTTTGGATAGAATTAATCTATTAACTTAGTAATCCTAGCTAGCAATACGATGTCATTCTTATATCATAACATATCTATATATTGGTACTCATAACACATTTGGTGTTATGATATATCAAGTAATTATTATTATGATGATAATAACATCACATGACTAATCTATCAAATATAGCAATTACACATCTTTAGTGCATATACTTAGGTTGCATGCGCTCTTTCAGTCGTACACCACTAGCCTAAAGATGTCATCTAAGTAAAGCCATTCTCTACACCCGTATTAAGGTCATATGCTAAATATGAGACCTACTTGCCATAGGCTTTAGTATCTAATCTATGAGTTCAAATCTCCTAAATACTTTTGTAGAAAATTATCATATCGTGTACCGAATTATCAATTATGATATAAATTAAGTAGTATATTATCATAGGCTTAAAAGACTAATGATATTTCATGCAATATTACTAGTTTGTTGAGGTGCTTGAAAAGATAAAAGTAGACCCCAAAAAGTACCGATATGGAATATTTGTATTGAACTTGGCCATAATTTTAATGCCCTAATATTTTATAACTTAGTAATATAAAAATTTAGCCTGAATATATATAGTTTTATATCTAGCTTCTGTTTTAAGAGATGAGTTTTTGTAAAAACTCGTTATTTTTAGGTTTCAATTTAAATATTATTTAGGGCTTCTAATTTGGCTCATGTATGCACCAGTTTTCTGTATAACACGAAATTTACAGTTATATCGTTTAAGCTGTTACACTATTATGCCATATACGATTGTGTATATTTCTAGGTGCACATACAATGCATATCTTCGTGCCGTTCTCTTTATTATCACAACGTGTTGAATGAGAGCATTCTTATAAGTAATTTATTTAACTTACGAATAATGAGAAAAATCTCACAAGTTGGCATAATTGACGCAAATAAGTTTTTGACATTTAACGTTGATTAGTCTTAAAAATCACGAATATAGATTGCTGTTAGTATAAAGCTTACACATTCATTGAGTGGGCAATTTAATATTCATATCCCAACTCCTGAATTATGAATAGTTAAGCATTTGTCATGTAAAGCGTCAATTATGAATGAATTCAACTTTCAACACATTGTACTAAAAGGATATAAAATATAAGTTATATTTTAAGTTTATTTCTTAACTAAGACATTTTCGCCATGGTTGCATCATTAGGTGGTTATCGCCAGCATAGCTGAACTTATAGTTAGGAGCGTTGGTGGACCGAAGCTTGGCATTAGTGTATTTCGATGTATTCGCTTGCTAAGAATATTTGAAATAACAAAGTGAGTATAGCTGCGTAAAGATGAAGTAAAAATAGTTAATGAATGTATGAGATGTAATAAAAGGACAATTGGTACTGGATTAGCAAAAGAAGATCATCCTTCAATTTCTCTTATTTTGATTTAATCTAGGCATTGGAAGTCGCTAAGTAACTTAGTAGCCTCGTTAATTAGCAGTCTAAGATCCATATTGAGTTTACTTTTCTTGATTGGACTTTGTATCATGGTTTTTGCATTACTTGGAATGCAATTATTTGGTGGAAGGTAAATTATGCTGCTATATATCTATTTCAGTTAATTAAAAAACTGATACGGTGACATTTTATGATATTTGTATAACAACACACTGTCTCGGCCTAACGTTACAAGACATTGTTATAGCGGAATTGTTTATATCAACTAATTTTAGATACTACTTTCATTTTGTTTCTTTTACCTATCTTACAATCCTCTTTGCATTAGATTTAATTTTGCAGAAGGTGTACCAAGAAGTAATTTTAACGATTTTGGTCACGCAGTTTTATCTGTGTTCCAGGTATTATTCAGAAATGCTTTAATTGCATATAATATTAATATCCAAGATCGATATTATAATGTTGCTTTACTTATATGATTGATTTAGGTGCTTTCCGGTGAGGACTGGAATGAAGTAATGTATAATGGTATCAGAGCCTATCGAAGCTCTGGCGAATTCGTTAGCTATGCAGTCTCCCTTTACTTTGTGGTCCTTGTCTGTTTGGGAAATTGTATCCAGATTTTATACGTGTTACTGCTTGATAATTTATTAATAGTTAACTGTAGATTCATGTTATACTTAGCAACAATTATAGAAACATAATATGAAATTATTACTTATGAACTCAAACTCGAGAATCTTGTTGCCCTTAACTGTAAAACTTTAAAATCTGCAATCTCACTGAAACCTACAGATACCCTATTAAACGTATTCTTGGCCATTGCAGTTGATAATTTAACGAAAGCCCAGGAAATAAGTAAGGATGAAGACGAAGAAATTATGCTGCAAAAGCGCTTGTCCATAAAGCGCAAAAATTACTCGAAAGATTCTGGCTGTCAATCAGCTTTGGGTGATGGGCAATATGGTACAGATGATAGACCACGAGAAAGTATTAGAACACTGTCTATAGCATCTACAGACGGACGATCAAATCAAAGGTATGAGAGTATTAGCAAATTTCAAAGTCACATATTAAAACTCAGTTTTAATTTAAAGCGTAAATAAATTTATAATGCAGTAGCTGATTTTAAAGTTGAAAATTATATTCATGCAAAAATGATTATTCATTCAGTCATACATTCAACTTAATATTGCTATGTAATGACACAAAAATCATAACGAAAACTATAACAGCCTTTATTACTTTGGAATTATAGGAGCAGGAGAAGTACGTTAAGAATTCCCATGCCGTCTTCACCGTCTATCAATGACGATAACGCTTTTCCTGAATTTTGTGATAATAATACTTCTCAACAAGAGACAAGAATAGATGAAATTAATGACATTGAAAATCCTGGTAATGAGAACGATGATGAAGGTAATATAAGTTTAGACATGAACATGCATAAGTATAATTTTAAATTTTATCGCTGTATAAACAGCTATATATGAGTTTTATCCTCTAATTCATATATGATACGTTAGATCATAATTAAGTAAATTTTAATGCTTCTGAACTGGTCATCTATCCGGATACTTAAGCATTTGGTCTATAAAATTATTTATGAAATGAATCGTAGTGCAAAAATGCACAACCATTCTGATTTTCTAACCACTTTTATCAATTTATTTTATAAATAATAAACGATCTTCCATAGAGCCTAATTTTCGACAAAAAAGACTTGGCAGCACAAAAATGAACTTTCAGGATGCTCATCAGGAACCTGAGCTAATTATAGGAAAAGAAATCTTCGCACAAAATGTACCAATCTTGCAAGTTAATTCGCTATTCATATTTTCGCCTCAAAATAGGTCAGTGTTTATTAAAATACTACAACGGCAACAATAGCTATACGCAGTGTCAACTCTATCTACCAATAATTACGAATTAAAAATTATGCTTAAACGGTGTCTATCAAAAATTCTTTTAAATCATCAGTATGGTTGTCTTTTTACCGTAAAATGAGCTAAGAATGGTAGTTTTTATTTCTCTTCTACTATTCAGTACGCTGTACAGTTACTCAACTACTGAGTAATAATAATAATTATAACTACTTATCAACTTAATAATTTTACGTCTCAAAATCAATATTTTGTTTACAATATCATTATTTACCAGCAAAATCTAGATTAAACTAAGTTAGAAATGAGATTTTTATTAAAGTAATCGTTATACCACCCTAAAATATCTGACCCTATTTTAATATTTTACTTCTTTTTCAATTTCTTTTAGGTTCAGAAGGTTTTGTCATTATATTGTCCATTTAAGGCACTTTGAAAATTTTATGATCGCAGCAATTATTATAAGCAGTGGGCTACTGGCTGTTGAGGATCCTATGAATGAAGATCCCGTCCTAAATTATGTAAAAATTGTTTTAAATAGTATTAATTTAATTTTGAGGCCGCTGGCTAATGATGCGTCAAATTTTTCTTATCTAATTCCAGTATTAAATTCGCCTCTACTTACACATCATTTTGTGACTCTATGATAAAATTATAGGTTTTAAGAATATTTGATTCAATATTTACCGGGATATTTTTAATTGAATTAATTTTGAAGGTAATTCTGATCTACATGTACATTATCTGCAGCTTATAATCTAAATGGAAGCACTTAATGGCAACTTGTAATATAGAGTCAAAATTATAATTATATCTTTTAAGGTAAAGTTCCGTGAGATCTGAGAACCACGAATCAATCTTACTACTAAATTTCGTTTCCATAAATAAGCTTAGTTCTACATTAAAATCGCATAAATGGGATATTGATAATACGCCCTACTTTTTCGTTATCGTAATAGAAAATACTATTTCTCATCCTATATAAGAATTTAATTTATCATTGTCCATAAGTCGATCCATCATTTAAGATCAAATTTTAGGATAGAATTTTACTAAAACTTTATCAACATTTGCAATCACTATTTCGATTGTTGTTTAATTCAGGGATCCTAGATATTTATATACAAGGCTGCATCTTATAAATATCTTATTTGAATATTTGTATAAATATTATGAGAATAAGAGTTCCATTTATACATTGAGTACTTGCAAATGTTGCTTGTCTTTATTAATTACTATTACAGTTGGATTTATGTTGGAATCAAATTACTTTTAGGTCGTCGATTTTGGATTTATTCTTCATCGTGGGTCGTACTGCAGAAATTTGTGGAATATTTTAGATATGATCGTTGTTGTTACTGCAGTAACATCGTTCATTTACTTTGAAATCGGGTACGAATTTTTCTTATTCAATAAGTATCAGGAGATTTATTTTCTGCAGGATTAATATTACAAACGTGCATTATGAGATTAATGCAATCCTTTAATGAATTCTAAAAGGGTGGAGAATCAGTCTAATCGAAATATATCAGCTATTAAAGCAATTCGAACTTTGAGGGTACTACGGCCGCTTAAAGCGATTAGAACTGCCAAGAAGCTACTGGTGAGGCGATAATGTTTAATATGCATTATTAATGGTCAATTGCAGTTTCATAATGATTGCTTAGCTGATATTTTGCATCACAAAGTTATCTAAGATTCTATTTCTATACCAATATCGCAGTCATTTCTAATAATTAATACCAATAAATGCAATTATTTAATTACCTTTTCTTTGGACAGCCCTAATATACTCATTAACAATGTTAATAATTCAATCTTTTACAGGCCTGCTTTCAATGTATGGTCAATTCCCTGAAGAACGTTCTCAATGTTTGTATTGTGATGTTGCTATTCCTATTCATGTTCGCCGTGATTGGCGTTCAGTTATTTAAGGTACCGTACTATTGAAATTTTTACTTGTTAACTACTTAATGTGGTTTAAATCATTTGTATAGCTTTAAATTAGTACTTTGATAATACTCTTATTGGATATGGATAGTTTCATAGCTAGGTAGCTGCTATATCAATGCAACGCTGAATTTAAATTTGAAACATTTTAGGGTAAATTTCACTACTGCACGGATCAAACGAAACATACTAAAAGTCAATGCAGGTAAATATCTTACCTCTGCAACTATTTAAAAAAACAATTAATCTTGTGATCTAGCCAATAACAAAATAGTGATTTATATAGATACGAGAGTAGCTATTTGATCATAAGTGTGTAATACCGATGATCGATATGTAAGATACAAATACGATGACTGATTTTTTGTTTACTACTTGCGCAGATAGAAGTGATTTAATTAACAGTTTGCTGTACTTTATAACTATAGATAATCTGCAGTGGGAATTTTATAGTTATCACAGTTTAGTTTAAAAAAAGCTAATTGTTACCGTATAGTTGTGTATTAAAAAGGCGGATATAGACAGTATACTGAGCAGATATGTGTCGGTATTCAATTTTTCTTATTTCAGGGGAAATTATTATCATTATACTGACGGCCACGTTTATAACGTAGAAGTAAGTTATTGCATAAGCGATACAAAATTTGCTACGCAACTTAGTTCGAATGCAGGACGATTTTCGAATTATGTAGATAATGTAATAAAAGCGTCCTTCATCAGGTTCTAGAACGTCGATGGGAACAACATCCTTATAATTTTGATGATTTACCACGCGCTATGTTAACACTTTTCACCATGTCAACAGCGGAAGGTTGGCCAAGGCAAGTGCAACAATACGATATACTGCATTGACTAATGCAAATATTAGTAATTACAATAAATAACAGATATATTACAACTTTTTCTCGCTTATAATATAATCCAAGATTGATATAGTTTTAAGAGATTGATGGTTGCAGATAATAATATCTTGATATTAAGAAAATAAGAGTTAAATGATTTAATATATATATATATTGTTGAATATTATATCTTACGTTATTTTCAGGATATTATATTGGTCTATTGATGCAACTAATGAAAATGAAGGACCAATGCGAGATTATAATTTGGCAGTTGCATTATATTTCTGTATTTATATCGTTGTATTCCCCTTTTTCTTCATAAACATCTTTGTGGCCTTAATAATCGTAACCTTTCAAGAAGAAGGTGATAAAGACATCGCTAACTATCAGCTAAATCGAAATCAGGTACGTTATTATATTCATAGGTATTATGTATTGCTTGTTATTCTTTAGTTAATTAATTGTTAACCATACGTTTAGCGGCATAGATGCAGCAAATAAATTTAGGCCTAATGCATCCTTTAATTTTATAACCTAACTTTAATTGACTGACTGCTAGTACCTGTAATAATTACTGAAATGATACAATTTTAGCGTGATTGCATCGAATTTGCTTTAAATGCTAAGCCAATCCATCGCCACATGCCTAAAGATAAAAAATCTTACGCTTATAAAGTTTGGCGAATAGTAACATCAACGCCATTTGAATTTATAATTATGGTCTTGATTATTGTAAATACTATAGTATTAATGATGGAGGTATGTCTCACTTAGGCTTTTCCCTACGAATTTAAACTATACATTTTATTTTTGATTGGAATTTCTGATTCTCATTGAATAAAATTATTGCCAATTATTAGTATAATGGCCAAAGCAAAGACTACAAAGATATGCTTCAAATAATTAACATTACGGTTACAATCCTGTTCACTGTTGAAATGTTATTGAAAGTTATTGCTTTCTCACCAAGGGTAAGTATGAGCAAAGTATAAACACTGCATGACAACTTTTGATTGCAGTTTTAACTTATGAATAGTGTCATAAAGGTGCTGTCGTGAGCAAATCTACATATTTTATGGCTTTAATGATTTTGATATGAACTGAGCTTCCCGGTAGCCGTCACTAAATTTGTTAATTTAAAAAATTCTGTAAATTTAAAGCAGGTTATTGATTGCATTTGCATTTTCTATAAAAGTTGTGATGTATTATTGAAATTTTGAAAAGTCAATAGTAAATTTACAGTAGTATCTTCTTTAGTGATCGATCTAGCTAATATTCATGCTCATTTTCTGATGGCACATTGATTATAAATTAGATTATCGATATTCTGGTGAAGTTCTTATGATACTAGATAAATTACGCTATGGTCATAAAATATATATATTTAACGATGAATATGTGCGTACGGTACTTAATCTGCTAAAAGAAACGAAAATAGTTTTATTTATGCATATATTTGCTCAGTTTCCATGAGATTCCTTTATTGCTTGCTTTAACATCTCTGTGCATTTTTCGACACCTTTTTTAGAATTTCATAAAGGAATGGTGGAATATATTTGATTTAATAGTCGTTATTGGTAGCTGGACAGATATTATCATTACTTATGCCAGTATTAATGGTGTATGTATTAATTACTCTTATTAAGGATGTTTACTACGTAGATGTTTTAAACTTTCAAATTTTTAGAGTTTTGCAATTTTATCATGCAGAATTTTTAATGCTCATGAAGGTAGCTACTTTCTATTATCATTTTTCCTCTTGAAATATGTAATATCTTGATATTTATAGACAAGTACTGTAAGTATTAGCTTCTTTCGATTATTTCGAGCCGGCCGTTTGATAAAATTATTACGTAAGGGTTATACTATACGTGTTTTATTATGGACGTTTCTAAAGTCCTTTCAGGTAAGATATATTCGGATAGAATCATCTACAATCTTCTAGGCGCCTCATAATTTGTTTTAATATCTCTTACTATAAATACCCTTTGTTAACTTAGGCATTGCCTTACGTTGGACTTTTGATTGGCATGTTGTTTTTTATAAGTGCAGTGCTTGGAATGCAGGTATTGTAATAAAAAATTTAGTCAACTACATAGTAACAGCTAAATACACATGTACTAGACGTTAGTATAATATGTATTTCTGTAAAGTTTTAGGAATTATCAATATCTATTAGTTTAAAATAATAGATTATATTTTATTTTAAAGTTATTTGGACAAATTCAATCCGATCCTACTACAGCCATTTTTCGCTACAACAATTTTCAAACTTTTACCGGAGCGCTAATCGTTCTCGTTAGGTATGCTTATAGTTAAACTTTCGATATTAAGTTCAATATATGAATGATTTTAATATTTGAATAGCAGTAAAATTATCTACAGATTAGATGTACTACTTAACTAATAGCCGTAGTTTAGAGTTACAATTAAGATAGAGATGTAGCTTGTTAAGCATCCTTTCTCAGTAGCTGCATTGGAAATCAAAACTTCGCAGATATAGCAAGTTTTAGCTCTAATTTCAACCGTACTAGATGTAATTATAAACAAAGGGCTGTATTTATTGTAAGGTAAAGAGAGCTATATAAGAGCTTGCTTAGTTAACATCTACATTTCAGTAGTTCAAGAAATGATCCATTCATGCCAAGTAGAGTTCTTATAGGATGCTAATGTTTCGAATGCTCGTTCCATACATATTGAAGGTTTACATCAAGTATGATTGCATCACTCTATAGAGATATAACATAGTGCAGTTGCTAAATTACGGTATCGATTTATGTGAAACACTTCTAAAACTACAATTTAGTTTTCTGATTTTAGATATAATCACTGTAAGAACTATCAACTCTTTAGTGTTTAAATATTTAGCGTACCTTACCGATTAGCAGTGCTGGTTATATGCGCAATTAAAAAATACCGTTATACGGTATTTGCAAATAATTGCAACGAAGTAGTATTATTTATCCTTGTTGTTACTCTTGCAATTCGGACACCCTTATTTTACCGTGATTTCCTTTAAAAAAATACATACATACGCTTAATATAAAAAGACATATTTATTAAAGTGTTATCTCAATAGTTCACGTTATATTGGAATAGAAATGTATATGTTGAATATTGTAAGCAGTATGACTACTGTCTAAAATATATACGAAAAGAGTAGTGGATATGTTAATATCATTCTTAACTTCTGTATATTATAAATTTCTTGCGGATAGATGTTCTACTGGTGAAAACTGGCCTGAAGTTATGCTAGCCTGTTTACCTGGTCGAGCAAAATGTTCCACAAAATTTCCCGACTGTGGATCTTATGTTGCATATCCATACTTTGTTATATTCGTCTTTTTGTCTACTTTTTTGGTAATTAGCTCACTTCAATTCATTATTATCCGTATAGAGATAAAAATTCTGCAATACATGTAACATAACAGATACACAATATTATAGTTTCATATATTTCGACTAAGTATATAATTTAATTTGAAAACAATACATTGCTACAACGATATTTTCGTTATTTCTGAAAATTTTGCAGATGTTGAATTTATTTGTGGCTGTAATCATGGATAATTTTAAGTATTTAACACGCGATAAGTCTATACTTGGTCCATATCATTTGGATCATTTCTTACATACCTGGGCGGAGTTTGATCCTGAAGCAAGGTAACTCAGTCATGTTTAATACAAATTTGCATTGAGATTATGATCTACTTCACATTTATTACGTTAAACTCATAATTTAAATTTAACACTTTAGCGGTAGAATCAAACATCAAGAGCTGTGTACCATGTTATGTCGTATTCCACCTCCTCTTGGCTTTGGAAGTAGTTGCCCAATGCGTACAGCATATCGGGTAATTATGATATATAGCGATTCGTCAAGGCTACACCCAATGTTATGATTCACGTTCAGTATATTATTGCAGTTATTACAAATGGCGCAGTAACGTATTTTAGCAGAGAACTTGCTTTAGATCGTATTTTTAGTTGATCTTAACTTAAGCAGATAAGAAATTTTGTTGATTTCTAATACGTCATATAAATAAATCATAAATACTTGTATATAATTAATTTTAGATAAATATAAATTTCAGGATTTGTTATACGGTGACTTTTGCCACTGTTATCATCACTCAATTATTAATTCTGATCTTCTAAAAATTCTAGATTTAAAATTTAATATACAATATGTACATTTCTTAATATATGATGCTTCATTTAGTAAAATCTTAGTTCTTTGTACCTTAAGTTAAGTAGCAAATTAGTAAGTTATGAATTATAGATTTACATATCTCTGTAGCTATGGATTCCGTAAATGAATGCTTAAACAATTTCTTACGTCCATTTCTGTTAATCAATCATAGAGATTAATGAAACTAGGAATTCCTATTAATGGCGATAATACCATTCGCTTTAAGGCTACACTTTTTGCTTTAATAAGAACTTCATTAAAAATTAAAGTTCGAGAAGGTAAATTACTAATTTCTAAAAAAATTTAATTTTAATTAAAGACAGTGTTTCAGTTTATAACATATTCAATTCCATTTTTCGGCGATTTTCTTTCTTACTACCGCCAGTACTTCATCAATATTAATTTGGAATGGTAGATTTTAGTATGATCGTCAGCTTTATTTTATGTTATAAGAGAAATAATAGTAAGTGCTATAGTATATTAAATTTTTGTTTAAATTGGCTTACTGACCCCGTTACAATTATTATCTACATTATTAAATTCTTTGTAGCCTATATAAGGTTGGTAAGATGTTTTAACTTAAACTGAATGCCATAGCTTATTTAGGCTCCGATTAATTTCGTTTCGATCTTATTTCAATAGTAGTTTTTAAATACGATGTAATTTAAAAGCTTGCTTTTTAATAATTAATTTAATGTGAAAGCAGAATTTAAGTAATTGATAGGATAACAATGATGTTGGTCTGCCTTTAAATCCACGTGAAATCTTATTCTATTCAGATCAACATGAAGCTGATGCTGAGTTGTGTCAGATTATTAGAAAAATATGGCCGCAAGTTACCAGTAGAACACTAGAGCGTATATTGCCACAAGTTGAACATGGTTGGTCTAAATTATTAATTGGATCGTTAGTGAATAGTTATATGTAACATTGACAAAAAGCTTCAAACTATGCTCTTCCTCATTCTCTTACGCCTCTTTGTTTATATTGGTTAATGCACTGTATGATATACTACTGTAATTCATCTCGATTCACTTAGCTAACCTATAACAGGGTTTGGAATTAAAATTTCCTGCCTGCTCGCTAATTATCATTTATGCATCATCGTTTATTAAAAGTGCTTTGGTTCTATATTAAGCTTTCAATATTTTTGGATATAACTTATAGAAGAATGTGATGGGGATTGAATAGGTGTTTGATATTTTATACTTTTTTCTAAATCTGGGTAATTCTTTTGTAATATTTGGGGTAAATTATAAATACCGGATTAATAATTCTTTATGTTCGTTGTCATTCTGTTTGTTAAGTAGAGTAGAGAATATCTAGCAAACAATATCTGCTTAAGTTATATAGAGATTTCAATTTTTTAAATATTGTGCGAATAGAAGTTGAGAAGAGCATATTTCCACTGATTATACGAAGCTTTAAATAACAATAGTAAAATGTATTAAAAAGTGAGCTCGATATGCTTTATCTGTGATTGAAGCTATGATCATTAATGAATGGACAAAATTTCTATAAAAGATATTTTAATTTTATTATGCATAACTAATGTTGCTCCGCCAGTTTCGATATTTTTAAATTATGGGATCTAATAGGCGATGATCTTTTTGTTCTTGGGTTATTAATTAAGCTGATTGTATTATAGTTTTTATCGAATAATTTGATAGTGTTAAATGATTTTAATGTGCAATAGAAAAATTAGCATTAAATGTAAATATGAGATTTTGATAATGTCATTAAAATCGAGAGATGGGATAATTGCCGAGATAGTAGTTGTATTTAAATTAACTTGCAAACTATAATAACATATAATAACATATAAGCGCCATTCAATTTTTTAGTTGCTAAATAAGCACATTTTGAATTATCGATATAGGAGCAAGGCATCTTACTATTGGTAAAATTTATGCTGCTTTAATCATTTATGAGTATTACAAAAGATACAAGAAACAGCAATTAAGAGAAGAGGATGAACAAGTTAGAATGGTAAGTTGGATAATTATTGATCATTTCGTTATATTTCGTCAACAAAAGATTATAACATTTCATTTTTGGTATGATCATTTTAGAGAACCAAATCTCTTTTTCATCGCTTTATCGATGTTGTCCGAACACCAATTCGAACTGGGGCTCATAAAGACTTGGAAATTCCGACGGAATATCCTACCAAGCAGCTGTAAGAGAAAATACTATTACAATTTTTTTTGCCTTGCCATTACATTAATAAGAACGAAAAGCGAGACAGCATTATTATATGGGTTGATCTAATAATTTTTAAGTCATTACAGCGCAGGTTTTATTTAGTACAAATTTAATATAAGATACTCTAAATAAGCTCCAAGTGTTATCTCAACAAGATACGTATGTTCAGAGATTTAAAAAATAGTACATTCTAAATTATGCGATATAGGAGATCAAAACATTTTCATAGCCATTCATTTAAAATTCCTCGACCTAGTTTACGCCGAAGTCGAAAGAGAGATAAAATGGTAATATGTAGCTCATTCGAATATTTTTTTAAATATTGCAAATGTTGTTGGTACTTATTCCAGAAATTACGCTTACTAAAGGCTTGATTGCGTGCCTTGTTGATAATCTAGCTCAACTAGTAATTGTATTTCATTAGAAATCGAAACATGCAGTTTCCGCTAAACCCTCGGACAGCAGTGTATCAGGAGAAAATAACAGATCAAGATCTTTGCCAGGCCTTATATTCGAGAGCATTGATGTAAATTGCTTTATTTTAAAATAGTTTTATCGTAGTTATTATTGTTTATAATTTTTAAATACTTTTTGGGTTTGAGGAATAAAAATAGCTAGTGTAAATTTTGAAAACTGGAAATTTCATCTTACATTATTACCGGTAGGATAATGCGGGGAAAGTGCAGGACATAAACCTCTATCTTGCAAATCGGTCTAGTAAAGAAACTGATTTCTGCATAGCAGAAGTTCATCATGAAGACGATGAAGGCTATTTGCAGTCTGAATACCGCAATAATAGTAAGAAAATCGATTCTAACAATTAGTATTTTCTATAGGTGCTAATAATGCTAATAATACATAGAAATGATCCACATTAATGAATATGAGATACTTATTATGAGTTTTTTACGATGATGAAGGTATGAGATCAATTTACTATCGATGTATCACTTAATCACAGAAACTAAAGAAATTAAATCGCAATGACTATATTGTAAACTAGTATTAGAAAATATTGGATTACCAATCAAAGTGATTTAAGTTGCTACGATACGATACCTACTGGATGTGCAGATGCAGAGTTACGAATTCATTGCACCTGAATTTAATTTAGATGTTGCAAATGAAACGAAAAATGTATACTTGTATTCAATATAAATAAATCAATGCTATTTATTGCTGTAAATTAGCTCTAGTGTTAGTGAAGCAGAATAATATGAAATATTCTAATAATTACAAAGTCTTATGTGGTCAGAGCTGAATTTTGTACTGTTATTAATAGTTAAAATTCATATAAGCAACAATCAGAAATATAGCTCTAATAAACATGTAGAGGAGTGTTGAATATTTCATAAATTTTACGATATAATACGTCCAATATAGAATTTACTGTAGTATAACAACTGAAAGACTATATAGAAATATTTATAAATGTCGATGTTGACTTATCATTTATAAAAATTTACGATAATTATTTCGAAGCAATGTTTAAAAAACTTAACAAGTTGTAAACGTCTAAATTAAATTTAGATAAGGAGATAATAGGGATTAACTGAAACTTCAGATAAAATTTAGTTTTAATGCGTACTAAATTTACTACTATTTAAAAATAGACTAAAAATGTGACTTGATTGCAACATAAAGTATACTTAAGCAAAATGATTTCATTTGATTTAGCAGACGAACGAAACCAGACACTAGACCCACTACTTTCAAATCGTCGGCAAGGATCACGTTTTAATATTTATAATACTTCAGGTTCCAATCTTCAGCCATCTCCATTAACTTTTGAACCTGGCCGTCCTTTACATCGCATGATTCGTACGACGCCAATTGGCACACCTAAATCGCCCCAAAAAATATCCATTGTTCAATCAACTTATAATAGTGCTAATAATTCACCGACAACAATTCACGATCGTTACCATTCTGGTTCGGCTAATAATAGCAATAATATTAATGGTGGCTCTTATTCACCTACTCGTAATCAACATCAATTTAAGTTAAAATTACAGCATGAAGATTCCAATGATTCCTGCACTGGTTCACTTGGATTGCGTTTACAAAAGTCTGGATCAAGTTGCGGATCAACTGATGATGATTTAGATTTAAATGATGCGATTCAGTTTAATAATTTACAAGATTTATTACCAGTTGATATACCTGATGTCACAATTTCCATATCTGATAGCCCCTACGGTAGTACTGATGGTTTAGATAAACAATATGCATCCGATTTAAACGGAGCAACTGAATATAAAAGATTGCCATCCAATGCATTCTGGTCTTCAGTACAACGTAATTACAACAAAGTTTTATCGAAATCTTCTAATAATTCTTTAAATAATTGTAACGGTGCCTCGAATCTTAGTCAAGATTATAGTAATAATCATACAAACTCTACTGGTAATAACGCTAGTTCAAGAGGTACCAATAACCTTCACCATCAACGCCATTTTTCTAATAATCATAATAGTACCTTAAATCATTCAGGCCATCAGTCTGATTATTATAAAAATGATTACAACGGTATCAGAAATGATGACTATGATGAACTTGAACTAAACAGAAATCTAATGTTGTCTAATTTTTCATTCAATTCAGATGATCTTACTAACATATCAAAATGTACAGCAGTTTAAATGATATTATTTATAAGCATATGATGACTCTTTTTTATTTATCTGACTTTAACGAATATCTGAATTAAGAATGGCTACCATAGTTGACGTTGAAATTTGATGTGTAAAAGGGTAAATTTTAGTTTGCAGAATTACTATATTATCCAAGCTTACGATTGTATTTGGATAAATATTGAAAATTGCTTGGTTTTGCTTACTCTGTATACTTTAGTTGAATATCATGACAGTAATATTTGCATTTACCCGAGATCAATTTAATCAACACCCTTCTCACCAAAGTAAAGCAATAGTACAAAAGATATCTGAAATAAAACGGATAATATATTTAGCATAAACTAAATCTCTGCGTCAATTTTAATTGATAAATGCTAACTATACGTTAGTGGAACGATGGTAAATTTAAAATTTAGGTAAAAGAAGCTTATGCTAGATACTACGGTTGCATGATAGAAAGACTATTAAGATTGGGTGCATATTTTATTAGCCCCTGTACGGTGGGCACTCTTAATTCTTAATAAGAGATTATACTGTCTTTGATACTATTGGTAGCGTATAATGCAAAACTCTTACTGTATCCAATGATTATTTTGCCACATCGCTGCATATGGCCTAGTACGGAGTTTCACTAATAAGCCACTTATTCTATATGGAAAAGATCATATACATGTATGCAAGTATAGTTTTATGTGTTTGCTATTTAAACGTAAATTAATAAACTATCAGCTAATTTATTAGAAATAAAAGTGTTCAATATTATGGGTTAGGGCAATTTTCTTAGTCTTGATTATAAAATAACTTCAGTAATAAAAAATAAATTGAAGAACACGTTGTGTGGGTTTACTCATGAGTCAAATATAGAATTTAAACTAAGAATCAGACAAAATTTTTGATTACAGAATTTGACGATTCTTGCTACATAGTCGCGTTGCTCAATTTGCTATTACTGCGATATCTTAAATCCCATAGTCAAAGTAACTTTATTTCTTACTAACCGAAATGTACATAATCAAATTGTATAAAAGGATACATATCAGTTGTACTCAGATAAAGTAATTTTATTAAAATTTAATTTAATATGCAGACTTAAAATGCAAATGCTTCTTTCTTTGCTGTGAGAAAGCTTTAAAGTAAATTTTATAAGATGGCAGACTCAGAAGTTGAGCTATTAATTTTCCTTCGCTATTTACAGTCTACTATAAGTTTAATAAAATAACTTGAAGCAGTTACCTAGAATCTAAGAATTGAATGGCCATTGCAGGTATAATGACTGTAACGACTACACCAATAAAAATATAATCAATTGCTTAATGGATCTTTGTGATTGAAGATTCGTATTATTGGTAAACCAGGATTCCTGGCTATCATGATTATTATCTAATGATTTTATTAGCAAAGTAGAAATTTATTTTTATGAAGAACTGAGTAGCTTTATAAGATAGTAAAGCAGTCTCAAGAGTGTATATGTTACTTATATATAAACTGAACAATAACACGAAGTGAGGCAAGAATGCCAATTACCAAATAGAGAATAGAAATCAGTTGTAGAACTTTGTACTGTACCTTTGCAATCCAGCAAAGGTGATCTAAACGGCTTGTATATTGTATTGTAACTACTCCCACTTGCTAAGCTAGCAATGAATGATAACAAACAAGGAATATTAATAGTGAACATAATATAAGGTAGAGTGATATTATAATCTATATTTGACTACGAGTAGATGAAAAGCAAGCAGTAACGCCTGTTGATATACGAATAATATGTATCATTATTCAGTTATGTCTCTGATTTCAAGTTTCCGTCTCCGTAACCCTATGTTCAAGTCAAAAGTTAAATAATGACCGACTGAATTCATTCAATGACTTTAGGACAGATATCCTACCTACTAATTGCTCTAACGGTATCTCGTTATTAGATGTTTACTTATTATCATTTAGAGACGATTCAGTTCAACTTTTATATCACATATAACATTAGAAATGTAGTAAACTGAATATTTCTGTAAAGCGCTTAATTAATATTCTTTAACCAAAATCTAATGTCCGTCATTAATAGTGGACAAAGAGTTCTTAGTATGACATCCTTGGTGTACAGTTACCTAAATATTGAGCTTAATGAATTTATACTGTTACTAAGTACCGTAGTTAGCTAACTGCCTACAAAAGCGGTTATGGTACTGTAGAAATCTTGGTCAAATCTCCGGATTTTGCGGATGTCTTCGACTCAGTTATTGTTTACTTAATTACAATATATTGCACATCACTTATTGATTAAGAATAGGATAATTGATAAATGGATGATTCACCATTCACATATTGTTTGAAACTATAATCTATAACTACATGAATAAATTAATAATGACAAAGGCTAAGGAATGTTAATAAAATACTTACTAGCAAGTCTTGTTGTAATTAAGAGCTGTGGCTTATGGATTAAAGATATTGTTTTACTTAATTGATGCGTATTTAGGCGTTTTATGTTACCATGGATGCTTAAGCATTCATACAAAACTTTTGTTAATCTTAAATAAAACTTTATAAATCTGTTTGCTGTACGTGCATAATCTAGATTTTTATTGGGATCATTAGAGTAGAAAGAATCGTTTATTCAATTAATACAATTTAGTTCTGGATTTTGATTCTTTGTTAGATCCTTATATTTTGATTGCTGTAATCTCCTAACGACATTAATCGCCTAAGAACGATTTCAATCTTCTTTATATTGAGGCTGCTATACCTTTCTATTCAGCTTGTATTTGACATGTCTAGCAAAGTGCAACCTTCTAACAGAATCGAAGATGTCTATGAGGGGTTCCCAAGTTCTGTTATTGTCGATCCTGATCATCTTGTCAAAGAAGGAAGCCGTAGATCTTCTGCAAAGGCTATAGGTTGGTCGGAATTATTATGGGTAAGTTGGTTTATGCCATAATACTTCTAAGTTAGTATTATTTATGCATCATCTACATTAAAATAAAACTAAAAGTAGATCGCCGTACTCCTATAAATGATAATATATTCTAATTTTGTCCTATCTCCGTACAATATCTTAAAAAATTTATAACTTGTATTATTAGGGCACACAAGTGCCTAGAATGTGGTAGTCCGAAGTTTAATGTGTAGACATTGATTTATCATTGAAATTACAGCTCATTTATGTTAAGCCAGAGTAGTAAAACATTAGAATTCATTTTAAAACTCTCATCAAAGACTCCTTAAGGTTCCAATTCTTGAAACAGAACTGTTAATATCTACTTGTGTCTCAAAGACCTGTCACAGAATAACGTGTTATGATGCAGTCAAAATCGTAGTGTCAAGCTGAGCACTGTACAGGAGAGCCGATTGCGTATAGGAAGTATTTGGATTGATAAATGAATTAAACTACTTAGAATACGACTTTACTCCATAATTGGATAATTGTCGATCAGATGAAATGAATTTACCGAAATACTTTTTTATGTATTATTTCGTTCAAAGTAAATTTTAGCGTACTGATTTTATTAGGAAGATTGGGAATATCTCAAATATACACCTTGAAAGGTTGCTATCTCATACAGTAGTCTGTTCATCAGTATAATGAATTACTGAAATAGGGAGCATTTTGTCGTCAAGGACAGTGTACAAAATTTAACATGGCAAAATTACTTATCTAATCGGTTGAGTACCGATAATTATAGAACGGAACCTAATCTACAATTAAAGATTTGAATTGTACTGTATATATTATGACAAAATATTCTATCCAGTAACCTAGTGCATGAGGTATCACAAATAGGGGATTTCGCTAATAAATAAATGTCGTTTTAAAGCTGTACGAAGATACTAACTTAAATATCGAATCAAGTTAATCTCTAATCGAAGTCTATACCTACCAATGGTAAGACTATACATCAGGATCAAGGAGCTTGAAAATTCAGAAATCGATCAATAGTACAAGAATACATACATTATCGTTCTATTCATTTCTTCCATAAATAGAGCCAATTTCATGCTCTCTTGTGACGTATAACACTTATGAAGGAGTGAGTTTAGATTTGGTTTTAATAGCATTTTTACGTGAGCAATTTTATTAGTCATCGTGATTATATATATAAGTTGACTAAAGAAATTTGTTGATTGGATTCACAATCTGTGATTTTTTATTGCACTTGGAAATAGACTTCAAATTGCTGCATATTGCGTTTTTATTTTACTAAAAAAAGTTAAAAACGACCTAAATTTGCTACCCTTTTAAAATAACTTTAATTCGTTATACTTATTATTGCTCCAGTGAAAATACCGTATCAGCTAAGTTAATCATCGTTTTAAATACTTTATGATCCATTAATATTATCGACCTTATCATAAAGGTTTCAATCCCTGTTTATCAAGCTATTATCAATTCTGAGTTAATGGTATACTAAAGCGCTTAAAAATTTAGTCTACCTTTATTATGATTTGACTAACACAAAGTATTATATTTAGGCATCCAAGACTGGTAATCTGTCAATAATTCAAAGTTACTTAAAGTCGGATTTTAACGTCGATCGCGAATTAAATAAACTCGATAGTTCTGATATGTCGCTTTTACATTATGCGGTAAGATATGATAGACCTGAAGTTGCAAAGCTATTACTGGAAAATCATGCGGGTAATTAGAATCTCTGGTGAAATTTTTGTAGATTCAGCTCTGATCTATTATCATGTTTGATTTTGTAATCATGAATTGCTCAATTTAACGCTATTATTGTGATTTAAACTCTAATAGATGTGAATGTTTGTAGTCCTACTGGAGTACCTCCTGTCTTTACAGCCGTGAGATATAATTCCGAAGCTACCTTGCAAGTTTTAGTTCAGTTTAAGTGTAACTTGAATGCTTTAGACTTGAATGGAGGAACGTTGTTACACGAAGCGGGAAAATGTGGCTTTCCAAATATATGCCATGTATTGTAGTATATCAATCATTAACCATTAATCATATATTAGACTCATGTACAATTTTTTGATATTGTTTCAGATTTTGCTAAAGCATAACAATGCCCTTATTAATATACAAGATAATGACTTACTCTCCCCACTTCATGTCGCCTGCAGGCTCGGTATGGAGGAAGTTTGTCGCCTACTGGTAAGTTTTACAGAGTTTGATTGCTTAAAATGTTCCTTTAAATGTTTTGCGAAGTATGACCTATGCAATACTCTTATTGGTGATCAACAGTGCATCGTGCCTTGAGATATTACTACATATACACGTTGTACTCTTATTTGCAACTGCGTGGATAAAAATTTTTATGACTTTAGGCGAAACTGATCGCCAAAGCATTTTCATTTTAATAAATTATAATTTGGCGCAACAGGAGGTATATTAAAACTTGATAATGTACTATAATCTAAATGAGAAAATTGATCGGAGTGTTATAGAAGCTAGATACGGCATAGTAATCTAAAATTGAACTTCTTGCTTTTATAACTGATATCGTGCATGTATACCTGTATTTACCAACGAATATGAAATTCATTGGTTAATGCAGTAGTTGTACCACTATTAGAAGATGCTTTCAAAAGTAAATTTTTACTAGTCTGGCTAGTGCTTGTTGATGCCAAATTAGAGTATCATTATCTTATAATTTTGCAATGTAGATGCACATACAGTACCAAGTATTTAAAATTTATGAAATAATGTACTTGTACGTTTACGAGAAGCATCACGAGCGAGACATCCTACTAGTTTTCATCGCTTAGTACTCAACATCGTAGTAAATTTATTTTTGTCCGGTAACCATTCACCTATTTGGCTAGCTACTTGCACTTGTACTTAATCATGTGTGAAGACACTTTATAAATGATAAACTTACACAATTTGATGAATTTAACAGAATAAAATATGCTTCGCGGTATCCGTGTAAAAATGCGATCTAGCTACTGCACCGTCATTCTATAGCATAGAGCCATTTCGCATTTATAAAGCTACTTTAAAATTTTGGCGATAGTGCTAGGCTGTGCGGATTGTGTATATGAATCCCATATAGATATTTTTGTGTCAGATTCACCGGCTTTATACAGAAATACCCAGCTACGCCGGGCTTACACAGCCTAGCATACTGTAATATATTCCTTTTTTACTAATCAAGCTTGTATTCGATGCCGATATCACAATGTCA